ATTAAAAGGATGTAGATTATTACGATTTATTAATAATTTAAGAAGATAAACAACGAACGGATAGGAGAAATAGCGGACGTACGGCCGCCCACCTTATAAGTGGTTATATTTTTACCGAATTTATCCTTACGAATTAACCTTTTCCCGACTATTATAAAAAAGAATTCGATTTAGAAGTACGAAACTAATATAAACGCGAAGCCTATTAGTATTAAAAGGATATTGAGAAATATATTTTCGAATTAAAAGCCGCTTTTAGTTAGGAATTTAAAATCGTATTAATTACGCTCGAGGATTTTAAATATACCCGAGACGAAGATATTAGAGAATTAGGTTATACCCGACCGTACTATTTTTTTTAGAACCCTATTACGATTTTTAAAAACATTAACCCCTTAAATAAAATGGAATATAATTTAGTTAACTTTATTTATTTTATAGTATTATTTCTAAAATTTAAGAAACCCCGTTATTAAAAATGATTTGCTGAAGGGAAATGGGGATTGGACGCTTAAGGTATTTACTAGTTGAGGCGCGACGGTACGGGTTGGTATAAGTATCGTTCTATTTAAATATACGTATTGGATAGAAATCTCTTTATGCGCTCCGTTAAGAAAAATAATTAAATGACTTATTTAATTAGTATTTTCGAAATCGACCAATTTATTTAGAAAAAAAAGAATTATCAACGACCCCGCTTAAGAATTATTCCCCCGCGATAAAAAGGAATTCCGTAATAAAACCTTCCGTACGGTTCCCCCCGAATATTATAATAAAATTAAAGTTTTTAATAAATACGATTCGAATACGTTGCCCGAATATCGACCGTATAATTATAAGATCGAATTCGATAAAGGCCGCCGATTTAAAGAGTTCGGTTATAGTTTTCTATATAAAATATCCTTTAACGAATTGGAAGCCGTATATAAATATATTTTAGAAAATTTATTAAAGGCATTCATTAAGGTGAATTCGTCCTTATAGGCGGTATTTATATTATTTATTAAGAAGGTTAATAGAAGTTTCCGCTTCTACGTAAATTATTGGAAGTTTAATACTATTATTCGAAAAGATCGTTACCCGTTATTGTTAATCGAAGAAATATTTGATAAAGTAGTTAAAATATGATAGTTTATAAAGATTAATATTTAATAAGCGTTCTATTGTATTCGTATAAAATTAGAAGACGAGGAATTAATTATGTTCCGTACCAGTATAGGGGCTTTTAAGTATAAGTTATTGCCGTTTACTTTTATTAACGGCCTAACTAGTTTCTAGAGTTTTATTAATTCAGTCTTAGGTAAATATTTAGAAGACTTTTATACGGCTTATATCGACGATATCCTTATTTACTCTAATATTTTAGAAGATTATTAATTCTACGTTAAGAAGGTCCTTCGCTAATTGAAGGATACTAGGCTTTAAGCTGATTTTAAAAAATACGAATTTTATATTATAAATTAAATTCCTAGGATTTATTATAGGACGAAACGGTATTTTTATCAATTTAGAAAAGGTGGCAGTTATTAAAGAGTAAGTTGTACTTTCTAATTTAAGAGGAGTTTAATTTTTCTTGAGGTTTTGCAATTTCTATTAAGGATTTATTAAAAATTACGGTTGTATAGTGCGTCCCCTTACGAATTCAATACGAAAAGGAGAGGCGTTTATATAAATTAATAAATGTTAGATTGCTTTCGAAGAATTTAAGAAATTATTTGTAAAGGCTCCGTTATTAAAATATTTCCGTTATAATGCCGAAACGAGAGTAAAAATAGATATTAGCGACGGAATATTAGCGGGAGTATTATTCTAATTATAAAAAGATACTGGAGAATAGTACCTGGTTACTTTCTTTTTAAAAATTATATAGGGTGCTGGATATAACTATTCTATTTATAATAAGGAGTTACTCGCTATTATTAGGGCTCTTTAAACCTAGCGATTTAAATTCGTTGGATTATAATAAAATAAATCGTTTATAATTATTATTAATTATTAAGCCCTTGAATATTTTAGTACTAAGTGCCTTCTTAATTTCCAATAAATTGGATAGGTAGAGTTCTTATTCTAATATTATTTCGAAATTACTTACTGACCCGGTACGAAGAATGCGGCCGCTGATACGTTATTTCGGAAATTGGAAGATTTTAAAACTTAGAAAGGTAAGAAAAATATATATTATACTCTTTAAATTTTTAAGCCCGTAGAGGAGGAGGGAATCGAAATTTTAACCCTTATTTTTATTATGACCGTTTATAACCAGTCGTTAGAAAAGTCGGTTCTAATTATAATATTAAATATAGAAGAATTAAACTGTATAGAATTAGAGAGATACGAGTTAGTAGACGCTCTTATAAAGGCTAATTGCGAAGATGAATCTTTAGAAGAATATTATATTCGTACTTAAGGATTAGACTTTAATTTCGTTATATTAATTAATAAATTCCTAATATATTTAAAATTATTTAATTGTTCCTAAATTGGATAACCCACGTATTTATATTATTAACAAAGTTTATTCGATATTAATAATGATTTATTTAAGAAGGAATAAAACCCGGGCGTTATTTAAAATATAATATTAGTAGCCCTATATAATTGGAGATATCGACCGTTTCGTTAAAAACTATATAGTATATAAAGTTAGTAAAATCCCTAAGGATAAAATACCGGGCTTATTTTACCTAATTCCCCTATTAATTTAAAAGTAGACGTTTATTATTATAAATTTTAAGAAGATGTTGAGAGATAAATACGGTTTCGATAATACGTTAGTAATAGTTAACTATTTATTTAAGTTATTTTGGGTTACCCTATATATAGAAAATACTACGGTTCGCGACGTTATTTGGATATATTACGAGGGACCTTATTATATCTATAGTATACTGGAGGAGGTAATTCTTAATGGAAGACTGTAAGTTACGTCTACGTTTACGGATGAAATATCGAAATTAATAAAGATAAAATAAAAATTAGCTACCGCAGAACATAGTTAAATAGCGGGCTAAATAGAGGTAATAAACCCTTATATTGATTAATAATTATAATTATTCGTTAATTATTCTTAGAACGATTATTTTAAAACTATCTTTACCCTAAATACTATATAAAATAATTTACTATAGGATAGTATAAGCTTATTTTTTTATAAGATTATATTTGGCTGCCCTATGAGGATACTTTTCAATTAGGAAGCCCGTACTTAAAACCCTAGTATTCCCCGGACAGAGTAATTAATTTAGGAATAAGCGTAGGATTACGTTTAATATATTTAAGGGTATGTTGAATACGTTAGAGAAATAATATTAAAGGTATAGGAATAATAGGCGGCGTAAGCTAATAAGAAGAGGAGGGAACCCGATTTCGAATTAAAAAATAGGGTTATTATTATTAAAAGGCTTTAATTTACGGCGATTAAACCTAGTAATAAGTTTAATTTTCCTAATATTCGTATTTATTATAAAATTATTGAGAAAGTGGGGTATTTTTACTATTTAGAGTTATTAAAGAATTAGAAGGGTATTAACGTCTTTTATACAGATTATTTACGAAAATACGATAATAATCCGTTCCCGGGATAGGTATTCGAATATTCTAGCCTAATTAATACAGACGAAAACAGAGACCCCGAGTAAGAAGTCGATAAAATTATAGTATTTAAGGTAGTTAACGGAAAGTTCTTTTATTAGGCGGATTAGAGAGGTTAGGACCCCGACTTAGAGTAGTATCCCGCTTCCGACTTTAAGTATATATTGAAGGCGCTTTAAGACTTTTACGAGGCTAACCCGAATGCCCTAGGCTTGCCCCGGCAATTAATATATTAATTTAATAAAGATACAGAATAGTACGACGATAACGAATATTTTAAAAAGGAAGGATTAAGGCATTTACAGCGTATTATAAAGAAGAAATAAACGTATAGTATAATTATTTAGTAAGATTCGCGGACGAATTTTTTATATAGGGGGGGGTAATATAACGGCGTTAATAGATTGGGTTTAGGTACTATATACGAAGTAATTGCCGGAATAAAATATATAGAGGATTTTGGGTATAGTACAGTTTAGGGGATATAAGCTATTTAATTGGCTATACTAAGACGGGTTGTAGGGTAGATCTTGGTACGTATAGGGTTTATCCTATAAGTAAGAGGGATACGAGTAAAAGGATTAGCTGATAGCGACCCGCCTATGGGTTCCGCTATCGCTTGTGCAATTAGGATATTTATTTAGGTCTATATGCTTATACCTAATTCTCTTCCTCTTTTCTTTTCCCTATTTGAAATCTTCTATTATAAATAGAATCTTAGCTTTGCCTCCGACTCACCCATACTGTGCCCTTGCAAAAGCTGTATATATAGACTAGATTTTTCATTAAAAGAATACCTCGTTATATTAATTTCTTAAAGAATTATCCGTTTTATTCGTTGAAAAGGTATGAAAATCTTAGTTAGAAAAGGAAGGTAGGATTAAGATAACGGATGGTAAATAAGGTTATATTAAATAGTCAAGTAACGAAATTTTAAGCGCCGAGTTTCAAAAACGTACGATTTCGCTGCTCTTTTGAATTAGATGACGAAAAAGGTCTTCAAACCTTAGAAGGTTGGATTTGGAAGCCTTGGAAGCCTTGGAAGCCTTGGAAGCCTTAGAAGCCTTGGAAGCCTTAGAAGCCTTAGAAGCTTTAAATTGTTTAAAAGTTTATAACCCTTATTATTATTATTATTATTATTATTATTATTATTATTATTATTATTATTATTATTATTATTATTATTATTATTATTATTATTATTATTATTATTATTATTATTATTATTATTATTATTATTATTATTATTATTATTATTATTATTATTATTATTATTATTATTATTATTATTATTATTATTATTATTATTATTATTATTATTATTATTATTATTATTATTATTATTATTATTATTATTATTATTATTATTATTATTATTATTATTATTATTATTATTATTATTATTATTCTTATTCTTCTTCTTCTTCTTCTTCTTCTTCTTCTCTTCTTCTTCTTCTTCTTCTTCTTCTTCTTCTTCTTCTTCTTCTTCTTCTTCTCATTATTATTATTCTTATCATTATTATTATTATTATTCTAATTCGTATTCCTATTCTTATTCTTATTCTTATTCTTATTCTTATTCTTATTCTTATTCTTATTCTTATTCATTTATTATATTAATTAAATCTTTTAGTATTCTACCCTTTTTTACTTCTTACACTTTTATTTACCCTATATATAATATAATATTATTTATTTATTAGATTTATATATAAATAACTTATTTAATTATATATTTTTTAATATCTAGTATTCCTAGTACTACTCTAGTATTTCTAGGATTACTCTAGTATTCTTAGTACTACTCTAGTACTACTCTAGTAGTACTCTAGTACTACTCTAGTACTAATTAGTATTTTAGTATTATTTAAAACTTATTATTTATTATAACTTCTGATTATAATATTTAATAATAAAAATCGTATATTTCGTATCTACTACTAGAATTCTAATAATATTTTTCTATAATTATTTATTATCCTTTTTATACCCTTCTAAATTTATCAATTTATAAATAATTAAGGAAAATTCCTTTACTAATAATAATACCATTTATATACTTTTTTATTTTTATATACATTATACACAGTTTAAAAAACTATAAAATATCAATTTTCAGAAATTAGTATTTTTAGTATACTAAAGTCTAGTCTAATACTAAGGTAGTACTAATACTAATACTAAAGTCTAGTACTCTAGTACTACTAATTAGTACTGTACTAATTCCCAACTCTGTCTGGCTGGCTGGATTCCTCCGGACGAGATACCGTCTCAATCGTACCATATCGCCTGTTTGGTCCGCCGTCAGCGCCGTAAGCCCCTTGAGTTTTGGACGCGACTGTCCAGATAACAAAATCGCGCGGTGATCCGCTTGTACCGCTTTCGACGTTAGACTGTTCTACCTAGTCTTCTCAGACAGTCAGTGAAGCTGGACAGACGCCAAGTTATCAAAAAGGGGCCGGCTGGTGGGGGTCCGGGGTACCCTAACGGCAGGCGGCCGCTGAGCGATGGCCCTAAGCGACAGGGGTTACAGTAGCGGGAGTAACAGATTTGCTGTAATCATGGGGATCTTGAAGTTCTTCAGGAAGTTCAGGCCGTATTGGCCCGTTCAATGAGTGCTTGATTGTGCGAATGGCCACATTTACACCACCACAGAATCACATCCACGTTCGCGGATTCACTACATGCTCTCTTCCAAACCTCCCGGAACCCTACCAACAGGTGAGCCGGTCTCGTGGGTCGTATAAACTCCGACTAGCCGGCCGACGATCGGCCGGCCACTCTGCCGCATTGCCGTTTTAGCGAATCCTTCTGTACCACATGACGGCAGCCTTCCAGGTCCATCACTCGTACGAGCACACTGCAATGCTACCACGGACGGACTTCTGGAAATTTCAACGAAGGATGTGATTCGAGTGACTGCCGCGCCGGTGAGCAAAGTTATCTGCTTGGGTCTCTCACCGGTGGGCAAGGTTTAATTGCGGATCCGATTTGGCGTGTTGGTACAGTACGTCGGTTAGAGTGACTACGACACTACCTGTAGGCTATTGACTGACATTACACATGTTGGTGATCACTTATACACCCCAGAGGACACCGGTTCACAGTACACTAGGCATACTTGACTGTTGGAAGTGGGAAGCGGTGCACTGGTTGACAGGTACAATACCTCTAGGCCGCATGTACCTTGGAACTTTAAATGGCTCTGGAAGAGTAAAAGCCTTGAGCCGGGAAGTGTACCAAGTGCCACTTTAAAGTCTGACAGATCACAAATTCGGTTGGCAAAAATCGGATGAGAAGGACGCGTATTATACAGCTATGGAAGCAAGTCCCGAGCTATAGTCCATCCATGCATCTCTTCTTGACGAACTTCCCCATGTTAGAGTCCTCTTGAAGAAACGAACCGCCAGTCAACTACGTAGACGAACCATCACCCCACATCTTGTTAGCCCTTCCAAACTCTATGATCCGTGAATGCAACTCCCCACTGCGAATCGCCTCATAAATATCCGACGCCATGCTTCCAAGAATCCTGTTCCTTGACCAAAAGTCATTACCCTCCTCTATGTCCTTAGTACTTAGTTCTGCCTTGCTGCGGATGACCTCCCTCACTCTGTTCAACCCCTCCTTGAGAAGCGGGGGATGGTCAACCACGCCCCGGTTCAGCGGAATCTTCAACTCCTTCCTGACAAACTCGTAGACGACTGTAGAGCCACCGCTGAGCCACCGCCCAGTGTCCTGCCGACCCTCGAGCAAGGTCTTTCGGTGGTCACCATAACAGTCTGACACCACTCGAGCGGTCTTCAAGTGGTAGGCTTGCAAATCACTGATGCTCAGCGTTGCACGGTCGTACTCCCTCCCGCAGTGAAGAAGTCCAAGGGCGTCCAGTGCTGACTGCTTAGTCGCCACAGAAGCTCGCTCTTCCACGTCCAGGTGAGCCAGCTTGTCCCATTGGTCCAGGATGTTCGCTGCAATCATGCCTGCCAACCTTTGGCTCTTCGTTATGTCATTCTCAGACAAGCAGCCGTTCTCTTCCTCTTTTGCCTTAGGCTCCGGCTTCTTCACCGCAGCAACATCAGAAAGAATCAGACTTCCGATACGCTCCGGTAAGTCCTCCCGGAATTCCAACTGCAGAACCCTCAGGTCCAGCGCCTGGCAAAGCACATAGATGTAGGTGGCCGCCATCAAACTAACAACTTCCACTGCCTCCAGCGCATACCGAGCCGCAACTAACGCCATCGAGTTGACACTTTGGTTGTTCATCTCAGCCACCTGGACATGCGAACTGACCGGCTTGGCCAGGTACGCCAGCTCGGCCATGTACGCAGCCATGTTGACGTCGAAGCCCTTGCACGTGTAGCTCTGGCTTGGCTCATCCGCCGACAGGTTCGGCGGCAGTCCCTTGTTGGTCATGTTGTTGAGCAGCTCCGAGCTTTGCGCATAGAGCAAGCGGCCCAGGTTCTGCAGGGCTAGCATGGTCTTCTCCATGGCCGATGTGAGTGCCATGGCTTGGAAGTTACCGCCGTGGTGGATGAATCCGGAAGAGGGGTCGATCAGGGGGTTGTCCGTGGTTGAGTTGAGTTCTGTTTGCACCTGCTTCGTGGCGAGTTCCAGGTCCTCGAGCTGAGGTCCGATCCATTGAGGCGCGGTCCGTAGAGCGTAGCGGTCCTGAGCAAGACCCCGGACCTTAGCCGGTTCGCCGTTAGAGCCGTTATGGGACTCGCAGGGCGCAGCAATCTTGGTCCCGGCGAGAAAGGCTAGAATGTTGGACGCTGCTTCTGCTTGACCGGGGTGCGGCCGGACGGAGGAGATGAAGGGATGGTAATTTGCAGCTGTGCCGGCCAGGGCTTCGGTACCCATGGCAGTTAGGAGCTGGACAAGAACGGCCAGCTGGTTGGCTTCCTGGATGGCAATGGAGGCGGTTGCGCAGGAGGGTGCGGTGCCGTTGGTAATGCCGAGTCCCTCTTTGACTTGGAAACGCACCGGTTCCAGACCAGCAAGGTGCAGAGCTTTATCGGCCGGTAGAATGTCCGTCTTATTGCCCGGTTTCCTGACTTTGAGGTAAATGTCCGGATTTCCTTCGAGCGCGCCGGCAATGTACGAGAGGGTAGACAAGTCACCCGAGGCCGAGATACTTCCCCGAAGCGGGATGATAGGGGTCATGTCCTTGTCCAGAAGCTTCATGATGTTTTCCATGACCAGGGGCCGAACACCGGAGTGGCCTCTCATCAGGGAGTTACAACGTATGAGCATGGTGGCCCGAACCACGGGGCTTGGGAGAGCATGGCTGCGAAGAAGCTCGTTGGTGTAAGGTTTTCCTGTTCGGGGGTTGATGCCATCGCGACCCTTGTCGGCGTGTGTAAGAATTCCAACGTTGAGGTGCTGGACTAATGCGCCTTGTAAACGCATCAAGGGTTCGGCTCCAACATCGGTTCGAGTGTCGGCGCTGCCACCGAAGCCTGTGTTTACGCCATAGATGACGTCGCCTGCTTGTATGCGCTCCTCGAGTAACGCGATGCTGCGATCGACTTGTCGGGTGTCAGCTGAGAGATGGGCTTTTGCGCCATGCCTGTTGTTCACGGACTGTCAGTGACTGGCTGGAAGGTCGCAAGATGGAAAGGACGTCTGTGGAAGGACCATACAGCGAGACCGCAATGACATCGGCAATGGTCAGGCAGGAACCTGATACCTCAATGGGCTGTTTTGATTCCTCCAGGTTTTTGACACGTGCCCAGGAAGCGTAAGTAGCTTGCGCATGAGAACTGGGCGCGTCAGACATGCTGAAGACCTTGTTCCGTCGGTCGCGGGTTTGTTTTGTCCTGCCCTGGGTGTTCAGTCGCGTGTCAGGTGCAGTTTGGAAAGCACACGTTCTTGTGTACCATACCCCTCCGGTGATGACTTCCTGTTTGCAGAAAGTGAAAGAGAGATCGAGAGTGTAAATCAAGGGGAAGGAGAGACTTGGCCCGCTGGGTGTTTGTTGCCTGTTCGTCATCGGCGCCGTCGAGGCCGTTCTTGCCAGGCAATCACTGGTGACCGTCACTAAAATAATAGGCAACCGGCATGCAGATACCCGCCCGTGGTAGCCACAACTCCGTGTTCAGTTGGAAGCAAACAACACGAAACAATGCCTTACAGTCTGACCGTACTGTCTTGTAAGCTGTGTTATCATAACTCTCACCAATCGTGTGGAACATGAAGACATGGATGGCAAGTGCCTTGTTAGCAGTGCCAGAGATCTCAGACGATTCGTATGTTGACTAAAGAATGAATTTGCTATCATGGCGCAAAATTATCTTCATGTATGCTACACTCTCTACCTTGATCCTCCCTGTTCTTCCACCTATCTCCCGCCGCATTTCACAAGATATCCTCCCCCTCCCATCTTTCCTAAGAAGCCCATTCTCTCTATGTTACCGATGCACCCGGATGTGGTTGTACTACAGTGTCTGACTCAAGCTCTTACATACAGGCGCCGCCATCAACACCGATAACCTTACCATTGATCCACTCGCCATCCTGGGAAGCCAGGAAGCAGGCAACACGAGCAATGTCGATGGGGAGACCCACGCGGTGAAGAGGCGACCAGCCAGCGGCATACTCGTCGACACCCTCGTTGTCGAGCTTCTCGCCGTTGGGGATGTACTCCCTGCACACGGCGTGGTACATGTCCGTCTTGATACCGCCAGGAGCGACGGCGTTGACGGTGATCTTCTTGTCCCCAAAGTCTAGTGTCGGTGGTTAGCATTCATCCCTGAGATACACCCAAGATAACAACCTACCAATAGCCATGCAGCGGACAAAGGTCTCAATGGCGCCCTTGCTAGCAGAGTAAACAGTGTGCTTGGGCACGGCCTTGGCCTGGCCGGTGATGGATCCCATGAGAATCAGGCGGCCACCAACCTCAAGGTTCTTGTAGGCCTCGCGAGCAACAAAGAACTGGCCACGGGTGTTGATGTTGAAGACGCGGTCGTACTCCTCCGGGGTGACATCCTTGATGTGACCGAACGAGACAACACCCGAGTTGGAGCACACAATGTCGAGCCTGCCAAACCTGTTCTTGGCCTCGCGGAAGAGCCTCTCAATCTGGTCGACGTCGCTCACGTTGGCCTTGATGGCGACCGCGTCGGAGCCGCTCTTCTTGATGGCCTGCACAACCTCGTTGGCCGAGATGTCGCTGTTGGCGTAGTTGACCACCACCTTGGCACCACGACGTCCAAGCTCGAGAGCCATCTCCCTTCCGATACCGCGGCCTGGAATCCACAAAAGATGATATTGTCAGTCTCTTTGGCCCTACATGGTGATGGTGCATGAAGGGCATGTTGTGTTATGCGAACTGCGCAGGCCTGACTGGACCAATGACACGTTACGCAGCTACGCCTTGCATCTGCATCCTTCAGTGGGAGTGTTGTCGGTGTCTGAGGGGGGAGTTGCCATTGGGTTTCGGATTGCTTTTGGGTAGGGATTGAGAGGCAGTGACTGAATGGATTGAGGGAAAAGGGCGGCGTCGGAGCTGAACATGGGGAAATCGGACTTGGGGTTGGGGTAAAGCTACCATCCCGTCCGGTGCGGGAGCTCCCTTCCACCCCTTGTCGCTCATCCTTTGCCCCTTGCAGCAGTGCTTGGCACGACATCACATCCCAAACAGAAAATAACAACAACAATGACAGAAAGGAAGACGTACCGGCACCGGTTACAAGCGCTACCTTGCCACCAAGTTGGGCAGACTGGATACCGAGGGGACCGGGAATCTGGTCATACTTGCTAGTACCGGACGGGGCTGTGACACCGGGCATCTTGGCGGCTGGAGTGGCTTTGATACTGGAAGTAGTCGTGCTTGAGCTGTTAGAGGAGACTGGTACTGTCTGCTGTTTCTTCTCTGTGGCGTTGGCTTTGTTAGACGAGAAGTGGGACAGGAGACGGGCGAGAAAAGAAGGGAGGGCCATTGAAGCAGCAAACTGGGTGGGACAGGTTGCCTACTGACAGTCGGTTGATGTCGTCTCTTGTTGAAAGGGTGATTTTGGTTGTTGGCGTGGCTGGAAGAAGATTTCTTGAGTTTGTTTCCTGGGGAACAGGACATTCTTATATGCCATGTCCGTTGCTTGTCCCTAGTTAATAATGTGAGACCAAGTCCCTGCCGACTTTGATTCTGTCCGTCCCAGGGCCAAGTGGTGATCAAGTTCGATAGGACCGTGACCTTGGCGGTTGTCGGACTGCGTTGGAGGAATGCCGGATTAAGTGTGCAGTCACTACGCGCGAAGGAGCGCAACACCGCATTGAGGCGTCAGCCGAGACCGACGATATTGTAGCTTTGCCATTGGCACACGGACTCATCCTGAGATCGTCAAGTCTCGTCCACCCTTGGTGAGCCAGGGAAGAGGTGCCGAATTTAGGGAGACATTCACAAGCAATACCCATTCTGACTGCAGCATGCGGATATCTGACAGCTGACACAAGCACGGCAAGCTTAAAACGATCTTCAGGTGACGAGACAGGAAGCTGCAAAAAGACGATATCCTGAATGCGATTGACATGAAGCAAGCACTGCCCCTTCTGCGATCTGTGAAGGAATTCCTGGGTTCCCTCGGTAGATGCCCAGCTTTGGTTCCATTCCACGGCACCTGATCCCTTTTGAGAGTTGCTGTCGTGGTTCATGCCCTTGTTGTATTAGTGTTAGTGCGAAGCTGGTGGTCAAAGCTATATTACTAACATGCAGCTGCCCTGGAACAGCGTCTATGGCGTCCTTCATTCCAAGGGCTCTTGTTCTGATTCCCACGCTTCCGTTTCCAGCGCAATGGCTCTACAGTCTTTTCTTCCTCGGTCCGAGCTGTTGCGACGTTCAGAGATCGTGAACTCAACACCGCCGTCGACGTGCTTCATGTCAAGTTCGGATGCACTTCCACTGTACCGGTAACTGGTTTTTCTGGCAGGAGACCCTGTGGCAGTCAGTTGCTCGGCATCGCCACACCCTGCAAGTGAGGGCGTTGACAGGCATTTTACAGGCTCAGAAGTGACTTCAGGCACGCCTGCCATGGACAGGGCATTGCAGGTGCACTACACAGCTGCAGCATCGGTAGGGGGTACCTACAGCGCCTTCAACAGGGCAGCACCGCACGTCCCTGCACGCTGCGCTCCGTCCTTCTTCATGGTTGATGCCCAAGACCACACTCTCTTGGAGAAGATGACCCTCGGTTCGAGGATTGCAATGGCATTGGGTCGGTCTTTCGCCAGAACCACTTTCGCAAGTTAGGAAATGGCGACCTGCCAATCCGGATACACCTCATGCCAGCTCATGCCAGCTCCCCCCAACTCCGCACCGCCTGGGCGCTTGCGGAAGCCGAAGGCCACACCGGACATCCGAGCCGGAGTTGAGCAACTGTCCGTCACGGCGTCACCCACCCCAACTTCCAAGGGTAAGCAAGAGGTCCGATCTTTGAAAGGAGCAAAAGGAAAGAAGAAAGGGCGACTGCATAGCGAAAAGAAAAAAAAAACGAAAAAAAAGAAGCAAAAAAGAAGCAAAAAAGAAAAACATACAACACCAGGGATTCGCTGGTCGTCACCGACCCAACTACTAGTCTGGCCCTCACTGGCTTATCTATAGGAGAGCGGACGGGATCCCGAGTTTTCCAGTGGGTATGGTCGTATGTGCTCATTGTACCCTGCGGTTCTCTCCTTATACCCACTTCAACCTGCATGTCTTCTCGCATGCTGCTGGCGCTTTTCAACTCGCATCTCATCTTGCACTTCCACTTGGCACATGGATGGATTGCAGTCTTCATCCCTTTCCTGTCTCCCCTGGTCATGCAAAGAGGATCATCGTTGCGCACGACGTGGTCCCTTTGACGGACCAGCCATATCCTCCCACGCAGGACCACTGCTCTTTCAACTCTCACGCAAATTCTGCCCATACAGCGAGACTGAACAGAAAGAAAATGCCTTGAATTTTTACTTTATCCAGGTACCCAAACGTACTCCCCATGAGACCATTTATCCTATACACTTTTCATGAATCCTAATCCCAACAACACCGAACCCCGTTCTGTTATCCAGTTTTTCGATCCCTTAAACCCTTTTACTTCCTGTAAACATCACCAGTCCTCTCAATCTCAAACGCCTCGTCCTTTCCTCTGCCCTGCTTCTCAAGCTCTCTTACAAGGGGAATAACATTCTTGCCAAACTCCTCGACCTCCTCCTCATAGTTGAGGAAACCAGTCAACACCAGGTTGACGCCCAAGCTCTTGAGCAAGACAATACGCTCGGCCACCTGCTCCTTGGTGCCGATCAGCTTAGTCTTGAACCCGTCGTTGTACTGCACCAGGTCCTTGAACGTGCTAGTCGCCCACATGCCCTGCTTGTTACTCGCGCTAGCACCGGCGTTCTGGACCTCCTTCTTGAAGGCTTCAACAGCCTCGACATCGGCCTTGCCCTGGATTTCTTGAAGAGTGCGGATGGCCTCCTCCTCGGTGTCGCGGATAATCACAAAGGCGTTGACGGCGAACTTGACCACGTTCTCGCGGCCGAACTTCTTGGCGCGCTTCTTCACGTCGGCGATCTGCGTCCGGAAACCCTCAAGGTCCATACCGTTCATGAAGTACCAGTCGGACACCTCGGCGCCGTTGTTCTTGGCGTCGTCCGAGTTGCCGCCCTGGAAGATCTCCGGGTGCGGGTTGGCGATGGGCTTGGGGCTGAGCTTGTAGTTGCGGAACCGGTAGAAGTCGCCGGCGAAGGTGAAGCCTTCGTCCTCGGGAGCGGTCCAGATGCCACGCAGGCACTTCATGAACTCGTAGGAGCGGCGGTAGCGCTCGGCGTGGTCGAGCCACCATTCACCGACTGGTATACCGTGTTAGCCACCTTTCTCATTTTCTTTGAAATTTTGATGCTGGCTTACTGGCATGGAACTCGCTCTTATTCCATCCCGAGACAATGTTAACAGCAATACGTCCATCCGTGTAGTTGTCAATGCTAGCCACCTGCTTGGCAACGACAGCAGGGTTCCAGGGACCGGGAAGGATGGCGGCAATGACCTTGAGCTTCTCGGTGTGGTGAAGGAGAGCCTGTGAGAACGAGACAGACTCATGCTGGGACGCGGCACTGTACGAGGCAGTGAAGCGGATCTGAGTGAGAGCGTACTCGAAGCCGACGGACTCGGCGGTACGGGCATAGCGGACGTTGGACTTGAGGTCCCAGCCGGTGTTCTGGGGGATCTTGGAAACGACGAGACCGCCGGAGACGTTGGGGACCCAGTAGCTGGTTTCAGGTTAGCACTGGTCTGGATAGGGAAGAGGAAGAAGTCATGGCTTACGCAAAGAAGAGCCTGTCGGGGCCGCTGTTGAGTGTGCTGGCGTCGACCATTGTGTCTGTTTGGGTGTGCTTGGCAGGGGTATATTGTTTGTTTTGGGAAGGTAAAAGCGAAGTGTTGATGACCTTTGAGTGGTGCAGCTCAGGGGCTAGAAAACAAATGGTAAAAAGGGGAAAGGGGGTCTTGGCTGAAGGGTTGAGGCTCGATATTCACCATTTCAGCTCGAATGGCGTGCGCATAACTGGCGTCTTGTATTGTACCATATCATTTCCGAATCTGTTTTGATGATCATCTTTTCTCCTTGTGTGCGAAGTCGCTCCTCTATTCAAGAGCCGCCGTCGGTTCTCACAATGGCGCGACCAGATGACGCCATTTGAGTCGCAACCCATCTCATCGCGGAGTGATGGGCTTGGCGTGGGGAAGGTGAAGCTGACGATCGTTTGGTGTTGTTGTTGCGGCTTCGGGGCGCTCGAAAGGCGCTATTCAGGCGGTTGGCTACCCTGTAAGCTGCATTTTTTGTGATGATGAGATACACTATAAGAAAGATCTCAAGATGTCGGAATGTAAACAGTTAACCGGTTCTTGTTTGGAGCGGTCCCTAACGGGTTACCGTGAGAATCATCTTGTTCCCGACTTGGTGTGGAAGGGAGCATTGGCGAGATGGTATCATCCGTCGAACCGGTTGTACAATACTGACCTGCATCTGGTGAGTAAACACTCACCAATTAAGAAGCTCTCAGAAGGCGATGTCGCCGAAAGGGTGGTAGTACGGTAAGGCTTAGTAGCAATGACTTACGAGAAGCCTAGATGCTTGGGGTCCGAAAGCGGTGATGATTTAGTAGTGGAAACCCGAGGGCCAAGACGACATCTCAAGGTTCAGCTTCTCCCAAGATCATGAGATGTCGAGCTTCCTTCTTGCTTGCGAAATGTTGATGTCTGAGTGCGCAATCCAGGAACAGGAAGATGACTGGAGGATGGAGGGAAGACGTGATGGCGCAAGACAGGCCTCTGTAGCCCCCAAAAACCGTATAATGGAAGGCAAACCGCCATCTCAGCCATCGTCGTCGTGGACTTGTGACACTCCCATCCTTCTCATTGTCGTACAACTACCTTTGTCTGTGCTAGTTCTCGCCCTGTCCTGTAACCTTTCCATACCTCAACCATACCGTCAACACCATGAGCTTCTCCGCTACCACCCAGGGCACCGTCCATCCAAGCAGCGACCCGTCCATCTACCAAGAGTACGAGTCCAAATGGTCAACTCTCCCCTCAGACTCAGCCGGTTGGATCCAACGCGCAAGAGACGTAGCCGCCGTACTTGCCCCCGACGCCGCTGCGCGTGAGAAAGCCAACAAGACTCCCCGCGCCGAAGTGGCTCTCCTCAAACACTCCGGCCTGCTCAAGATCCTTGGTCCGAAGGAGTACGGCGGTGGTGAGCAGCCATGGAGCGTGGCTTACCAAGCGATCCGGGAAGTCGCCAAGGGTGATGGGTGAGTAGAGTAGTGTCTTGATATGCAAACACGAATCCTCCATGCTGACTGACATACCTCCTCAAAAAGCTCGATCGGCATGCTCCTAGGCTACCACCTCCTCTGGGCCTTTTCCTCTTCCATCCTCGGCACCCCCTCCCAAATCGCCAAATGGACCGCACTCATCACCTCCCAAAACCTCTTCGTCGGCGGCGCCGTCAACCCGCGCGACAGCGACCTAGTCATCACCTCTGACCCCAATGACTCGACCAAAATCATCTTCAACGGCTCCAAACACTTCACCACCGGCGCGGCCGTCTCGGACCTGATCATGCTTGAAGGCTCCCTCTCTTCCTCCTCCTCTTTCCCTGAGTCTGGCGGGGGCGCCCACATCTTCGCCTACGTCCCCACCACCACTCACCCCGGCATCACCTTCTCCTTCAACTGGGACGCCATCGGTCTGCGGCTGACCGAATCGGGCTCAGCGCAAATCTCCAACGTTTCCGTCCCCTGGGAGGACGCGTTAGGCTGGGATGCTTCTTCCACAAAACAAGAACCCCTGCCAGACATCCTAGGAGTCCCCTTCGCCACATTGTTGCTTCCCACCATCCAGCTAGTCTTCACCAACTTCTACCTCGGCATCGCCCGCGCAGCACTCGACCAAGGAGCCTCTTACACGCGCAAGAGCACGCGTCCATGGCCTTACTTATCAGGCGGCGAGCGCGAGACCGTTTCCCCTGCGGAGAAGGCCACAGACGAGTTTTATATCTTGTCCACGTACGGCACGCACCATGCGCATTTATTGGCTGCTACGGCGCTGGTGGATAGGGCTAATGAGGCGGTCGGAGAGCTGTTCGCAGCGTATAATCATGAACGGGGGAATCGTGGGGAGTTGACGGCGCAGCAAAGGGGTGAGATAAGCGAGTTAATTGCGGCTGCCAAGATCGTGGTGACGGATGTCGGGCTTAAGGTGACTAGTGATGTGTTTGAGGTGACGGGGTCAAGGGTGACGGCGAGTAAAGTTGGGTTGGACAGGTTTTGGCGGGACTTGAGGACGCATACGCTGCATGATCCGGTGGCGTATAAGCGGAGGGAGGTTGGAAGGTGGGTGTTGTTGGGAGAGATTCCGACACCTACTTGGTATACGTGAGCTCCTGTCCGATGAAGACGAGTGATGGCGGCGAAGACGAACGACGACGACAGAAGGACACTGGCGACTGCAAAGTAATGGCTTCGTAGGTCTGAATGCTAGAAATACAAATTGCTTAACAAGTAAGGGATCCTGCACCGGTTTACCTCCACCCGCCCATCGCCGTCGTTCCAATCATAACAGTGACCGTGTTGTGTGTATCTGTATCTCATCTACTTCTACCCCATACCAACAATAACCAACCGACATATATATCATCTCCAGGGGTATGGTGTGGATCAGCGTGCTCCGGCTGGCCTGTTGACAAAGATCTCCTCCGCCTCGTCGTCATCCGGATCCTCAATACTTGTCCTCCTCTTTGCCTCTACCGCTCGGTTGATCTTCTTGCCGTCCTCGCCGATAACCAGATCCTCCATCATAGCATCCAGTTCCTCGGGCTCCTCTGTTATGGTAACACCGCTTCCAGGGCTAACATTTTCCTTCTGCTTTTCTGAACCCTGCTCGCCCGTCGAAGACGCCGTAGCCTCCTTCTCATCCTTCTTTCCGAATCCAGGAGTAGAGAAAGGCCACAGGTTACCAAACGGACTACCGCTTTTGCTCGGATGGACGGGGAGTGGCTTGACCAGGATCTTCTCCCGCGCAGGGTCAATGCCAGAGACCATACGACCCGAACCGGGAGAGTGTTCCGAATCTTTGGCGTTGCCTTCAACCTCGGGCATGGCAAAGTCTCCAAACTCTTCGTCGTCGATATCATCCACCACTTCACCTCCGTCACCCCCATCATCAGATTCGCTGTCACGCCCATCCCCGAATCGTTCCGCATCCTGGCTATCCTCCCTGCTCTTGTTCTTCTGTCCACCAGGAACCATACCGCGCCACCAAGACCCACGATTCCACGTACTGCCTCCCATGCCGTTATGGGCTGTGTTATCCAAGTCTCCATCATCGCTACCAGACCCATTGCCATCGTTTTCCTCATCCTCATCCTCGTCCTCTTCATCCTCAAAAGGATTCCGGAGGCTATCGCTGGCTGACTCATTTGGGAGGCTAAATGTACCAGAACCGGTGGAGTTGTCAGCCTGAGCCGAGCCGCCCTCTTGCCCGCCATTCGCTGCAGCTTCAGCGTTGCGCTTGTTCATAGCTAGCCTGGCAGCAAGTTGGAGACGCGCACGAGAAGGAGGGATGTTAAGCGGGGGAGGAGGTGGTGGGGGCGGTGGAATCGAAGGTGGGTTCATCGAGTTCGACAGGTTGGCGTTAAGAGGGTCGGTGTAAGCACGGAACTGCATGCTGAATTAGCATATTGTTCGTATCTGGAAGAGAAAGAAACAAAAGGAAATGGTTAGTGGAATGTGAATCAAGAGAAGGTGAGCAAGATCAGGCAGGCATGGCGACTGGCGACTGCGTAGCAATACGTGTAAGGGTCTGGAGACAGAGAGTATGCCATCGGGCGGAATATAGGTGATATGCAACGATAGAAGGAACCATGGGAAACAAGAGAGGGTCTTCTTGACGTTGCGGCACCCTTGGTGTCAGAAAAGAACCGACCACGGCCCTGAGGAAGGGAGCCTGATCACGAGTATCCACTGGAGTGAGGAGAAGGAGGAAAATGAGAGGAAAACATGTCCGAAGTTGCTAGCCCACTATGTCCTTGGCGCCCTTTAATCATACAACACCCTCAACCAAAAGAATAATCCTGACAGCTCGGACGACGTGAAGCAGATGAGAGCAACAATTTGTTGCCCGAGTCTCGCGTCAGAGGGTCCAGATCGGGGATCGGACCCTCATATCCGGTCGGTGTCCTCTGTTCGAGAAGGGGACGGAGGAGGAAAGTGGATCATCCGGTTGATTTGACAAAGAAAGTGATTGAGCTCGAGTGCGTCTGTAGGGCTGGGTTCCGGCCTCGTCCATTGGCCTTCAAAGTCGTCATAGAGTGGAGCGTCGATCTCATCAACGCCCCATGCAGGCTCGATAGGGCTCTCCTGGGTGGAAGGTTGCGGTCTCACTGGTGACAGTGCCTCGGGGGATCGAGCTGGCGGTGGCGGGTTTGTCTGGGTAGGGGGTCGCTGTGCGAGCGTTTCCGCTTTCCAAGCAACGGCTGGAGAGCAGCCATCAAAGTCGGCAAGACCTTCTTCGAAGTCCTCAAGGTCCAATCCATAGCTGCTTGGGTCGTCTTCGTAGTCTTGTTCGTCGAAGGGCTCGTTGTGTTCGACATCGACTTCGAAATCAACATCCTTAACATGGTGGACCTCGGCAAGCTCCTCCCCGTCGACGAAGGAGCCGTGGTCGCGTTTGCTCGGTATCAAGGGCTCACTTGAGCCTAGGGGGAACATGTCATGGGGGTGGAGAAGAGATGAGACATAATCAGAATAACCAACCTCGTTGTTAACATCCTCCTCGTTGTCCTGTTCTTCGTCCTCGTCCTCATCGCTCGAACTGCCAAACCCGCTCATAAGAGTACCGGCGCTGATGGCAAACGGCCCAATCCCATTTCCACCCGAACTGTCCGCAACATCCTGTCCTCCATTCAACCCTGCCTCAGCAAGGGCGTTGGAACCGCCACTCAGACCAAGAGATCCAAGAGCGGAGAGTCCGACGCCAGACATCCCGGAGCCAGAACGGCCCATGAGGCTCTCTGGTCGCACACCTCCGAGCACGGCATTGTCGCGTGTTCGCGTAGCGCTAAGCGGGCCTTCCACGTACTCGATCCAATCCCGCGCCATGACCTTCTCCAGAATGCACTCTGTGAGAACTTCGGTTTCGTGGCGCTCAGTAAACTTGACCACCTCCTCAGCAATGAGCGTCAAGTGCCCCATGTATCCCATACGGGTCTTTCTCTCGTTCTCGGATTTCTCGCTGGCGAGCTGTCCACCAATGATTTGGTTGGTGATGTCGGCCGTCTCAAAGAGGCTGATAGCTAGCTTATGGTTATAGCTGTCCTTCATAGGGCCGTTAAACACTTGCTGCACAATGTCGTAAACCACGTTGTGCAGGAAGTTGTTCCACGGGTAAGAGAAGAAGAAGCTCAAAATCGTGGGGACAACTTTGTATTCGACAAACTGCATCTTGAGGTAGTCGCCGACAACAGGCTCGTGCTTCTTGTCGGCCTGAGAAGCGTCGTGGGCGATCGTGGCATCGGGGTCACTCTGTTCTCGACCGGTAGACATTTGACCAGTCTCCGCCTGCTCCTCCTTTGTAGTAGTGGCCTGGTTAGGCTCCGAGGAGTCTGTTGTTCGGGCGGATGTCGAAAAGAGCGGCGCAGGAGTATCGTCCGGGTGGGGAGACATCTCTTCTGGAGCTACGCGCTTGTCCGAGCCGCCGCGAAGTTCCAACTGAACGTCCTCGGAAGGCTTAAGATCCAAATCACTTCCTTCTTTGCTGGTAGAGGTTTCCTCTGTCTTGTTTCCATCGTCGTTCTGTCCTTCTGAAGCAGAAGCTGTCCTGATAGGTACGGATGCCTTCTTGGTAGGGGAAAGAGGCGCAACCACCAGGTTCGGGTCGTCGAACTTGATGGGTGCTGTATCCTCCATGGGATTATGGAGGTCGCGAACACGCAGCCTTGGAGAGCTCAGCGGCTCGTCAACAAAGTCGTCCTCGTCCTTATCAAGGAATGACGATGTCGGGCCTGGCAAGGAACCTTCGGGAAGCTCCTCGATGCCGTGCGTGATGTCCTCGTCGGTGGTATGCGTGACCTCCTCGAAGCCATCATCATCTACCGATGTGTTGGTGACCCCCAACTTCCTGCCGGTATCCGCCGGGGAAGAGTGCGACGCGCGCATTGTGATATCTTCCGCCGCGGATGGGGGTTCCTGCTCCCGAACAGGCACGAGCCGGCCTTGCGTGCGGAGCAACTGTCGCTGAGCATCACGCTGCGCAATGACTTCTTCGGCGCCCACCTCATTCAGCAAGCCCATGTTGCTGCAGTGGAGCAGCTCAGCCATCAGCTCACATGTCTTGAATCTGTCGAAGCCCAGCGGCTCGATATGATCACCAAACGTGGAAGTGAAGCGTTCCTTTTGCGCGGGGGCGTTCATGATGAGGCTCATGAAATCCGGAATATGGTCGGCAAACATGCGAAGCAAGGTTCCAAGGTAGATCGGGTCGCGGGTTGAGGGGGTCGAGTTGGGCTCGGTTGCCTCTGGGTCGTAATCGGAGTTGTTCTTTCTAATGACTTCGATAACAATGCCCACACCACACGTGAGGGGGTTGCCGCCACCAAGCATGTACTTGATCAACTGCTCCACGCAGGGCTTCGAGACAAGTTGTCGTGTGAGCTCGTTCGGTCCGATGCAGGTCTGTTCATTCTGCGAGGCATTGGCGGAGACAGTAATGATGGCCTTGATGAAATCGGCGGCGGAGGTCTGGGTTGCCCAGCCATGCTCTGGGCCGAGGAAAGAAAGCAGAGTGGGCATAACGTCTTGAGTATAGAGCCACTAAAAGATGAGGACGCCGGTTAGTAAAAGGGAACTCGCAGTACCGGAACTGATCCACTTACCTCGACTATACCATGCCCAGCCTCGGTTCTCTCCAAGCTGATGATCCTCAGCAGCAGGTCCATAACCATCGGGCAATCGACGTGCTTGAGCATATCGGGAACCGCATTGTCGAGAGATTTAAGAAGGTCGATCATTTCCTCGGTTTTTCTGTCGAACAAGGACTCGTTCACCTTGGTGAAGTAACTGGCCTGGAGGGGGTCGAGCGGGGCAGGGCGCTTCAGGAATTGCCAGAACTCGCGCAGCAGGTCTTTGCTCTCCATAAGAGCCTCGAATATTGACCAGTTGTCCGACGACAGAATCTCGGCCGCGACAAAAGCATAGCGGTTCCATTTCTTTTCGACGGCGCTGTCGTCGTTGCTTGCATCGGTGGCCCGCGATGAGGCGCGGGGTCGAGTAAAGGGTAGGGAGATACCCCTCTGGTTTTCGTCTTCCTCATCGTCCTCATTTTCAGCAGCCGCCACGGGCTCCAGCTTGGGAGCGACAACGTATTCTAGCAACCTCTTGAGGACATCCTGGTCGCGGAGATACTCGACAAGCTTCGCATTGTGTTGCTTGAGCTCCTGGATCAAGTCGCTCTCATCGAGAAGCTCCTCAAGGGCAAAGTCGCCGCGGTCGAGGATGTTGTCTATTGTGCTGGCAACAGCGTAGCCGCCGAACCGCCAGAACATGTTGGGCAAATGTTATGAGTACGTCGGGGCGCCAGCGGTGAGGGGCACTGACACCGGACACGATTGAGGTGGCTCTTTTGACGGTTGTATGCAAGTTCGGGGGGCGGGCATGCGGCGGGGTTGAAAAGCAGGTGGGATGCGAATTGCGGATTGACCGGATTATTTGGCCGTCCTGGTCGGATGTGGTCTAGCCTAGCTCGGATTTTTCGTCTAATATTAGGCTTTGGGCTGGGGGGAAAGTATCGAATCGGGTTATGAGCTTGTGAATCGATCGGGCAAAGGGTATCTCAAGGTGTAAAACTGCAATGAGGAGTAGACAGCGTTAGCTTGTGAAGCGAGGCCAGAACAGCAGAGGCCAAGCAAGGTAGAAGATGGATAGTAGCGATGATGTAAGATGGGCGCTTAGGGTTAAGGAGGAGCAGGTTCAAGAGAACGAGGACAAGGCAGAATAGGGTTCGCTGGAGACGGCAACTAGGAGCAGGTAGCCTTCCTTGGGGATAGGGGCAACACAAGGTCTCTCAAGGGGACTGGAAGGGGAGCTGGAACAGATGCAGGGGGGCACGTGAAATGACTGGCTGGGACGATGTTTGGCGCCGAGGGTCGAAGGGTAGAAGCACCTTCTCCAAACCATTTGCTGCTGGGTTTCAAGGCGTGCAGGAGCAGCTTGCATTTCCCAGCCGAACCGGTTCGCAAGCGCGATGGGTAAGGCAGTTGCTAGAAGATGTTGTTGTTGACGGGGAGATGGTGATGATGGTGATGAGGGGCGATGGTGGTCGACTTGTTGGTGGTTGTGATGATTGGTGACGGGGGGCAGGACGGGGGGGCACGGGGCAACATCCACACAAGGACGGGAGGGCAGAGGAGGGGAAGCTGTGCTTGGCTACGACGACCTCGAGCCCTGGCTGCTTGCTGCCCTGCGTGGTGGACGGGGCAGGGCGACGGCGGGCACGGCACTGGACTGGGGATGGGACTGCAGTGGCCCGGACTCGGGGGCCTGGCCAAGAAGGGGGCTTCGTCGACGGGGTCTGAGGGGGGCCTGAGAGAGGGACCAGACTGAGAACACGTACAGAAACTTTTTGGTTGTTGAAGGAGGCAATCAAATCGCAGCACGGCTGTGAGCTGACTACCCAGGTTGAGAAGTAAAAAAGGGCGTTGCCGTCATGAAGAATCGAGCGATTGACGGGACAGGAGCAATCGGGGCGCGTGGGCAAAGGTTGGCACGCTGGGTTGTTGAAGGGTCTGGGCAGATTCCAGATTCCAGATTTCAGTTGTTGATGTTGACGCTGAACGCTGACGCTCTTGTCCATCCGAGTCAAGTCTGCGAAATTGGAATGGAGTGGGCGATGGGCTTGGTCACGCTTGATTACGTCTCGTCTTCTCCACAACACTGTGTACGGGAGCTTGTCATTGGTTCATTTTGTTGGGGTCGGGCGCTTGGGCCAGCCTACACAGTAGGTCTGCGCTTTCGTCGAGCGTGAGAACGCCGACTGGGCTCAATGAGGTGGTTCGGAGTGACATTCTTATCGCTCTTTATCAGTCAGCATCAAAACATTGATGTTGATCTCTTACTTGCCTCACGTCATTCCGAGGTCTTTCATCGTGAGGGCCGTTTTGTTCATTCATCTCTACAAAAGCCGAGTGGCACAATGAAATCCCCAGGTTTGTCCAGGAACAAGCACCCGGTTGCGCCCTCCGATAAGCCCTTCGTTGAGTCGTCGACAGCAAGAATAGGGATATCTCAACTCTCAGCTCATGCCGAATCGTGGTCAACTCAAACGTTAACATGTGGCCGTCTCTTCCCTTGGGCTCATCAGTGATTCTCCCTTGCTGTCAAGAGAGTGAAGTCTCCAACCCTTTCACCAGGTTTCAAGGCAATCCAGGCGAGCTAGGCTCAGTCAGGCCACCAGCGATCCCAACGATCCATCCAATCCTCGGTCCTCTCACTTGAAAGCAATCTGTCGCGCCGCCCATTCGCCACGTTTTTACCCCTGGCTCAGCACGTGTCGACCACAGATGGCATGCCACTGGCAGCCGCCAGCCCCCAGATCCCGAACCGCCAACGAACCAATTCTCCGTTATCTTATCTCGTCCGCAGGTCAGGTAGAGGTACCCAGGAACTCATCACTCACACAATACACCATCTGTTTGTGAGATGCCACCCGTGAAAGATATTTGGCCAGGTATCGAAACGGTTCATTATTATATTATCCAACTTGTCTCGCATATGCGCGCCAGACAGTTGGGATTATGATGGTTCCGTTGGCGACCAGGTACAACTAGAAGCTGAGATAAGAGTCAAGTGAGATCCTAGAATTACATTCAGGGCAAATATCGTTGATGATCCAAACATGGTCCATCACGTATTCCTCCGAGTGTTCCAACTTTTGGAGATTATTGTAGGCAGAAAGAGAGGAAAGAGGATGGCCGGCCATCCAAAACTTTAGAGAAGTAGACGACTACACATCATTTTCCTCCACGGACGCAGTGCCGGGATAGATCTCTTCGTCTGTCACCTCGATATGAAGCTGCATCATCTTTTTCCGTCCATCGTAGCTAGTGTAAGCAAAGGTGGTTCCTCGCAATGGCCTGTAATTACTGCAGCTCATAGCATCCTTTTCAGCATGATTATGGCCTTGTGACTTATCAGCGTCGGGTTCTGGCAGGAAATCCACCGTCGCACCTTTGCTTCCGGAACTAACGCAAAAGTGCGTGGGATCACTGTAAGCACGACTGCTAAGATCCCAAACATGGCCAACGGCTCGGCAGCCCCCATTGCGGTACCGGAAAATGATGCCCAGGCACGTTCCCTCCGAGCCGCTCCCGTCATCAAGATAATAAACCCGGGCTTCTGATACTTCCGAAAGAGGTGCGTAGCTCACGACCCCGTCACAAGGAATATTAAGATTATCAGGCAGTCTGGGGTAGCGAAAGGTGCTGATTTCGTCTTCATTGAGGCCTCCAACATCATCGGATGGTGTTCTTGTTCCTTCGGAATTGTCGAGGTCATGTATTGTCGCGAAAATAATATTCTCTTCGTGAAGCCTACACCCTTGGCCGTACACTAGGGCTTTAGGCTTTTTTTTGCTCCAAAGCACCGGTGGCCTGCCATCTGGGTATCCCCTGTATCGAGGAAGCCCGATGGTATCACGCGTGCTCATATTTATAATAATGTCTCCCGCGAGACGCATGCGAACAAAAATGCGGCTGTTCTCGCACTGGATGACGCCAATGTGGAGAATTTGGTCTCCGGGAGCAATTGGCAGATACCACAGACGCCTCGTTCGGTGCTTCTCAACGATTGGCGAGTCGTAAAATCCAGTGTCATCGTTGTAATGGGCGAAAATGGATCTCAGGTCAGTCTTGTGACTGAACATGAAAGTCAAGCCAGTGACTGAATTGAAGTTGAGGATGTGGCACGTAGAAATTCCTTTGCGAACGGGGAAGTATCGAGAGCGCGGGGGGCTAAAACGCTCGGTAATCAGACGTGTGGTTTGGCCCGGGGAAGGAGGATCTGGTGTATCCCACATGGGTAGTTCAAAGTGGTAAAATTTTGGAAAACGGAGGCAGAGTAAGCCGTCCTTGACACAGGCAGTAAAGTTACGCAATGTAGAAAGCTTCTCGACGACGAAGCCAAGATCAGCGAACCAAATCCCGGTAAAGGAAGGATGACGGGGAAGCCGCTCAATCACCTTGATGCCACGGTTATCAAGCGTGATGCGCATGACTGAGTCTACATCATTGATAGCAGACACGTGCTTAGGATCGGAGGGAAGAAGCAGGTCTCGTCGCTTCCACTTGACGATGTCGGCCAGGGGAATTTCTGTGAAAGGTTGTTCGGGTAGTAAAGCGAGTTGCAGGGCCAAGGTATAAGCCAAGATAGCTTTCCATAGAAAAACACCCGGCGAGGAGTGCTCGTGAATGAGTTGGACAATTTCGGTTGGGCACCGGGCCAGTCCAGGCAGACCGTAGGCACGGGCAACCTCCCTGATGGCCACCTCCGACATGTCGAAGACGGTGGGACTTGTGACTTTGTAGTAGTACGGACGGGGACCGGGATATCTCACCACGGAAGCCAGCCAGAGTCTCTCCCTGGCCAACTCTGGGGAAAGAGGATAGGCGTGGAGGAAGGTGGCGTAGCAATCGTGGTGATAGGCGATGGCGCTGTAGCGAGGGACAATATCGAAGGGCCAGCTCTCACGATTGACCGAGGGGCGTGGTCTCCAGGGAGGGTGGGTATGGTAGAGACACCATTTGCCGTCTACGATGGTGTAGGCAGACTCAACTGTGTATTCAAAGTGTCCGCTAGCGAAGCGAAAGAAGGACGGAAATGGGCCTATGGAGCCGACGTAGCTAAGCTGGTCTTTCAAGCCATACAAGACTGTCATAAGCGTTTCGGGTTGATCGCCACCTGTCTCCGGTTTGTCGATATCGACGAAACAGGCTCCGCAGCACGGCAAGACCCGCAAGGCCTCCGTACAATCCGCGCCTGGTCCATCGTAGGAAGAGCAGGACGGGGGATCACGGGATTCACGCAGGGCTCGAAATGCCGACCTCAATCTCTGGTGGCGATTTGAGCCCGGACGAGGAATTGCGTGCGAATCTTGCTGAGAGATGTTTTGCGAGTCGTTGGAGGTGACGGTGGAAGAGTCGTTCGAAGTGACATTGGAAGTGACATTGGAATGGATGTTTTGCGAGGTGTTGGAAGAGACGTTGGAAGAGACGTTGGAAGTGTCGTTGGAAGTGTCGTTGGAAGTGTCGTTGGAAGCTGGAACGCCGTTCATTTTGAGGATTATTTCTTGAGGATTCAATAAAGTGGAATGTCAGTCTGATAGTATCAAAAGCAGACAGGCGAGGAGGACCAACCGATGTAAGGAATGATGGGTAACCTTGATTGATCGGAGGTTGAAGAAAGAACGAAGCAGGGGCAATGAATGCCCTTTAAAATTTTGAATTATATCCAGGAACTAACGGCAAGGTTGGTTGAGACTGCCAGATATACCGAGTTACCTTGTACACACCGGATTTTGAATTAAGAGGTGGACGGTCAGGACTTCCATGGTTCGGACGAAGTGATCTCTAAGGGGGTGGCTGGATGTTTGTGGTAAATTACGCAACGTACATGTATGTATGTACACTGTACTGGCTGTAACCTCCACTGAGTGGACATTAAGTGATAAGGCTGCATGGGCGGGCCACCCCGCTATGCGGAGCCCGTGAATCCCCGCATTTCAGGAACAGATACCATACTGGTAAGATTGTAAGGTAACATTGGCGACTCCTTCCGTCGTTGACGAAACAACAATTTCAATTTCGATTGGAGACACTTATGGCAGTCACCATCAAGAATCCCACTCTACCAACTCCCATCGTCCCTTGTCAGATATCCTTCCCGTTCAAACATTTGACGGCGGCGGCGGCGACCAGGCTCGAAATCCCACCTCTTCTTCGGAAACATCTCTTCGATGTCTTCCCACCGAAAACTCCCTCGTTAGCATGATTCCGCCCGAGTCTCTCCACGCTCCCGGCATCTCTGGAACAGAGCGCAGAAACTGCTCCATGGAGACTGTACTGGATTTGTCTCCAGTATTGACCGTTGGATTCGGTAGTCGCCGGGCAAGAGGCACCTCGTCGTCAGCATCATTACCAACCCTCCGAACCATTGTTGACTCGGACGTGGCCGGCTGTGTGCCTCGTGTCCCGCTAGCCTGACTGGTGGTATTTCCTGCGGATCGTGCTCGCTTCCTCTTGAAGTAGTCTTGGACCGCTAGACGTCCAAATGGGATGGAAACAGCAATGATGGCGACTGCTAGCTCGGCGGATTCCCAGACGACTAGCTCTGCTGCCGAGTCTGGGTCAACACGACAGGTTAGCCATAGTCCCCAATTCTGACCGGGATCAAGAAATACTGACATGTGAAATCATTCTCCAGGTCCGAAGCTTTGATGTAGGTTGTCTTGATGGCCGCAACGATACCGGTCCTGCATCGTCTTGTTAGCACGATGTTACAAACACCCAGGCGGATAGACTTACAGAAGCCCAAGACTCAAGACAAACCCAAGCACAACCTTTTCGATCCTCCTCACCTGAAGGTGCCAGATAATGCACCAAGGAAGTGCCACCAAAGCAAAATCCGTCACCGCCGACCACGCTAACCATCCAGTCTGTCAGTCAGAAACCCCTTCCTTCTTCTCTCCGACGGAACGACCAGGAAGACAAACTCACCTCCCGAAAAAGACCAATACCGACAAAGCACATTAATATCCCAACACCTTCCCTTGACCGTCGGATTCCACCTTTTCTGGACAGGCGAGCACGAGACGAAAATAAAGATGCCCGACAACAGCTTCGTCACCAGCACCGACGCCGCCACGAAGACGAGCGCGTACCTCTGCCATTTTTTGCGTGCGATGTTGAACAGCGTCAGGCAGATGGACGTCTTGGCCAGCGCGATGCCGAAAAACACAAAGGCTCCGCCGATGAAGACGATCCTGGCGGCTGATATGGCTCGTGTGGGTGGGTGGATGGTCCAGATGTGGTAGCCAAAGCCGTGGCGGGTGGCAACGGCGGCGCAGATGGCGGCGGCGGAGAGGATGAGCTGGGTATGGGTATGTTAGATTTGGGTCCCGTGGTGATGGGCATAAGAGATGGATGGATGTTCATAACAACGTACAAAGGAGATACCCAAGAGGAGATCGTCGACGCCTAGCTGCTTGGCGTAGCGGTGCTTGCAGTAGTATCTGAAGCCCAGGGTTACGCCGGCTAAGGAAGCCATAACTGTGAAGACGATGATCAGGCGGGTGACCGCCGAGTCGGACTCGCTGGTTGAAGTCATTTTGGTGAGTGTCTGTGTCTCTGGGTTCTGGTGGTCGACATGGAGGCCATCGCTGTAGATGGTAGGAAGACGGGAGGAGGACGAAGTAGAGCAGACAGCTTGAAGACGCCGACTTGAAAGCAAAAAGGTACTGTGGAATGTCCAACGTGCTATGCGTCTACCTGGGATGCATCAAAGGCGATGTCTTCCATAGCTCAAAAGTAGTTAGTTCGCTGGTATGAATCACAGTAATGATCCCCCGGACCTCTTAATGCCAGATATTCATTCACCTACTAGCCATACTGTACCTTCTGAATCTCTTCTTTGGAGATATTATACTCCGTCAAGATGCATTCCAAACCACGACGTTGTTAAGGCAGTGGGAAAGGGGGTAAACAAGAAAGAAACGACGGGTTGGGTTTAGACTTCACGCGGGCTATCCCGCCCGCCACGTTGAGATCCTAGGGCGCTTTCATTGTGTCCGTTCATTGCCCGAGAAGCAAACAAATGATGAATGACGCATCGGTCCTCTGAGTTACGGCTATGGGTAATGGGCCAATGCAAACGAAGGGATGGTCAACCGTCGCCGGGCGTGTGTATGTCCGTTGGTGCGACGTTGAAGTCGAGGCGGTATAAGCATATCGCATGAAAGGTCGCCGATACTGCGGTGATACACGTCAACTGTGTCAACATCATTCACGTTTTTTGCGTGCTCTATGGTATATGTTAGGGATACATAGGCTGGGTGTCCTGTATCTGTTTTTAACAGTCAAACAGTGGGACGGTGGTCGAGTGGTGTGGTGTGCTGCACCAGTTCCCAAGGATATGAGCGATCTTGGTTGATGCATCTTAGTAGGTGGCCCAAGGTCCCAATGAGGGAAACCATCCGGGTTCGATTCCTGGCTCAGCCCTTCCACGAAATCTTTTTTGCTATCCTTTTCTTCACTGCTGCCCATCTTGGGTGGGGATAGGGAAGTATCGATCGTAGCCAGCGCATCTGAATTCTATTTTTTTGTTTTGTTTTTGAAACTAGACACAGACGCATCTACTGCGACAGGTCGTCACCCCAGACCTGCTTCGCAATCTCGACCTCGAGGCGCACCTTGGCCCACTGCTCCTCCACCGTCAAGTCGTTTCCTTCCTTGGTCGAGCTGAAGCCGCACTGGTGCGACAGGCACAACTGGTCCAGACCCCTAGGGCAGTAACCCGCCGCCTCGTTCAACCTCTCGATCATGGCCTTCTTGTCGTCCAGTTCGGCCTTCTTGCTCGACATGACGCCCAACACCACGATCTTGTCCTCGGGCAGGTGACGGAGCGGAGAGAAATCGCCTGATCGCGCATCGTCGAACTCGAGGAAGTACACATCGACATTGAGCCCCTTGAACAGCGTCTCGGCCACAGGCTCGTAGCCGCCCTGGGCGAACCACTGCGAGCGGAAGTTTCCGCGGCACAGGTGGATGCCGATGGTCATGTCCTTGGGCCTCTTGCTGATGGAGGCGTTGATGATGTCGACGCACTGCTGGGTCAGCTCGGCGGGGGTCTTGCCGTGGCGCTGCGCGGCCTCCTTGCTCATGCCCTCGTCGCAGAGGTAGGCCAGGTTGGTGTCGTCCAGTTGGACGAAGCGGCAGCCAGCGGCGTACAGGTCGTCGAGCTCGGCCTGGTAGGCCTTGGCGATGTCGTCAAAGAGGGGCTCGAGCGTGGGGTAGGCGTCGGCGTCGATGCCGTCGCGGCCGCTGCGGAAGTACACCATGGTCGGGCTGGGAATGCACACCTTGGTGGTGACGGTCTGCGACGAGGCCTTGACCGCCTCCACCTGCTGGTTCACGTAGTTGAAGTCGTCGACCTGGATGGCGTTCGGGTGGCCCAGCTTGCCGACAACGACCAGTCTGGGAGGGGTCTGGCCATGCGACGTGACGTTGGTGGACGCGACATGGCCGCGCTTCTCGACGCCGGCCAGATGCTGCAGGAAGTCGATGTGGAACCACTCGCGGCGGTATTCACCGTCGGTCACGGACTGGAGGCCGTTCTCGATCTGTTCCCGGACAACAGTAGCAATGTGCTCGTCCTCGACCTTGCGCAGGTCCTCGGCGGTAGCGGCCTGGCTCTCGACCTTTTCGCGGGTCTCGAGGATGGCCTTGGGGCGGAGGAAGGACCCGACGTGGTCCGCGCGGTAAACTCCGGCCGGAAGAGGCATGGTTGGATCTGTGTGTGGTGGGAACGGCCCGGGTATATTCGATAGGATTCAGTGTCGACGGTTTCCGACCCAGTACCAAGGTTTACATCGATATGCGGAATAGAAAGAGGGTGTGAGCTGCTGAAAGGGAGGGCGACAGACAGGCCGGCTCGATATGGGCGTCTCTTTTGCTATATACCACTTGGCTGCCTACCAACACCCAGTCATCCCAGATCCACCTATCGTGTCATTTGGCGAGCAATATGGGTCCAACCGGCGCGAGCAGGCTCGTGTTGAAGGGTCCGATCATCCATATTGGGAGGGTCCCGAGGCGAGCGAGGGTGGTGTCGGTGGTGAAAAGGGCATTGCCGATGTCGAGCGCGTCCAACTTCAGCTCCAAACAACCATTGCCGTTGTGCGGGGTAGGAGGCGATGTTGCTTTGCTGGACGCTGCTGGAGCCTGGACATGGGCAAAGCTTTTCCGGAGGAACGATAACCCCGAGCTTGTTCTCGATACGTAGCTGTTGTCGGCGGCTCGGCCCCGTTTTGCCCAGCAAACCCTTCGGCGGCTCGTGATGTCATTCAAGGTGAGTGGAGGTCGTTTGGCGATGAAGCTGACTGCCGAAGAAAATGCTGTGGACGGGAAGCGGAAGATCGGGACACTAGCCGAATTCAGCTGGCACCAGTGGAAACAGTGGAGTCGGGTATTGTCGCAAGATATTCAGGGCAGTCCACCAGAGAGCAGATACCGACGGCATTCCGAGATTGGCTGCAACAGACCGGAACACCAAGAATTGGGTGAAGGGGAATATCTCAATCACTGCGCGAGAGCTTCATCTTTATATGCTCAGTTTTGACTGGTAAGGCCGGCAGATGTCGTCGTGATCGGGGGTCTTTGGTGTTGATGCCGGGCCGGGTTTTCTTGTCCAGGTCCCCGCCCCCGCTATGTATGCCGTACCCCACTTTCCGATTTATCAGCTGCAAGAGTGGCATTTCCCGCTCCCGCTTTTGACGGACGACCTGTTCCTGAATTGCATCTGCATCGATGTTGACAGACACCAGCAAATGATGCTCAGGTTCCTCACTTCTTGGGCTTCCTCTTTTCGTTGTTTGTTTTCAGTCGGGAACTGAACCCATTCCCCTGCCGGCGGCCGCGGTCTTCTGCATCGTGCGTCACCTTTCCTCACCGAACCGGCGTATCACGGTCTCACCTCCAAAAAATGATCCATTCCTTGCCTCTTTAGGTTCTTTGAGGAATCAACATTCCGCACGGCGTCTGCCTCAGTTTTCTTTCCCTCCCAATATTATTCCCTTTCATTACCGCTTTCAACTCGCGAGGCATGATCCCGTCATTTTGGGGGGTTCCCATTTTGTCCCACGGTCACACTCCAAGCCAGCCCTCTAGGGTTCTCCCCTTAACACAACGTCTCAGATAATTGCCAACAAGGCTTATTGCATGCAGCTTTTGTGCATACATTTGCCCTTTTCTGTGTTTCTGTGTTCAGTTACTACTACCCCTGGCGACTGGAGGTTTCCGTGTCTTTTTTAGCGCGCACTCGACTCGTTGTTCTTTTTCAGGCAACTGGCAAAATGCCACGATGCTTGTCTCGGTCTACGGTACCATACCTCCATACCCAGGTCCCAGCCGTGTTGCCAGCCTCATCATCGGGGCGGATAATCCCCAATTCGGCTTGTGTCTCAGAGCACGTTCGTCTCTTCTTGTAGTCTCACTTCACGTTGTTGGGGGCCGCCGGGTTACTCAAAATCTGGTTTCGGCACTCCTGGAACAACTGGAACAAATTAGCAGAAGAAGCGGTGTGTTTTGAGTTCTTCTTTCAAAATCCTCCGATCGGACTCAGAGGAACATGCATGTGCATGTCTATGTCTTGTTCAAGTGCCTAAGACCAGGCAGATTTCTTTGGTGTTTCTTTTCTTCCTCTTTCGGAGCATGGCACCGCCAGGAGCGCGTATCGGTACAACGAGCGAAAGCCGAGAAAATTCACGCATGTGGATTTCTTATGATTTTGCAGTGCGAGTGCGCTAGAGAAGAGGCTAGGCGCTCGCTAGCAACCGTCCATGGGGAGTCGAGCAGCGCTAGCGTAGTGCGGAAAACGCCACCGTCTCGGTAGATGCCAGATGCCCAGATCAAAGATGCTTGCTTTAACACGTGAACCGACAACCGGGCGATCACTGGTAAACAAGTGTTGAGACAGGCAATGCGTGGATCGCGGTAGCGGACCGAAGGCGTGGAACCGTGGGGTTTTTCGTCAAGTTATCACGAGCTTGAAGATGCGGTTGATATAATCAATTAAGTAAGGTTGGTGGTATAGTTACGGTATCCAACAAAGGTATACCAAGGTATCGAGGATTGACAAAGAAAAGACAACAACAACAACAACACCAGGACAACCACCACACACCACCGCCATCGTACATCACCCCGCGCAAAGATATCATAAACAACTTTAAGCCTATCCAACCGCATATCCAGAAAAATCATTCCCATCACACATTTCATTCCCATCGTTCTCGTACTCCGTCGTGCTTGCTGATCAAAATCATTCGCTCAAAATACAACCGCGGGGTATCCATCATGTTTCTTCTCGAACGCTGACCGTGTTGGTTGAAAGCGTGGGTGGTTGTCCATCTTCTCTCTCTTTTTTTCTTCGTTTATTTAAACCTGCTTCTCAGTGGGGACGTTGAGCATGCCCTCCTCAGCGGCGTGGGCGAAAGTGGTGGTAGGCTTCCACTTGGCCGACGTCCTGGGGGTGGTCTCCTCCATCATCTTGTCGACCTGCTCGAGCGAGAGACCCTTGGTCTCAGGCACCAAGAAGTAGGTGTACACAAAGGCGCAGGTGCAGAGACCGCCCCAGACGAAGAAGACGGACGACTTGAGGTTGCCGCGCTTCTCGCCGACCATGTAAGGGGTGATGACGGCGATGATGGTGTTCCAGAGCCAGTTGGAGGCGGTGGAGAGACCGACACCGCGCGAGCGGATGGGCAGGGGGAAGATCTCGCCGATCAAGATCCAGGCACCGGGACCCCAGGTGGAGGCGAAGAAGAAGATGAAGATGGCGATGAAGGCGATCTGGGCGTTGACGGCGTTGATGTTGTTGGCGATGGGGTTGCCGTTGGCGTCGTGGTGGGTGTGGTTGAAGCCGACGGTGACACCGATGATGGCGACGAGGAACTGGCAGATGAGCATGCCGAGGGCACCCCAGAAGAGGATCGTGCGGCGGCCGAAGCGCTCGACGGTCCAGAAGGAGATGGGGGTGGAGAAGACGTTGATGATGGTGAAGACCATGGAGATCAAGAAGGTGTTGGAGATGGCGCCGGTGGACTTGAGGAAGGGGGTGGAGTAGTAGAAGATGAAGTTGACACCGGTCCTGGTTATTATTAGTATTTGGATCTTGTGTTTTGTTTGAAGAATTTCAAGGGAAGCTCACCATTGCTGCATCATCTGAAGAGAGGTACCGAGGATAGTCTTGCGGAGGTTGGAGTTGGCCTTCCAGAGAGAACCCTTGAAGCAGTTGGCCCACGAGCCGAACCAGGTGGTGGAGGGGATGAGCTGACGCTCGTACTCCTCGTTGGCGACAATCTCAGCAAGCTCGACCTGGATGTACTCGGAGTTGGGGTCCTGGCCACGAAGACGGGACAGAGAGTTGGTGGCAGCAGCGAGGTTACCCTTCTTGACGAAGTAGCGGGGAGAGTCGGGGAGACACATGAGACCACCGGCGAGGATGATAGCCCAGATAAACTGGATGGCGATGGGAATACGGTAAGCACCAGTATCCTTCCTGTCCTGAGTTCCGTAGACGATGCAAGAAGCAAGCATGAGACCGATGGTGATGCAGAATTGGTAACCGGCGACCAAGGCACCACGGACCTTGCGAGGGCACTGCAGACATTGGGTGGTTAGTTGACGGACCTGAAGAGGACTCATCAAGGGTAAGGAAAACTCACAATCTCGGACATGTACAGAATGACGACGGCAGACTCGAAACCCACACCGATACCAGCAATGAGACGACCAGCAACGATAGCACCGAGAGCATCACCAAGACCAGTGATCATCTGGATCACGCAACCAATCAGGTAGATGAGACAGCCGAGAATGACAGTCCACTTGCGGCCCATCATGTCGGCGAGATCACCGGCAATGAGGGCGCCAAAGAAGGTACCGCAGGACAAGATAGAGACGACGAGGGACGTGTGAGATTCGGAAAGCTCCTTGTGGATGGTAGCGGTGCCTTCGACGGCATTGATAAAGATCTGCGAGCCGAGAACGCCGTTGATGTAACCGGAGTCATAACCGAAGAAGATACCACCGAACGACGCGAAGGCGCAGATGAGGTAGGCCTTCCATGTGACGGGGGCTTCGATGCGTTCGACATCTGGAGTGTGAGCGAGCCCGATGTGGGCCGCTGTAGGAGCCGTCTCCTTCTCGTGAGTGGACGACATGGTGTTTGGTGATTTCCCTTTCTTGTCGTCTGGTTGTCGTTATGGGAAGAAGAGGAAGAGAGACGAGAGGAAGGAAGAGGGGATGAAGGGAGGTATATCACTTCTCGACGACACAGAAAGGAAGTCAAGAAAGCGGCTTATGAAAGGGGGGTGACAGACGGGATGCGAGGCTCTTTATGTAAATTGAGTTTGCATGTTTAAGGTCATGTATGTGTGCCCGTAACTGGTTAATGTGGTACACTCCGGAACCTTGTCGACTTTTTCGGCTTCCCCATGGCCACATGCATGCCCACAAGAGTCCCAGGTTGGAGTAGACGGGGGAGGGTGGGAATCATGTGGCTGCGGAGGGCTTGGTCGGATCCGGCCAGTCAGAAACGGAGATACGCACCTAGACCAGCCAGACTGAGCCAGACAGAGGGCGATTTCCCCGACTTGGCAAGGTGCTCCGCTCCCATTTGTTGCGGAGAAGGAAGATTCTACCCCAAATTCAGTAGAAGCTCCATCGTGGGGAGAGTCTGGAGTGTTGGGTCTGGGGTTGGGTGGAAAGGCGGAGGGTGGTGGAGGAGTGGTCCATCCCATCTCTGTTCAGGGGGGTGGCCTCCTTCTCCATGGGGTCTCCAGGTCGTGGTCATCCTCCTTGGGTCCCATCCATGCAGCGCCATGCACGAGAGATGCAGAATAACGCCGAGCGAGAGAGCTTGGCCTCGAACAGTCTGGTCCGACTCTTTGGTTCCTCTTGAGATGTCTCTGAAATTCTGAATCATACCCCCCTGGTAAGCCGTATCCGTATTGTAACGTCATGTGAAGGAACGCATCCGTACAGCGCTTCTGAACCCCATTTTAATGCGTTACATTCCTTACGCAAAATTACCTAAGAGACAACCGCTGAACCCCCTTCCGTTACTTCCTCCCGGTATGGGATGTCTTGGGTCTCGATCCAGTCCCGAATTAGCATTGTTTGTTCCCGGTCGTCAATCTTCAATGTTCCATTCTTCGATGCGTGTCTTGCCTTTCGCTCTTCTTCAATGGATGCATGGGGCGAGTCCTTGACGACATCATCATCATTTGGAAACTTTCACTTTGATACAAGCCAACCACCCGCCTGGAATGGAAGAGACCTCCAGATCACCCGCATTCCACACCGTTTGCATTTCCGCCTCGGTCAACTGTTCGCGCTCAAAAATAGGCCGAGGCCCAGTCCCACCGCCATGCAACCCCCGGGCCGGAGTCCCGACCATTCAGTTACCAGCCCGACATCACCACCAAGACGTCAAAGCTGCATCTCTTGGGAGAAAGATCCCCTTGGGAGAAAGATCCCCTTGGCTATTATCATTTTCTCTCGCTCTCGTCCCGAATGACTGGTTCCAGTGATAGCTCCCGCGTGATTGATGTTATTAGGCGACCTCTAGGCGCAATTCCCAACTTAGCAATTGACCGAGTGGACGCCCGTCCAGCTCGCGCGTGGGTGTGGTTACATTCCCCTATACAAATGGGAATGGTTCCCTTCTACGGTACGTATTTATTTACGAGCCCCCTTTTCCGGGTCATGACACACACCAAAGATCATTTTGAGAGGATGGCGACAACCATACCATACTTGGCAAACCATGGTGATGGCGACGACGATGACTCGCATTCGTTGATGAGGATGTAGATGAAGGATTCTTCGCTCGGTGCTTCTCATCCTATCCTTTGACACCCTTCCCTTCCATTTTTCTCCTATGTACGACCGGTGCATTTTAATATATCTACGCGTTACACACAATGGACGGGGAGCATTCATCTTTTCATCTTCAGATTGCAGAATCTCAGATAAGGGATGAAAGGAATTGAACGGTCTCTTCCTGCGTATAATTCTGAAAAGACGAGTTGTTGGCCGGCCTACTTGGCCGATGGTGCAGCTTGCCTTTCCGTTACTATTCCCAATCTACCTCCCGCTCCTTAATTGTCCTTGTTATGGATTGCCGCCCGCCGCGGTTCGCTCCCGCCGCATCGCAGCAGGTTGGGGGTACAGAATTTCGCCTCTTTCAACATCATACGCTATAACTTTCATTACATACGACAAGTTTAAGCTCCTCATCCAAGGGCCTTATTCCCTATCCCTAATATCTAATTTCTACCATCCATGAACGCAATCAGATCATCCAACGATCTTCGTTACAGTAGCCAAAAGGTTTTAGGTTTAGGTTCGTGGTTTTATGGGTTGAACAGTCGCACGGACGTGTTCTTACCCCTTCGTCGTCAACCCTTGATGAGGATCTGAGGATGGGGAGACGATCCTGATAATATGATGATGCACCGTTATCCAATACCCACCCAGTAGTATCAGTACCGAATCTTCAGCAGTGATGAAATCTGCAATGGGTTGAACACAAGCAACGAGTATAACGCATTGTTGCAACTCCAGCCTTGTCGTACCACCCATTATCAGAATTAGGGTCCTGGGTCTCCTCGACACAACATGGATCAGTTTGAGGCTGAAGTTATGTATGTGATCATGGTGGCACGCAACACGATACCCTATTTCATCTCGAGGTCCTTCTTTCCCCGCCGGTCTGCTGGCATCATCGGAGTACGTACCGAATGATGCCCAGAACTGACATCGTGGTCGCCAAGGGCCCAAACGAGTCAGGTCTCTCTGCTTGGAGGTTGAGGCCAAGCAACCAAGTTCGCTGTCGTCCTCCCACAAGGAGCCGCACAACGACGTCCAAAAGGTCAACCGTCGAAAATCCCGCCTGCAAGACGATAAGAATGACCCCCTTCGGCAGTACTTACACATTAGTACCGGCGCTTTTGTGGGCGCACTACATACATCATCCATCAGCAACTCAAACTAATCTGGGTAAAGCGTTGTTGAACGCCAACACTGACTCGCATACGGCATACCAACATACGTACCATATCGCGTACATACTCGGGGTTACTTTACTCGGTGTTTTTTTTCTAAATGGGAGCTTCATGTTTGTTTTGGGCATCATCTGTACCGCAACGTGTCGTCGCTTGGTCCGCAGGGCCGGATCTCCTCTTAATCCATCTCTCCCGGCGCTTTGGCGACGGCGACACGGCGACGGCGATGGTGACCATGACAGCGACGTTATTATCAATTAACAATTGGCTGTTCGCTCCCAACAACAAGCTTTCCTTGAACCACAGATCACAAGTGCATCACGACCGAGTCGCGCCGCGCCGCGCCGCTTCTCTGTGTTATGTGAGCAATGTCAGCAATGGTAACAATCGTCGTAACGTCGTTCTTTTCCTTACAGAACGACTTCGACGTTACGACGTGACAACTTACTTTTACTTAGACACCCTCTGGCCCTCCATCTGTTCGTCCCAAAGAAGAAAACCAGAATGCTGCTGACCCCAACATTTCAGTGGAGTCAGGCACCGGGCGCGCCAACCCTAGGACAAGCATGGAAACGTGGTCCGGGGCGACAGGGGAGGGTCGCTTGTAAACGGTCCTTTTCTGGGTCCTCTTCTCGCATCTAGATTGACTCCAAGGCTCCAATGTCTCCATTGTCTTCAGTCTCTCCAGTCCTTCCCCCCAATCCCCTCACTTTTCCCCGCTCGCCCCGACCTCGCGATCTCGTTTCCCCAGATAAACCCCATGATATTGGATCTCTCCATGGTTTTTGAGCGGGCTTCTTCCCCATGGGACGGGTGGATTGACACGTAACGATTGAGGAGACAACGAACGACCAACAGACCTGGGGAAATCCCCGCCCAATACCACCGCACGAAATCGGGTGGGTATTGGTGATTGGAAGTCTAAAAAGCCACTTTTTCATGGCATATGACTTTCATTCTAGAATTCTGGACAACAAATTGAAGACCGGGAACGGGAACGGCGACAGTGGGGCATTCCCATTCCCCCCCCCTTGTTCCTTTTAGCAACAGCACTTCGTCAGCGCTTGGCATCGGGCTTTGCCTGGTAGGCTAAGGAGCTAAAAGTCGTCGTCCATGACATGAGTGGCTGTCCGCTGTAAAACCACTGAACCACCACCGTGGGTTCCCGGCTACCGTTCAGCACCATTTCGTTCAGGTTGCCTTGGCCCAGAATTCGCTAGCTCGCCGAGCCCTTCTGGAGAAAAGCTCTTTTTACCCGGGATCGCCAAGCTCTTTTTACCCGGGATTGGACAGTGGAGATGGAATTTCTTTTTTCTGTCATGCTGCCTTTTTGGCGCTGGGATTTCTCCATCACCGACCGGCGACCACGATAGCCAAACCTGCTGGTAGACATGGCCCTACGCTTCCAGTGCACGAATGCCCTCTGTTTGGAATCAGAGGGGGCTGGACAGCTGAACTTGACACCGCAACAAGATGCCCGGTGGTCATCATTCGATTTCTTACGGCGGTGTACGCAACAGATTGAGGATTGCACCGACAGTTGAAACAGTCGACGTATCCGGCCAGCCTGGACGGTAACCCGCATCATGTGCCCCTGGATATCAAATGTGGTCTCATGTGACGAGGTCTCTTTCTTTGTTGATTTTTCGGCAGCCCACTTGGGGGCTGGAAGCTCCCTTTGTTGCACCTGTCGCCTGATTACTTTCAGTTGTGATGGTGGTTGGCATATTTGTCAAAGAAACTTCGTTTGCCAGCTCGACAGGCTGGAGCACCAGCCCTGTTTGCCCTACCAGTCAGCCGCCTGGCTACACTAACCACGGCACAGCTGTGAAGGTTCTGTGATTCCACACCTGGTTGGGCCTGGATCTCCGAGTGCCCCAGCGCTCTTTTGTTTCGGATCGCAGCTCGTTATTTTCCGGATCTACAAATCAAATCTTCAGGACCGAAGGTGTTCGCACGAGGTCACTCCTGCCAGCCTTGCCATCCACGAGGAATTCCAGCTTGCTCGGCAGCATTCTTCGAGAGACGGACTGCTGAGACGTTTGGCGCTGTGGACGGTTGGACGTGGATGGACACACGGAAAATCAGAGTGGTATCCGTCCCTGTGTATCTACGGCGTGGCAGTAACCGAGGTAAAGGTAGCCAATCCTTTACGCCGACGTGCTTCTTCGGTCTTCCGGCCCCACAGCACGTCTGGTCCCCTTCGAGTTCTTCGACCCCCCTTGGCGTCCAGTCCTTTTCATTTCCATGTTGTGGTCGGGTGTGCCACCATTGGGTACGCGGTGCAGAGGACCGGAGGTTGAGGGCCGGATGTATTCCCTATTCTGTCTTCTTTTCGGGCCGTTCTGGGGGTGTTCTGACCAACAAAATCGGCCACTCTGCAGTACCGTGCCGCGTTAGCAAGGAGGCGTTGGTCATTCGCGATCCGGGAGTGCATTTGTAAATTGCGAAGGATGATTTGTTTACAAACCGAAAAGATGGAGAAGCAGATATCAGTTCTGGATAGTGCCAACTAGGGGCACCCTCTGTCTAGCCATGGCAATGATTCTTGGTCTTGTCATCTTGTGTCGGTGAGTTTCTGCTTTTGTCAACCCCTTTGCCTCCTGACAACTTCATCGTCGTGTGGGTGCTGTCAAACTTCATGCCTGAGGAGCGTGCAAATGCTAACTTTGTCTAGAAATGACGACGAGACAGATGTCATGACCGTCAACATTGCTCCTTCTTCCCAGTTGAGCCAGTCAGCCAGTCTTCCATCGTGATGACGGCTTGACTATCCCAAATTCGACCCAACTTACGTCGCGATCTACTCCTGGGACGGCGACATACCAGGCTGGACTAGCAGCGTCGTGCATCCAACACCAGCATCGACGTCGTCCATCGCCAGAATTCGAGTCGCTTTCGGTATTTGGCACGCTCGAATATCGAGAAAAAAAAAAAAAAAAAAAAAAAGATCGACCTTGCCGCTGTCAACTGAAGCGCCCTCGTTGGAGAAAGGCAGGAAATGCCATTACGATTCTCGACCTGTCGATTCTGCGCGCAGAGTTTGCCAGTTCCGCATGCCGTCTACCCCGCTTGATGACACCAATAAGAAGCAAACCTGTGCTAACCCCAGACGCCACAAGTTTCGGGGGTGGCGTTGGCAGCTTGCTGGGCGAATGCGGGACAGTGGCGGCAGGCAGCCAGGTGAGGGGACAGGTCGAGTTGGAGAAGTTGGCCTTTGTTGGAGTTGACCAGACTTGTCGATATTCCCGATGGCTGGCGATTGAACATCGAAAACGCCAATTGATCGCTGCGGCGGCGGTGGCAGTTTCGGCCGACGAGAAACAGCAACAAAGGTGGCAATTGAGTGCGAGAAAAAAAGGTGAGTGCCGTGGGATTACAAACTGCCGTCTTCCCTTTCCAACGGTTTCGGGAACTCGAAGCGAAAGAACGAACGTGACGAGTGCCTGAAACTGTCCGTCCGGCCCGTTTGACACTTGGTCGTGCAGTGGCCCGTAGCGCCCGGAACCTTCGCCGCGAACGGTCGGGGCTCTGAGTAGCCGCTGTCCGCATTCCGGCGTCTCGTACATCGCCGTCGACGTTGTGCGCACCGAGATTTGTGCTATATGAGGCATCGGACAGTTGCGCTGTGCTCCTCAACACAACGAAGTCCATGCCTCGTACCTCGTGCCTGTCCGTTCTGTGTTTCCTATGTTCAGCAACCACCTCCACTGCACTTATCGTCACGATGTGATCTCAATTGATGAAGACAGCGAGCACTGCGCGTGAACGGTGATCTGCTTGTAACAAACTTCTCTTACAGAAGGTGCTCATCACTTCCTCATCCGGACTAGTTTACCCCATACCCCGGTATCTATCAGCGTAACATTCGTGTTCGTTTATAAGTTGATACGTTGTTACGCATTCGTTACATACGCAGGGCTTCGTTCGTTCCAGTGCTTCGTCATTTCCATTTCATGGAAATATTCTCATTCCATTCTTCACGTCAAACCATCCCTTGAAAAGAATTTCGGTGTCTCAATATCACCAACAAGCATTTTTCTAGACGTCGTTTCCGTCAAAGAAAAAAAAAATAGCAACACCCGGCGGGAACACGTCACAATCCCTTCTGTTAGATCCCGTGAAAACGTGGTTCTTCCGTGTCCGTGTGTTTCAGTTCCGAGTTACTTGTCATTTTTCTACGCGGAACTCTGTAACAACCGCATCATTTTCCAACAACAACCTGAACTGAACAAAAAAGAAAATGAAACGCATGCAATCGAAGAGCGCTCTGTCTCTTGCAAAATGAGTACAAAAATCTCCAAAAGATTTGACGGGTACAACTTCAAACCCCCATGGATGCAACCCACCGAGTTGCCCGCCGTGCTGCCCGTGTCAGTGCGTCAGAGCCCGTCTCGCCCGTCAAATTAGAGGTAGCAACTGCAACCATACCTAGCCTCGCTAGCCTACCTACATTGGACTGAGTATGGAGAAAGGAGGTGGAATACAACGTTTGTTGCTTCCGAAGGGAACCACATTCGTTGATGTCGGTCGTTTCGTAGGTGGTGGTGGTAAAGAGATCCTCTTTTTGCGATCACATCCCCCTTGATCCTGTTCATCTTTCTCGCGACACCATCACTCACAGTGAAGGGAGAGTGGTCGTTGACAACATCGTCTTCCGGGGCGCCCGTTAGAATTGACTGAAGCGCAGCTGTTATTTAAGTCTAGGAAAGGATCTCAATCACCAACTCAAATTTTGGCGGTCTACCTTAAACGCCAAGTTATATCTCAATCATAAAAACGAAGACTTGGCGGTCTACCTTAAATGCTAAATTAAATCTCAATCTTTTTATAAAACTCTAAATTGAATCTCAATCATAACACTCAAATTTTAGCAGTCTACTTTAAATGTTAAATTATATCTCAATCTTTTTACAAAACTCTAAATTAAAACTCTAAGTTAAAACTGAACAAAAAGTAAAATATAGATGAAAATCCAACAAAAAAGAGTTCAAGACTTACAGCGCGAACCCTACCTTAAGTCTCTAGAGAACGAGTTTCCTAAGCCTACTCCGAGGGATAGCCCAAGATTTACCTATGCCTTAATTTCTTTACCTTACTACACCACAGGACTTTTATGGGCAAGTTCCCCCTAAACGGTCTCCCCAAATCGGTCACCCCCATGGTTAATATATAGTAGCTATAGTTAATATTACTCTACAATCGGGTTTATAATTTATATTAAAGTTAGCATATTTATTAAGAGGGTGTTCGAGTTAGTATATAGGTTTTTTTTTTTTATCTACTTATCAGAATCCGGGTCCAGGGAGTCGAAGTCGGTCTAGAAAATCAAGGGTCGGGCCAACGGAGTCGAGGTTTTCCGGGAATAGAAGCCGATCCGGACCAATCCTGCAAGTAAGGGTATAGTTCACTCCCACCTAAGCCATAGAACCATTATGGCTAGTCGTCACCCAAGACTAGTAATAGAGCTTATAGGAAGTGAGCTTATATAGCCGAATTTAACGTCAATATGGTAGTATAATAATAATAGCAATAATAAAGGTAATAATACTAGATATAGTGTTGAAAGTGATGATATTGAAGGTAGTGTTGAAAGTTATGGGATTCTTTTTTTTTCCCTGGTCATAGGCATGTCATGTTCGATCTCAAGTACACTTCCCGTCTTTGTCGGCAGTTAATGAAACCATGTACGATCTGATGAAGCGTGTCTAACCGACGGTATGTATAACACTCTCAACGGCGAGATTGATATACATAGCAAGGCAGGTAAGGCAATAAAACGGCGACGGCAACGGGAACGGGAGCGGGAGCGGCAGGGAAAACACAGAAGCGAAACAATTACACAGTAGTATCCATTCATGAGCAAGTCCATCGTCAAAAAATCATGTGAAGCTCATCTCTCGAGAATGAGGTATCATCAATAAATGGAAACCCTCTCCCCTGAAGTGCACACCGTTGACACAACGGTAGGCCCAACGGTAGTTCCATTTCGAACACACCATAGAAAACATGGACCAAAAATCGCAGTACCTACTGTGACTTCAAATCGGAATGCAGCACCGATTTTCCCGTCCCTGTGACGAAACCAAGTAGAAGTGAGTCCATCGAGCGATCATAGGTACCCAGGCTATCGGCACGCACGTTGAATTTCGTTCTGATCACGATCTTGGAAAGGATGCATATATTCACTGTTTTGGTTCCCATGAAAACGTCAGCCAGTCCTTTTCTTGCTTTGCAATTGACTTGTTAGCGGACAGTCGTCTGGGCTGAAAGACGATACCAGCGGCCTTCAACTTTTGGTCTTCCATCTTCTTGATTTTTCCACATGCCCTGACGGGCTGGCCATCTGAAAGAACCTCGTCTTGAAAATAAAACCATCTTTGCTACAGAGAGGAGATACATTAGCTCTGCCAATTGCCTTCGATCAAGGTTGAAGTTGCATTACAATAGGGAGCATCATCGAGCATGGGATTATGTGATGCTGTAATGCGGCTGTAGTGTCAGTAATCAGATGATGTGATCAAGAGATGGCATGTCGGTATGCTTGGATCAAGTCGATATCGACCTGGTAGGTTGCCCGTCTCCGGATCAATCAAAAATGACGACTCAATGTAGTAGAGGAGCCCAAAGTAATCAAGACAATCGCGAGACAGCAACCATTTTTGTTCGAATGCAATCTTTTATCTGTTGCTCTCGCTGGTATACTCGGAGATGAGCCGTTATTACTATTATACACACTTTTAACCGTAGTAAAAAATGACTGCCAAAGAAAACGTTTGCTTATTCGAGCATTACCGTAATACCATGACCACAACCGCCTTCAGCCTTCAGTGCGGCCTTCAAACACCCACGGGCGAGTTGTTTCATGAACCCATACACTCCATGACTCTCAGATAGCCCTATCACACCCTGACCCAAGACATCTTCCGACAACCTACACCACCATTTCTCGCACTATTTAATCATCATCTTCGACCGTCGCCCTTTAGTCCTCCTCACCGATGCGGATCCTACCCTCAGTAGCGAGGCCATGAGACCAGTAGCCGTCAAGGTCGATATTGGTTTCGGGCATGGCACGATGGCTAAGCAACAACCAGAAGCCAAAGACGGGCTTCGCAAGGAGGTCGAGAACTGTGTAGATCATGATCTCGGTATCGACGCTCGTCTTGCGGGCACCATCGGCGATTCCCCAAACACTGTAAAAGGAGGTGTAGTTAGCATTTAGCAGGATGCAGATAATGATAAACGAAGCACTTACATGGGATACGCAGTCCACAGCAACAGCGTAAACAGGGCCAAACCGGTAAACAGCCTCGAGACACCACGTCCCTTGGCTCTGACAGTCCTGCTGCCATGAAGCGCCACATGCCAAATGACGAAGAGGTACGAGACACAACCAATGGTGTACCAACCCCACTTCTGCGCTGTATTTCCTTCCTCTCCCAGCACCGCGAACAGGCCGCCCAGCACCATAATCACGTCCGCCACAATCGCCATGAGCGTGTGGGCGCCATCAACGCCGGCCAGCAGACACAGGTCCAGCAGCAACAGCGGCGTGGTCAAGGCCCAGTCGACGTAGCGGCCCCAGAACACCTGGCGACACACCTGGTGCGACGTGTCGGGCACGTGCTTATGGTGGTCCCAGACAGTGCTGCAGTTGTACGTGGTGGCGTGGCCCGTGGCCATGGCGAAGTACGAGAGCGAGGCGACGATGGTGATAAGCGTCGTGATGACGTGGAAGAGACGCTTCGAAGTCGGCACGTTCCACGACAAAAGGGCAAAGAGGCCCGACGAGAGAACCATGAGGGCGAAGGTCACCCATAGGGTGCGGTGGCCTGTTTCGCCAACGGTTTGATACTCTGTTGGGGTAGCTGGTTCACGGATTGTTAGTCTGGAATCCAGTCTAGCGGAAGAGAATTAACAGACGGGGACGGGAGACGTACGGATCACGGTCGGGACCGGTCCCGGCACAGAGGTAGCTGGTTCACGGACTGTTAGTCTGGGAATCCAGTCTAGCGGGAGAGAATTAACAGACGGGGACGGGGACGGGGACGGGAGACGTACGGATCATGGTCGGGACCGGTCCCGGCACATAGGTAGCTGTAGTGGATGTGATGGGCCGAAGCATGTCGGCGACTTGCTCTGGATGGATCATGTTGTTTCAAAAGTATCAAGTTCGACTACACGACAAGCCAGTTGGTGATATGTCGATGAAAAGGAGAATAGCGAGGGAACCCGCCCTGATCGCTCAACAGCAGAGGACACACACTTTATTCCTTCCCCTGGACAACATGACGGCACTGCTGCCACTGCACGGGAAGGAGGACAATGCGGAGATGCAGGCAAGTCAGCTGGTGGGCATCCGTAACGGCGACGTCATCCAGTTCCTGTGTGTCACCCGAGATGAAGTCCGACCCGAAGTGGCGCAAGTGGTGCCTTTAAGACGGTCTGCCAATGTGCTTGTGTTTCTTGGACTCGGACGAATGCTGGGAAGCTGCCTGTTGTGCCTGGTGGTGACGGTGCGGGGAACGAGGTAAACAGCATCTGCATTGCATCGAGCGTACGCGTCCAGAATCTCCCGATTCGTTGCCTGGCAAGAGACGCGGGAACAAGATGGGATCTATGTGGACATATCGTCATCCAAGAGTCCTTCTGACTTTTGCTTCCGCTTTGCGCTCCATCTTTGTTGAGCGAAGGCCGGCTTCAACCGGTCCAGACCATGTCACTTCCTGCCTGCCTTTGTAGCCAATGGCAAGTGTGAAATTGTCGATGGGGACCGAGAGGAAGTCGCGAATGGAGATAAGAAGGAGCGACCTGGCTTCGCCATCAGACCTAACTTCAAAGAGACACCAGCTTCGGTGAGCTTGCGATAAGAAGTCGCAAATGGAGAGTACCTAGAAGGAGCGATCTGGCTAGTTGGCGAAAGAACTCCAACAAGAGATTAGCCAGAAATGTTCTGATGAGGTTTGGGAAAGTAAAGAGGATGGGGGGTTAGGGTTGAAAGCGATCCCCATGGGGCCCTAGATGCTATCTGATAAGCCCGATAAGCTGATAAGGTACTGTCGCCGGAGGGTGCCCGCTGGGGCTGTGGCAGTCGTGCAGTGGCCAACTAAAAACACCAACAAGGCGAACCAACCAAAGTGGTAGAATTGGATTGATTGGAAGGTTGAAGAGTGTAAGAGGGAATGCCCCGCCTGGTCTGGCTTAAATACAGGAAAATGGTAGTGTCGGTTGTACCTGCTCACACCAACCTCTCCGAGCTTCCTTCGAATTCCTGAGGTTATTCCAGACTGCGGGGGGTTGTCCCTCATCCTCTTGCCAATTTCCAACCAGCCGAGCAAAACTCATCATTAGTCTGGTGCGGCCTGTCTTGTTTCATGTGCTCTCCGACAAGAGATCCAGTCCGGGTCCGACCCGTCTTGGTCGTCCATAAATCAACGGACGAACCCCGCAGCAGAGAGCTGAAGAGCCTGAAGCCCACAGCGGCCCGAACAACGGAGAGGAGACGACAGAGCCATCATTACTCACCATCGCAACCATTGTGAACGTACTTGAAATGTGTCCCTTATTGTCTTGTGTTTCCTTCGGTACATGAAGAAGGGACCATTTGGTGTCGCTTAGACAAGTTCAACTACAGCCAGAGCCCAATTCGAGCTTTCGTTGACGAGCTTCTTGGTAGACTGTTTCTGAGTTCACCTCCCAGGGACAATGGGGAAGACAACAAGAAATGGTTCAAGGCTGACTTAGAGAGAAACAATAGCGGCAAATTAGTGAGGATACCAGTTCATGGTTTGAGTCGTTGGGTCACTGAGATCCCCTTACCCTAACTGACACCTTAAAGAGTTGACCCGACATCGTTTCAATGAGCTTACTTGTTGCAACGGACAACCACCGGCCTCGACCCTGACCAGACACGGAACTCTTTTGATACAACAGCCCCAGATACCAGAAACCGCCGAGGGCTTCACCCACCAATCTATTAACGGAAAACGCCCATTCGTCAGCATTTTACTCTCTTTCTCACCAAATCAGCACCCGAAACGCCACCGTCAACGAAACCCCGTCCCCTGGCCCTACGTCCCATCTCAACCTCCAAACGCCAAAACCTCCTCATTCCCATCCTCATCCCCATCCCCAGTCCACCACCCCAGCAGCCCACCCAGCACCTCACCCAGGACAAAAAAGCAAAGAAAGCCAAAAGAAAACAACAAAAACCGGGGAATCAAGCTCACCTGCCAAACATCCAACGCCACCCCACCTTCAAATGGCCCGCCCGTCGCGTACGCCACGATCCCGTTCAGCCACGCGTACTTGTCGCTGCTGGTCTCGAACAGGATGTGCCCTTCTCGGTCATCATGATGGTAGAGTTGTCGTCCGTGTGCAGGGTGTAGACGGTGTCCGGGCTGAAGATGCCTTTGCCGTCGGTTAGGCCCCAGTCCAGGCCGATGCCTACTTTTCCCGTGGGTGGGGGTGGGTTTGTGTTAGTGGTCACTCTGCTAAGTCTTGATGGGAAAGAGGGGGAGAGGTAAGGGGTTGGTTGGGCTTGGGATTGGGCTTGTGTTGGTTGATGAGAGTGTCGGAAAGTTGGACAGGAAATAGTTAGGTGATCCGGGGAAGGGAGATCGTACCGTTGAGTTTGGGACCGGAAAAGGTACCGCCGGAGATGGTGAGGAGAGCTCTACTTCCGTAGGGAACATGGCCGAGGTCGGTGCCGGCGGGCATGGTGAGGTTGACGCTGTACAAGTAAGTTAGAGGAGGAGGAGCCGGTGCGGCGAGGACTGGGTATGCAGCACTGGCGGCGAGAGCCAGGAGGGAGAGGAGGTGCTTCGTCATGATGGAATGCAACTTTTCGGTTATGTTACTTGGGATAGTTTCGCGTTGCGTTTAACGAGGGATGGCGCTGAGAAAGCAAGGGGACGTCTTTTAGCTTATGTTCTTTCCTGCTTTTCTTTTCTGATGATATGGCGTTTCGGTAGAACATCATCACTTTCGGGACTCCGCCCGGTTGAGTAGGCGGATAATCTACACAATCACTTGACGGTTGTATTGAAGTTGAACACGGCTGACATCTAGCCTTGTCAACCTTATCGGTAGATTTCCTTATCGTTCCCCACATAGATCATATATATAAGCTCGTAAACTTTACATTCACTCCCTTTCTCCCTTTCTCTTCAATTTAATCAAATCATTTTATTTACCTTTATCTTCGCTCCATATCTTCCACCTCAATAGGTTATAAGCCCGGACTACGCGCGCTCATTTATTATGAATAAGTTAAGTTATTTACTTACTTTAGTTTCTTACTTTCACTTTATTCGACGCGCTTGAATTTATTATCTTACAATATTTAGAAACGCTACGCTACAATTACTTAGCCCATATACATCAAATTAATTTTATTTCAAAGGTCTATGGACTATTCTATATTTCGTATTCAAATATTAAAATACGAGTTTACACTAAAATACGCATTTTTACCAAAATAATCGTTCGTCCGCGTTCAATATAAGGTTATCTTATTAAACTAATTTACGAGAATTTTATAATAAAACTACTAAATCTGTACCTAACGATTAATATTATTAAAATCGTATTTTTAAATGTATATCGAAGACAATTTCTCGTTAGATTTATTTCAATCGCTATAAAATAAATAAAAATTATTTATTTAATTAGATTTTAATTAAAAATATTTGTTATAATTATTATTGGAAGCGCACCGGACGCTGCTTACCTTATAATTCGTCGGCTTCGACCTATCGCAATTTATTATAATTTATCGTTCGTCAGCTCAGACTACGGCTATTATAGCGGAAAGCGTACTGGAATTACCTTGGTTTTTATATTAACAACGGCCCGATTCGGCCTACCTTCTACTTTTAATTTATAAAATTTATTTTTTAATACTATAATACATAAACCCCTAGCTATTTTTTATAATAGTATAACGCTATTAAATAAATATAATATTTTTAGTAATAAGGCCCAGTAATCTCCGGTATTATAGTATTTGTACCGATATAATTTCCGGCTTCGGCCTTTCGCGTTTACGACGGTTAATAAATATTTAAACTACTATAATTTCCTTCGTTTTACGCGAAAAATATAATTTTTATATATAAGAATATTTAGCGAAATTACCCTCAATATACCTTACGTCCCTATTATTATTATTATTTTATTCTTTATTTCGATTTTATTAAACCTTTTTATACTATTTTTATTACCGAACCTTACTAATCTTTAGGGCTTTATAATTATTACTCCCCTAAATTATTCGCATTCTAGTATTTAGGTTCCCTAAGTATTCAATTTGTAAAATTATTCTATAAATTCTATAAACAATTTATAAAAGCCCCCTAATTCTAAAAATTCTATAAATAATTCCAAAAATAATTCGTTGAGTTTTATAAGCAATTTAATAAATTCTAACGGGATTTCCTATAACGCCTTCATTCTCTCTGGGTATTTTATAATATTTTCATTAAATTCTTCTTCGTTAAATATTTTTATTTAATAATATCTAGTATAAGTTTTTTATTCGTTAGAATTAATAATATTTTTAAATTCGGTAATACCGATAACTAGGTACGTTAGAAGAAGGATATTTCGGATTATATTCGAATAATTAGTAAAAGGGACTTCTTCGAATCCTCCGCTAAACTGAAGCGTAAGAAGGACAAGGATAATAAAGCCTATAGGGACTAGTTATAAGCTTGGCGTAAATTTTAATCTAAATATATTACTTTTGTTATTGATTATTACTATTTTATAGGCCGCAAAATAATTAAGGATCCTATAGAGCCTTTTAAAAAACCCGAAACCGTTAAATAAATTTTCAATATCCTTTAAAAATATTATTACCCTAAGGGGTCTACTAATTTCGTACGCCTTTACTACAAATTTTAAAATTTTACCTTAATGAATAATAGCGACGTTTATATTTATACAGACTAATTTCAATAATGATTAAATAATTTATATTTATTAAATAAAATACACGAAATACTGGCGCCCTTACTTAATTATAAATTTTTCTAAAACTTTAATAAAAAAATATAGCCTTTTTATAATAATTTACTTTTAAAACTATAATCTATTCCCTATCTACAAGATTAATAATGATATTATTACCCTAATAATCTCTTTCAATAATATAATTAAACCCGCTACCCGTGACGAAAAATAATTACGTTTTAATTAAGAGGAAAAAGTATTATATATAGCTAAAACTAATATAATTAAAACCGCTAAGAAAAAGAAGACCAAGGTTTTCCCTTAGGCCCCCTATTTAATATATAAAGTCCTATTTTATAATAATAATTAATATTACAAATAGTATCCGGAATTGAATTATAATAAAATTAGAAAATATATATTATAATAATTATTTATAAAAGCTACCCCCGGGCTATACTATATTAATAATAAATACGAAGGTTCTAATCGCTCTAATAATACTACGAAAATAGCGATACCTAGGTATTATAAAGTAAACGAATTATTAAATAATACTAATAAAGAACCCCTACGTAAACGCTAATATCGGGATTAAAAAGTCCTTCGTTTAGTGATTCTAAAGATCAGTATAAATAATACGCTATTATTATTAATTTTAAGGAATCGTTAAACGCAACAGTTTTAGGATACTTTACTATCGTTCCCTTAATTCAATTAATCCTAAGTAATTTAATTATTATATTAATTATAGAATATAAATCTAAAATTTTCTTTAATAACCTCTAATATTCATTCGCTATAAATATAGGCGCTACGCACTATTTAATACATACTATTTAATACATACTAATATAGGGTTCATATCATTATATTCTTATAATGGTTTATTAATTTTTGATATTAAGAATGTTATAATTACTCCTATTAGTATTAGTATATATAAAGTCCCTATTACCGTTAATAATAAGCCTAGTTACCTACTCTTTAAAAATATTTATTTACCCCCTAAATTGTTTATGACTTTATTTCAATTTTAACTTTACAGTAAAAAGGTTTCAATTTTACTATTTTAGAAGAGGGCTAATTCTATAGTATTTTTAACTATAAAATTAAATTTATTTGAATTAAATCCGGTAGCCTTTATTATTTCGATTAATTTATATTTACCTTCTTTCAGGACGTTCGCCGCGCTTTAATTGCCTACTATATTTTAAATAAATATTTATAAATATAGTATGACTAGTTTACTTACCTTAGCGAACGTAATATTAAAGAACTTTAAAAAATATTTACTAGTATTATACTAATTTAAATTATTTGTATATATAAAAATTACGTAGTTAACCGCTTAAAATAAGTATTTTACAAAGGAAAGATCCGCTACGGAATAAGGCCTTTAGAATTTATTTACTTTAATATTTGTAGCCCGTTTTAATATAGAAGCATTTATAATAAGCGTTATTAATTATTTATTATCGATAATTTTACCTAATTCTATTAGGTATTCCCGCTAATTTATAAATCCGATTTCTTCGATACCTTTAAAATATAGGCCGAGAGCGTAGAATGGTTAGAGCGCTAAATTTATAATATTTATTTAAATAGAATAGGAGAGAATTCTAATAACTATTTCTGCTAATAGTATTTAAATTATAATATCGTCTTATATTATATTATAACCGAATAATACTAATAGAATAATATTATAAAACGTTCAAATAGAATTTTTTAGAACGAATTACTATCCTCCTACTATAAATAGGATTATTATCGATATATTAGCCATATTTACTCTAGTCCTTTGATTATATTAAAACCTATACTTTAATTCGGTTATTAGTAAAATATTATACGAAATTTAATTTGGAAATCAGCCCGACTTAATATATTTACGTATCTTCGGCTCTTATAGTTTCTATTATATTTTAAACCGCGAATACCGCGGTAAAATATTACCCCTAAATACCTACTATAGGCTTCTTAATTATAACGGTTTATATAATTATATTATATTTATTAATTTTAATAAACTTTTTATTACTAATAACGTTATCTTCAATAAATAGCCTATATACGTTATTAATTCGGCCGTTTACGGGTGCTCCGGAAATTAGAATAACCCGCCGGTAATTCCCTGTTATAATTGAGAAAGAATTTCTTCTACTATATTATAACCAGGGGGAAATAGTCAGGAATTTATACTAAGTTTAGAAACTCCCTACACTCCCCGTACTCTTAAACTATAAAAGTATTAATAGGATGTACCTAATATTAATTTTATACCAGATTTACTATTATTATTAATTATTATACTACATTTACATTTATTAAACTTAATTACTATACTATGATTACTAACCCCACTATTAGTTATTACGCCGGTTTCTTTATCCCTATTATTAATTATACTATTATTATTAATTTTAAATACTATCGTCGTTGGAAGCGCCCTTTACTTTACTGATTAAAATTATATTTAAATATTTATATTATTATATAGCCTGAGGAAATCGTATTTAAAGTTATTATATTTTAAGACTTTTATATTGCTTTAACGGCTATAGTTACCGCTATAAATAAGGACGAAGCTTTATTCGAACTTAAGAACTACTGATAAATTATAAAGGATATATATTCTTAAATAATCCGCTACAATAAGCAATAAATATAAATCTTTTATAGATAATTTAATTTGGGCTTTAGTACCTAAACTATTAGGCTGGAGGGTATTATTAGAAAAATAGGTATATAAGGTTAAAACGGGCTTTAATAATAAAATTCTATACTATAAGGTATATTAGGTAGTAAGAGGATTCGAATAATAAAAAGATATTAATTATAATGAGACGTTCGTTATAGTAGTTAAATTTATAAATTATACATTAATCTTCGCTATTGCCGCTGCTTTAAATTTAGAATTCGAATAAATAAACGTATATACTACTTTTTTATATAGTACTATTATTGAAGAAATTTATATAGAATAACCCCCCGGCTTTATTAAAAACTTAAATAAAGTTTATTAATTAAATAAAGTATTATACGGCTTAAAATAAATACTACGGATTTAGTATTAAATATTCGTATTATTCTTATAGTAAAAAGAATTCACCCCTCTTACTGTAAACGATAGCGTCTTTATAAAAGGATATACCTATATTACTATTTACATTGATAATTTATTAATCGCTAGACCTTTTAAAAGAGAAATCCGGGATTTAAATAATATACTTAACCGACGGTTTAAAATATCCAATTTAAACCCTTATTTATTCTATTTCGGTATAGTAATAATTAAGGACCATAAATATTGTACTATCTTTTTATTAACGAACCTATATTAAACTAATTATTCGGATTTTTGGATATTAGGACGCTAATTTAGTAACTACTCCTATAAAAATAAATAAAAGTCTAGAACCTATAGAGGATTTCGAATTTAATTCGAAAAATAAATTTTAATACGTAAATACTTTTAGCTCGCTAATATACATTATATTAAGTATTAGGCTAAATATTACCTTCGCTATAGTATTTTATAATAAATATATATTAAAACCTATAAAAACTTATATAACCGCTATAAAACGCATTTTCCGATACTTATAAAGTATTATCAATTTCCGGCTAACTTTTTTAAGACTAATCGAAAACTTTATTAACTTTATAAATATAAAGTAGGTTAGAGACACTTAAAAGCGGAAATCTACCTTAGGATACGTATTGAATATTAGTAATAATATTATTAATTAGAATTCTAAGAAATAAGTAACTATAGCGTTTTCATTTTGCGAAATAGAATTTATAGTATAAACCTAAACTATAAAAGAAGCTATTTAATTAAGAAAGTTACTATAGGAGTTCGATATAATAAAGATACCTCTTATAATAATTATTTATAATAATGATTAAGGAGTTCTCGCTCTTACGAGAAACCCTTAATTTTATATTAGAATTAAATATATTAATACCTAAAAATTCTTTTATAAGGAAAAATAAGCCGTTAAAGAGGTTAACTTTAAATATATTTCTACAAAAGAATAAATAACCAACGGCTTTACTAAACCATTGTTTTATAATATTTTCATTAAATTTAGGGATATATTAGGACTATAGTAAAATACCCCCTCTACTTTCGGCAATTATATTTATTTTTAATAATTATAAACCGATTTATATTCGAAAGGTATTAATACAAACGGTTTTTCCTATATATCTAGCGACTTCTAATCTTAATTATTCTCGGTCCGATAATCTAAATTACAACTTTCGAATTTCCACAAAATTTCCTAGTATAGGAAAATCGTATCTTTACTCATTCTTATTTTTCTCTGTCAATCTCCACTCCCGCATATATTTCTTAGTATTTCTTGAACCGTCTTGACGAGCTCTTTCTAGCTCCGGTCTCGGTTTCTATGTACGACATTTGGATGAAAAGCTATAGGATATTTTCGGAATTGGAATTTAAAAGTCAATATTTCTTATCATTTTCGAAGTATTAACCGCAGAGACCTTTTCTCCCACTAGGTTTTTATTGGCCTATAAGATTCCAGCACCTCTAAAGGCTTAAAAAGAAGAAGAAAGCGACGATCCCATGTACGGATCGAGGGGGAGTATTAAAGTTAAATACGGTTAGCATCTAACCTTATCAACCTTATCAATAGATTTCCTTATCGTTCCCCACATAGATCATGTACATAAGCTCGTAAACTTTACGTTCACTCCCTTTCTCCCTTTCTCTTCAATCTAATCAAATCATTCTGCCCACCTTTGTCTTCGCTCCATATCTTCCACTTCAACAGGTTGGGCGGCGGCTTGGTTGGAGCCTTTTGTCAACCCCCTTAATGAGTAGGGGGTTGAGGAAAGGTCCCACCACCGAACCGCACCACAACCCCCAAGTACACACTTCTAATCGACCGTTAAACGTCGATTCCGATCTGCACACACCATTTGCCTAAATCCGCCAAGACCGAAGTTGCGAATCACACCTCTTTCTGTTGAAGCCATTCCGTGTCGGACCCCTGGGTTTCTCTCCAAGGAGTATGGGACCTGCATATAGCATGCCCGTCAAGGCAGGAACTGGACCAGATGTCTGGTAGCGACAGGCAATTGCGGAATTGCCGTTGGAGACGGTTCCTGATAGATGGATTGCTATCCGAGAGCGAGGTCTAGGTTGATCGCGAAGGTAATCCCGGACTCTACCCAACATTCCCATCAGCCAAAGATTTCCGGCCCTTGCCAAAGGACCATATCCCAACAGAATGTCGTTCAAGCTCTCTCCTACGTACTTCTGTCTTGATATCCTGGTATCTCTCTCTTATCTATCCATCCCCCTCCATCTCTTGACTTCCCTAACCACGATCTGTACTCCCACTCGACTGGGTTAGAAACACCCTTTCCCACCTGAGGCTTCGATGTTTTTCGAATCAACCCGCCAGACCACAGGAGAAATCTGGGGGTTCAAAGGCCGTTTCTAGCCCAGACGATTACTCTCGTTACCTCCTCTTGACCTGATCATCGTCACGACACTTCGCTCTATTCGTGCGGTGTGCCCCAACTGTATGTCCACCGCTCGCTTGGTTCTCAGTTCGACTTGTACACCAACGGGCGCTGAGCTCCAGCGCGCTATCGGTAGCTTTCACGATCATCGAGACAGGGAGAGTGGGCGGTGTCGGGTAGCGACGTAATGAAGATAGGGGGATGTGGTCGTGGTCGTGGTCGATCTTGCGGTGGCAGATGGTGCTCGGGATTCGGCATCATGGTTGGGATCGCGGTCGGTTTCGAACGGGCGACAGAAAGAGGTATTAACCGCGTGTCTTCAGAGGTCAGATTTTCTTATGGCGGTGATGGTTGGTCAAGGAATGAAGCCGAACTCACGAGCCGGAGAGGAAACGGGCCCTGGCCCCTCGCAGAAATGGTTTGGCGTTGGTTTGGGACGGCGGCGATAAGTAGAGACACCCGAGTTTGGAGGAGTAGTTAGGCGCAAGTGGACATGGCCGATGCAGGAGGATAGCCTGAGGCTTGAATACCTTATTCTACACAAGGTGACGCAAGGTTAGGCAGGCTGTCACCGATGCCCACAGTCTGCATCATCTGCAAAGATTTCCGACTGCATCAAAGGTTCCTGCCTGCACTCGTCAGTGGGCCACCATCACCGAGAGTCTGACCTTGAAGGGTGGGGTGCTTGACTTCTCTTGAGGCGTGCCTGCCTTCTCTGTTTCAAATCAACTGGAACACTCTGTTGACCGCTTTTCACAACTTGAAGCAAGAGACACCTGAATGGCCCTTTGCTCCTTCCCTTTGGGCTTTCCAAAGCGCACGTCAGATGGATGCCTGATTTCTGCCCTCCGATCGAAAAAATTTCCTCCCACTTCTCGTCGTCGCGTCAATTCCGTCGCACTGAAAGTCGAACTCCTTGACCCTCGTATCGCGATAAACTTTTCTCATCCCTCATGCCCTTCCATCGGTCTACTGCCTGACGCCCTTTGCCCGTTCTGGGGTTTCAATCCCTAGAAACACCGCCGTCGAGATGCGAACCCACAAGATGACCACACGGTCATTGAGCACTGCCCAAGAGCAGCAGCCCCGTTCCCGCAGAGCAAAATCCCAACGACTCAATCAGCACTTCCGGAAGAAATTCCGCCAGTTCTCCAGGTTTCCGTCCGAGATACGCCTCATGGTATGGGAAGAATTCCTGAACGACTACGAAGACAACCCACCGGTCGCTTGGACACTGATCTGGGACATGGACGACCCCAACAACCATCCTGATCCCACCAACATTCGCTTGCGTCCGTACATCTTCATCGAGAAACACTGCCAAAACGACCGCCTGGTAGAGTACAACTCGAACCCGCTCCTCAAGGTCAACCACGAAGCACGTGCTGCGGCCCTCCACAACCAGCGTTATGTCAGTATCCGCGTCTGGCACCTCGACATCAACATCATTGTGCGTCCAGCTATGGATTACTTTTACGTCGATTCGATCACATGTCGCAACATGTTCACACACGCTCTTCGAAAATTCACGGCGGAATATGGGAACCCAACTACCTTTACCCTCGCAGAGGATATGAGCTTCGTAAAACATGCGTTTGTTCGAAGTCTCTGCTTTAGCAAGACCAATCAGTATAAGAAGCACTTTGATATTCTCAAAAATGCTCCCGCAGCAGTATGCACATGGTGTGCTCTCGACAAAGTCTTCAACAGCTGTCTCGGCACCACAGAGACCATCGTCGCTGTTTACTACGAGTATGAGGATCCTTTTGATGAGATTGATTGGGAGGAGAAACTTGACTTTGACTCGCAGTTATTTTCTGGCAGTCGTCTGTGGCCAGTCTGGGCCCAATACAGCTATCTTTGCGGCGACTATATTCGTTTGCCATTCTGCACCCATGTATGAGAGACAATTTGGATGGAGCTTACTGGACCAGATGCTGATCAAGCGCTTGCATGTCTTCCATACTCTGGGTACTGGTTTCATATCTGCGACTTGCCGATTCCGGATGACCCCGATCCTGACCTGATGTACGAGAGAGTGCGTCAGTCTCTTCGACCCGCTCAGACTCGCAAAGTTAGGCCTCGTCGGCCAGTGCGGGTTCTACCGCATGGAAGGTTGCTTCCTTTGGAAGCCCCAGGCCTTGCTTTCAGGCACCAACGGCCCTGTGAGACGATTGAGCTTCGAACTACATGTGTCGCAGAGTGCGAGGACGGTGTACACGAGTATCGGGTCGAAAAGGAGGATTCCTGCTCGGGTGGTGGTGGCCTTGAGGCTGGTGATGGCAAAGAAGGTAGTGATGCTTGGCTGAACTGGACATTTGTGAGTGAGGGACTCCACTATGGCGAAACAAGCGACGAAAGCGACGAAAGCGACGATATCGATGATGATGATGATCATGCCGAGTCAAGCGAGGAGGATGATGATCACTCTGCGGAACCGCTCGACGAGAACAATACCTCTGGTCAACTCTCGCATTGATGACTTCTCATCTAGCTGGGAAGTCCACAGAGAGCATGACATTGATGTATTCACTGCCTTACCAATCTACTTTTTCTTTGGTGTTCCAACAAGCAGACTAACATGGCATTCCTATTTTCAACATGTACCCGGGGAAGCAATGTAACAAAAACTTTGTGAGCTGGCTTAATTCCTAGTCATAATATCCATCACTATGTGTAACAGGTCTATGGAATCAAGACCTATCTATCTCTTCGGGGAGGAAGCGGGACCTAATAAACATGTACCATGCCTTAATACGTGAAACGCCACCAATTCTAGCGTGAACTACTTCTTCCTCATGTTTGCAACCATCGCCGATCTCTGGGTTAAGTCAAGGATAAGATATTATAAAAAGGTGCTGGCTCTGTATCACAACTTCAGCCTCGATGGTAACACAGGATCAGATCATGATATCTCGAAGGTACCTCTACGTACACAACCACCCTCTAAGTGCGACTGGGTAAGGGTTCCTACACAGTATCTGGGCTGGAACTTTGGAAGCCCAGGCATGATCATGACCACATGGTAACACGAAGATCTGGAAGGTACTGGTGCTTGTCATCGCAGCAGGAACAGGCTCGGTTGTGATGTCCCGGTCACGCTGGCGCTGAATTATGCGGGCTGCCTTCTAATGTTGTTATCCAAGAGAATTCAGGACCGCACAATGTGAAGAGGAATCCAAGATACGGTCCTCCGGCCTCCAATAGTTCGACTCCGATCGCGAAACGAGAGACAACAAAACAAGCACCAGACGCAGACGTGCTCGCCCTTCAACTGCTCCGACGTGAGATCCTAGGGCAGATCCTAGGGCCAGTTCCTGGGGATGACAATGTGCCCAACCGAATCTTTCTTGTTCCCTTTTCTGATGTTAGGTATTTTTACTCGTCGCCCATCGAAGACCTTTGGGCACGCCTTCTGCTCTTTCACGACAAGAACTCTCTCGAGTCTCGAGCGACCGCCTCGCTTTTAAGCTCCCCAGCTCCAAGGTTCCAAGCACGCGCGTTGCTACCAAGCGAATACCTCCGTCGTCCTGCGCAAGAAGCTCAACCTGAACGCCAACGTAGGCCCCATCGAGTCCGCCATGACCGCCGCGAAGCTCGTCGATATGGCTATTGCGCGCAAGAACACCAAGGATCAATACATCAAGGAGGAGAAGACGTACGAGACACATAAGCTTCGACGGCAAGGTGGCCGAGGACCCGAGGTCATCAAACGCATCTCGCAGCACGCCTCTTGGCACGCCACCAGCATCGTCTGCAAGATTACCCTCCGCTACCAGAAAATCCGTGACAGCGGTAGCCTTTCCTTCCACAATTGTCTCCTTGTAACCGCCAGACTCGAGCGCTTCAGCCCTGACCCACGGAACGAAGAGACAACGAATCTGTCGGATACCCGGACACGACGAGCCAATGGAGTTGAGAACTCCAGGGGATCGGTACCTCGGTAGACAGATCGAACACATCGCCTACTGAGCCTTTGGAACATTACCAAGGGTCTGGTCCGAATCAGGCAACCTGTATCCAAATGACCATGGTCGGTTTCTCGACTCTTACAATCCTTGCGGCAGATGAGCGTAAACGGAGGCGGACAAGAGCAAGCGCATACACAATGGTCAGTCACATCACGTCCCAAGACTCAAGAGTCGGAGCCGGAGGATATAGTCTTCTTCTATTAGTCAATCCACGCGTACTAACAGATGCAATTATCCAGCCCAAACCGAGAATTCCGGTGTAGCCTCGAATGCAACCCCATTCATTCCCCTTGATTTACGTGACGATACAATAAAACCAAGCAAACACAAACAATATCGAATCCATGCAGCGCAATGTTGCTTTGCGTCCGATTATTGCCAAAAGCTCGTCCCGTGTCTCCGATGATCCGATCACCAGTGCCATCACGGCCACCATGTTGAAGTAAACATAGCGAACAGAAGAAGGGGCAAAAAGCTGATGATCAACGAGGCACAAAGATGGTGATGAACTTGTTGGTTCCAGAAGACAAAGAAATACGGGACTACAAGAGGGTGGAGGACCCTCGATATATACAAGACTGATCCATGTGTGAATCGAAACATTGCCAAAATAACTGTCTTGCTCATTATCCTCCCCTTGAAGATATCATCCAAGGCAGTAAGGCAGTATGCTTACTGATGCTTACTGCGACCCGAATACTACAAAAGGAATGTTACCGGGCTACCGCGGATCCGAACACACCCTAGATAATTATGTTCAGTAAGACCCAGTGCCTCCCTATCCCCCCCTTTCCCCCCCTTTCCCTCTTTCATCACTTCCTCCTCAACCCCTGCCCCTTTACCCCCTTCCCTATCAAACCTTAATCCTGCTTCCCTGGTACACGATACAAAAAGAATTGTGCTTCCCTCTTCTCCCTCCTTCGAATTTCCCTCCACTGGTGACTGTCAAGCCTCCCCCAGCCTTTCACCCCTTCCAAAAACTGCACTTTCTTCGGCTTTGGGCTGCTGCTGTTGCTGCTGTGGAAGCCTGCTGAAATGTCATGCCCTCCTAAATCTTCTCCCCCCTTACTCGACTTGTGGTACTCTGATCGCGAACATCGCCCCCTCCCGGCGGTCTCTCCTCCTGATCATATTCCACTGGCTTTCACCCATCCTCGCCGCCTTTCCCAATTTCACCCTCTCTTCGAGAGCAAACCGAACTTTTTTGCCCGTAGGCTTGATGTTGTTGCTGTTGCCACTACTACTTGTAGTGCTCTGGCTGTTGTTGCCATTACTATTGCTGGTGCTCTGGCTGTTGCTGCTAAAGTTGTTGCTGCTGCTTGTGATGGTGCTGCTGCCTGTATTGGCGCTGCTGCTTCTGGTGTTGCTACCGTTAATAGTGCGGGCAGTGGCCCTGCTGCTTTTAATAGTGTTGCTAGCGGCGATACTATTGTTACGAATGAAAGTTAGCGCGGGCACGATTCCAAATAGGAGGTTATAAACGGAAGTCCGGTAAATCGATACTAATAAAGGAAATGATAGAAGGAAGGGGAGAGGAGTACTTACTATTCCACGTAGCGGAAACTAACGTAGAGGCCTATAATAAAGATAGTTATTATAGCGATTAAATATTAAACTATAGTAATTACGCACTTAGAAAGGGAAATACCTCTAGTAGAAAATATTTTAATATTTCTAAATGATAGTCTTTTCGTTAATTGTAGGAATAATGGAAAGAAGGGGCGAAGAATACTTACTGCTTCGCGTAGCGAAAGCTAATAAAGATACTAAGGACGACGAAGGCTATCGTCGTGATAATATAGTGGGTTGCGGCAAGTACGCGCGTAGAAAGAGTAGTAGTTGAAGATATCTTGATGTTTCTCGATGATAATGATCTCGTTGGTAATGCGTTCTTGATGAGTTTGATGAAATTGCGGTTGTTAGGCAAGCTTTGAGATTCTCTCCTCTACGAATAGGTACTCTCTTGTCTGTATATATAGGCTTTTTGTCGTTCTTGCTGTCGCTACTGTCGCTGGGATCTGAGATAATCTTGTGCTACTAAGGGGTCAGAGGGCATCATGATTCCGGCCCGGAAATTGGGGAGTTGGAAGAAGATGCGGGCTGTTGCCGATAAGCGTTAGCTGTGGGCGATTCTAGAAGGGAGGTTACGAACGGAGGTCCGGTGAATCGATGTTGATAATGGGAAATAAGGGAAAGAAGGGGAGAGGAGTACTTACAGATGGTAGAAGCTGAGGCAAGATCCGACGATGATAATGAACATCGCGGCGAAGAGGTCTTCTACGACGGCAATGACGCGCGCGCGTAGGGTCTTGCTTATGGCAGGCATCTTTGAAATGTTGTTCGATTTGTAGTGGAAGCTTCGAATGCGTACGATGCGAAGTCTAATGGACGACGACGTCTTGAGCCGCAGTAACTGCGCGCGTAGAAAGAGCAGTAGTTGAAGAAATCTTGATGTTTCTCGATGATAGTTCTCTCGTTAGTAATGCGTTCTTGATGGCTTTAATGGAAATTTGATGGTTGTTGCAACTATGTGTTGATGATGAAGAGAGCTGCTGTTGTTGTTGTTGCTTGTGTTGTTGGTGTTTTTGGTGTTGTTGGTGGTGTTAGTGGTGTTAGTGGTGTTGCTTGCGTTGTTGCCGTTGCTGGTGGTGCTCCGGCTGTTGACCGAGGGTGATGGTTGAAGACATGGTTTCGACTGTGACGAGCTGCATTCAGGTCATCGATAGGTATCTTGTATGGCAAAATTGCTTGATGGAGTTCACAAAAGAAGTTCCGATGTGCCCTGGTCTGCCATGTTGTCGAAGCGAACGGAGGGAACGAAGACAAAGAGGTATAAAAGTGGCGATGATGAATTTGCATCGAATGAGGGATGTAAAGGATAAAGAATAAACAGAGTGAAGGAGATTGAAGTGAAGGAAGACAAAAGACAGGAGGTGGTGATGATGAACTTGTGTGACTGATTAACAGAAGCATAGGACCAAAGAAAGGAGGGAGATGAGCCCAATATATAGGTATTCAAAAACTCGGTACGTAATCCAAAAACGTTTGATAACACAACCCAATGCCAACTCCGCCTGCCTTTCCCAACCCCCTACCCTCCCTCCCTTTCCTCCCTTTCCCCCCTCTCCTCCCCTTACCCCTCCTCCCCCTCAACCCCTACTCCTGCGGGACACGACAAGCGAAATGCCTCCCCTCCCTCCTCTCCTTCCTCCGCGCCTCCCTCCACTGACTACTCGTCATACTCCCCCATCCTTCCCCCCCCTCCAAGAAACGCACTCTCTTGCTGTTGCTGCTGGTGCCAATAGTGATGGCGGTACTGCTGCTGCCAATAGTGATGGCGGTGGTGTTACTGCTGTCTTTAGTAATGGCGGTAGTATTGCTACTACCTTTAGTAATGGCGGTAGTATTACTACTGCCTTTAGTAATGGCGGTAGTGTTACTACTACCTTTGGTAATAGCGGTGGTATTGCTATTGCCTTTAATAATAGCAGTGGTGTTGCTGCTGTTGAGAATGAAAGTTAGTGCGGGCACAATTCTAAGTAGGAGGTTGCGAACGGAGGTCCGGTAAATCAATACTGATAAAAGAAATAATAAAAGGAAAGGGAGAAGAGTATTTACCGTTCCGCGTAGTGGAAATTAATATAGAGGCTTATAATAAAGACGGTTATTATAGTAATTAAATATTGAATTATAATAATTATACGCTTAGAAAGGGAAGTACTTTTAGTAAAAGATATTTTAATATTTCTAAATAATAATTTTTTCGTTAGTTACGGGAATAATAGAAAGAAGGGGCGAAGAATACTTACTACTTCGCGTAGCGGAAGCCAATAAAAATACTAAGGATAATGAAGGCTATCGTCGCGAAAATATAGTTAATTACGGCAAGTATGCGTATAGAAAGAGTAATAGTAGAAGGTATTTCAATAATAATTTTCTCGTTTATAATGTGTTCTTGACGGCTTTAATAAAAAATTTAATAGTTATTACAACTGTGAGTTGATGATGCAAAGGGGAAAGAGAAGAGGAACTGGGAGAAGTGGGCGGGGACTACCTGTACCCTAAAAGGATTGCACGGTCTGAGTGGCAAGACGCGTCTCTCCTGGCCACTTCCATAATGGGAACTTAACTCTGGCGCGTAGGCCTATTGGGTGTATTTTATCCTCCCTAAGAAGGATGACCGGATCTGGATAATTAGGTAGCGAACCGCCTACAATCAACGCGCTTCAGGCCTCTCGAACACAATATCGGAGTGCCCAATCTCACTGTGGAAGTCACAATGCATAACTGTTAGATCACTGGTTTTGTGCAATGTCCATGCCGAAGGCTTTCGAGACATCCAAGCTGGTTTCAAGCACCGGAGTAAGGAGCATGGTAGCGAACCGGCAACCGAGCTGGAACAAACGACCTATGATGTATCAGTTTCATGAGAAGATGTCACACAAGGGTTTCTTGAATTGGAAAGCATCCTGATGTTCGTTTAGCCTCCATTTCCGTTGATAATCTGGTTCCTGGGATGAGAGATATGGTGGGTGTTGAAGTCCGACCACATTACACCATCTCTCTATGTTCATGCTCGCAACCGGCATTATATACATTGTTCGCCTGACTCGTATCCATCTATTCTTACCTTGTCCTACAGGTGTATGTCTCATTTGCACCTTGATCTTGTCCTTGGTCTGGTACGTACAGCTTCAACAACTGGTTCACCTACATACCACGCCTGACGTCCTCTTTCACGGTCTTTTCTAATATCATATATCATTATTCCATCCCAATCTTTGTTCAGACGCATGCATATGTGCTATGCAGCCCTTCCCGGCGCTAGTGCCTCGCAGCGCCCGTGATCGCTGGGAGGCATGCGTCCGGATGACAAGCCAAGAACTCGGGACAGGGGTAGCAACTCCACATTTAAGGCTGACCAATGAGATGTTATACAACATGCAAGCTTAATTTGACGACATCGCATCGATGAACGTTTCCAAATGCCTGATATCGAAAATGTGGTGATGTCTGCCGTTGTCGTGGCTCGACACAAATAGCTCAACTCTTCAAACTCTTACCAACCGCTAGCTGCAAGGCCTGCGCTGCTGTTAGGGCCGCCTGGACTGCTTCTTGTCGGGTGTTTTTCTGCACAATTTACAGGGGAAAGAACTGCTGTAGCCTGACCTGTCGGGCGCCCGACACTCCTCATTTTACGCTTCATATTTAGCTAGAAAGCCTCACTGTAACTCTTGACTTCCTCTCCAGTACCTAGCTGGCACCTAGGTACTCCAATGTGATGCCCCATAGCCATGTTACCGCAGGCCCTTTAGGGACCTTGCTCACTGTACCTGACTCTCGTTCTGGGACACAACTGCCCTCAACACCTCCAAGGTCCTGGCCCCCAGGCTTCCCTGATAGACCTTCTGACAGCATTACAGCGCCTTCTGGTAAGCCCACAACTTCCTGTGGGTCTGTCGGGTGAACGCGGAAGAACACCGATCTGAAAGCGCGTTTTGGGAAGGCGCGTTTGGGCTTTTCCAGCAATCAGGGAAGGAGTAGACGCGTTTTGCCACCCAGATGCTGCCTGCCAGTCTGGGCCCCATTCCCTTAAATCCCCCGCGTCCCCTCGCACTTCTCCCTCTCCTCTTCTCTTTCCTCTCTTCACCAACACTGTTGTCATTTGCACTTGCTGACAAGCCACAACTTTTTGCTTCACGACTGCTCTCAACACAATCAACTCACCATGACTAACTCTGCTACGTATCCCCTCTCCGGATTTTCGATGTTCGCCATTCGGCTAATCGTCTGTCTCTCTCTAGGTTTGATCGCAGCAATCGTCCACATCGAAGTTGCGATTTGGGCCATCGCGACAACGATTGTGAAGCTTTTCGACGCGATTGCTGCTGATCTTGCCCATGTCCGACAAGAAGCGTCGACTTTTGGTGCGTCTGTTCTCGAAGAGAAGGTGGACGGCGAAGGGACCTAGACGGAACCGGAGCCTAAGCCGACTCCAAAAGAGCAGTGCCCGAAACGAGACAACACCCGGAGGCGCAAGAAGGTGCACTTCGCTGAAGGGACAAAACCCCCGATGCCGGACACTCGTCCGGAGGTGGTGGACAAGGTTACTGAGTGGAGGGCCTTTAGGTTGGAAGCTCTCAGCCAAACCCGCCATCTGCTGGACACTGGCCGCACCCTCCACGCTCGCGCTCAAGCGTTCCGTCTCTCTGAGGCGAACAGGCGGGCCGAGTTGGGGGGGAAAGCTGGTGGAAGGCCTCGGATGTCTAGGGATCCGAGAAGGGTGCGTTCGGTTTCATTCCGGGCCACTCGACTTGGTTCTTTAGATCCTCGGTAAGTTCTCCTTCTTCTATCTCTCTTTGCTGACTTGACTTTTAGGTATACAAGATCTTTGTGCTGTTCAGGTATGTTGCCACTCCTCCACTCTTTTTGTTTTGTTTGGTCAGGTACTGCTAATTTGTCGTCTAGGTATAGAGGATCGGAGTCTGTTTTGTTCAGGTATGTGTGTCTTTTCGTTTTGCTTCGTGTTTGCTCTTGTTTTGCTTCGTGTTTTGCTCTTGTTTTGTTTTCGTTCTTGCTTTCTGCTTTTGGTTTCTGCTTTTGGTTTCTGCTTTTGGTTTTTGGTTTTGGCTTTTCTGGCGTTTGACTATAGAGGATGAATGTTTTGGTTTCTGCTTTTGGTTTCTGCTTTTGGGTTTTGGGTTTTTGCCTTTTCTGGCGTTTGACTATAGAGGTTGGGATTTTGCGTTTTGTTTGTGTCTTTTGGCTTGTGGATTTTGGGTATAGAGGAGTTCAAGTTTGTTGTAATTAGTTTGGCCTGACTTGGCACCAGCGGGGCGTCACATCCGAGCCTCTGCCTGCTGGCTTCTGGTTGTTGGTTTCGCTTGGTTTCCCAACATCACCCTCAGGGGTCCCGAATGGGCAGTAAGGCGCTATTTCAGGTCTAGATAGTTAATGAGACTTTTTGCTTTCATCATGTATCACTGTCCTTTGCTTGTGATATGTACTACGCTCCTAGAAAACGCCTCTTGAATTACCTGCTTGCTACTGACCGACAAGCTTCCGACAACAACAAGGAGTGGCATGTCGTCCCATATTCGCATTCCTTGATCATCTGGATATTAAGATGGGCAATGCTGAGCTAACTACCTAGCCAATCGCGTGTAAAACTGTAGGTACATACATGAGGTGTTGTAATTTTATCCACGTAGGTACGCACATAGCACATGCAGCCGGTTCGGGAGGTTCCGTCGGTGCGTTCCACACATTGTAATTTAATATTATACCGGTTTTCGAGGATAATAAATAAGTTTTTAAAATAAACGAAAATCGATAGAACTATTCTATTTTAAAGGTAATAATCCTAAACGTAGCTAGTATATTAATAGATAATTAGTATTACGTTAGTATACCTTATTTTACTAGGGTTATAATTGAAGAAGTTTATAATTAACCTTTCGTTTAATTTATCGCCTCGATTGTATTATTTTTATTTAATTTAACGTTTAATTTTCGTAGTACTACACGTATTATATTAAATAATAGAAGGGCCTTTAAAATATATTCCTTCGATGTTATAAAGGTAATTAAAATTTAAGGACCGTAATATCCAAATTAATAATACTATAGAAAACTATTCTTCTTATAGTATTTACGGCTGGTATAGGAGTTAAATTAATTTCGTCTTGTAAAGAAACTAGCCTTAATTTCAATAAGGAGAAGGTCTTCGAAAATAATTTAACTATATCGTAAGAATAGTTGATAAAAGAATATATTATTTAGGGAGCGGAGATAATTATTAAGTAGTTTATAGTCCTAATAATAACTTTACTTTCTTAATAACTAGAGAAATACCAAATTAATTACAAAATTAAGAATAAACGCTATATTTTTTAACTTTAGCCTCTTAAGTCCTTTTCTCCTTTAAATAGCAATATTAATAATACTATATCCTTAAATAGGAATAATCAAATATCTAGCCTATAAAATTTCGCTATATGGTGCGCGTTGAAATAAAATAAAACGAATAATTTAGTTAAATACGTATAATAAGCTTTTAAAGTCGAATATTGTATAATTTTTAAGTAGGTAGATTGTATTTTTATTTTCCCCTATTTAGAAGGCTACTTAATTAATACTAAAAATAATTTAATAGACGCCCTTATTAGCGAATTAATTTGGGGTATCGTCGTTCTCTTAATTGCTCTAACAATTTTTATTACAATTAGAATTATTATCTTTTTTAGAATCCTTATTAAAAAAAGGAACGCTATACTATTTAATTAATTACTTATCATAAACATCGATTTTGCTACGTAATTTATTATTTTTACGAAAATTCTTTTTAATAACCTTTTAAATTTTCTTTTCTCCTCTCTAACCAATTTTAACTAAATATAGGGAAATATACTAATACTTTTTAAGAAAATAAATACCTTATTTATACGCTTTATAATGAAAAAGGGTCTTTTTTAAGGACTTTACTAATTTAGTTCGCTTCTTTTTATTACGATATAATTTATTTTAATAGGCGTCCCCGTTTTCGATATTACTTTTATTTAATGTAGGTCTTATTCCGAAACTTCCCCTTTTAATATTATAAACTTTATTTATTAATACAGTTAGAATCTTTTCGAAGTTACTTTTATAATGGAAATCGCTAGATACGTTTTAAAAATTTAATATATTCTTTTTGATATTTATGAAAAAGTACCAGCTAACGCCGGTTACTTAGAAGGGACGAATTATTTTTAAAGATTTAAGAAGGTCGTTTAATTACGTATTAATTTAAATAGTTTTTAAAATCGTATAACGTTTAGCGAAAATTATAATCCTATCCTACCTATTTATTTGTTTATTTATCTTACCCTTAATTTCTTTCGTAAGAGGTTTAAAATATTCGTAATATCGATAGCAAACGTTAATTTAAGTATTAATAGGACGGTAATTATAAGTTCTTCTAAATATAATTAAGTATTCTAAGGTTGTACCCAATTTTTCGAAGGTATTAGCTTTATATTTAATATAAATAGTCTCTTATATTTATATCCTAATACAATTATTATATAATTTAAAATTGCTAATAATTTTATACCGAAGGTTATTAGTAAATTATTTAGAATTAAATATACGTTTTCTAATCGACGAAAAGTCGGCTAATAAAACGGTAAAGTCCTTTTCCCAATTTATAATAAATTTATTAATAGTTTTAACTGTATTTGAAGAGGATAACGGTTAATTTACTGTACCTTAGGTTTGGCTAGCCGGAGCAACTGATATCAAATTGGAAGAAATTGAAATTAATAGAATTGTTATTAAAGAGGAGGCAATTATTATTCTTATAATTAGGATTAATATTATTAATCGAATAAATTATAATAGCGTAGGTGGTATTAGAATATACTATATTAAAGTAAGTTAGTTTATATTTATAAATTTAACGTATTGGAGGGTACTATTTTATAGCTTTACGAGGCTTACCTAAACTTTAATTATATAGCTCGAAGCGGCGGTTAATAGTAGGTAAGAATCGAGAGGGTATAAGGTATTAAAAATTAGGGCTAGTTCTTTACTTAGAAGGTAATTAGTAAATTAATGATTTTTAGCGAAATTAAATAGCTTATTCTCCTAATCCTTATACTTACTTAGGGTATTAAAGTAAGGATGAGAAGTCTTATTCGTCTCGATAGTATTAATTATATCCTTAGAGAAAATTATAATAGTAAGCTTAATAAGGTTAATGATCAGGAATGAAGAAATATTAAGTACAAGTGCTTTTGAATAGTGTTTTGTAGCGTAGCGATTCGATATTTAGACTATTAATTATTAGAAAGCACGTAAAGTAGGTCAAAGAGATATATAGTAAGAAGTGATTTTATTCTAATCTTCCTTTTTCCAATCCTCTTTAAGGGTACTAAGGTTTAAGTATAAGAACTAGAGATTCCAAGAGATTAGTCCTCATACAATAATATTATTAAATAGCCTAATTATCGAGCTATAGTTATAAGGGGATTCCTGCACTATATATGCAGTATATGAAGTTATATAGATAGGGAGGCACATATTGGACTAGAAGTCTGGCCATCCATGCATGCCCTGATAATCTGACAAGATGCGAAGGCGGGGCCACGTTGTAGATCTTGATTTTCATCTGGTGTTTAAGGTTTCGATACCGTAGTATTGGGTCTTCCATTTCCATCCAATGTGTCAAGTAGGACGGACGTGTAAGTTTCTGACGTCGGTCGTTAATAGGAAGCGTAGATCGAGGTTCAGTCCGACGACTGGTGTGGTTGGGTAGCCTTTGTAACAAGGTCGCAATGAGGTTGTGAATGTCTGTGATTGTCAAGCATTGTCGAGACTGGTCGGGGTCTGCTGGAAAAGGGACATGGGGTATGTATGTCTTTCGATGCGTCGAGGTAATGTCGTGATGGTTGGTTAAACATGGTCGGTACACTTCCAATGTGACTTGGAAGGTTCAGATATTAGCAATTTGGCCCTCGTTGAAGCTTTGCGCAAAAGTTGGATTACTTGATGGCCTGATGCCTACTTGATGTCCCAGTTTCATTGCCGATAGCGGAGTGGAGTACGGGAGCGATACGCAGAAATACTGGAAGATCATATTGGACAGATTATTGACAACAGAATTGTTATTGCGGTCAAGCACGAGGCAAAAAACTAAAAAGCAAAAGCGGTAAAAAGGGATTCGCATGTTTGATATATGTGCAAAAGATGGGAAAAAAGAAGAATCGCATTTCGCCGCCGGGAATTGAGCCCGACGTGGGGGTCGAACCCACAACCTTGAGATTAAGAGTCTCACGCTCTACCGATTGAGCTAGCCGGGCGAGTGCGAGATGATTTGATGTCTTGGCGCTTGGACGCAGTACCTATTAACGATAACATGCCAGAATCATGGCTCTTCGAGAAGACGAAGAAATGTTCATGATCGATTGTGCACAGCCTGAAACTACGCTGTTGAAGGAAACACCGAAACACCGAGTTTGACTTGCAGTTGTGCTCGTGGTTGCAGTGCATGAGGGGATGCGACAGGTACTAACGACAAGCCAATCCCAAGCCCTGGAAGGCGCCGTAGACATGGCTTGCAGGGAGAGGTACCGTCCACGAATGAGCGACTGCCGATGATGCTCAAGGTGCACCTCGGCTCGAGGGACGCCAACGAACCATCATCAGCTTCATTAGTCATGATGACGGCGATACCACTTTGCCGTTATCCCGGTGGCCGGATGAGTCAAGAACTGGACACGCCAAAAGCCAAATCCCGCCAAGGGCCCTCATCAATCTTCCACAACACTCCAGCAAGGAAACAGCAGACATGTCGAACATGAATTCAACACAGCACGAGCGAGAGCCAGCGCCGTCTTATCGCCAGTCGTTCGACACTCTGGCACACATCCCCGCAGACCCAAATCTGTCGGAATTCAGGGCAAGCCGGATTGACAACTTTTGGATCAAGGTCTTCCCACCAACGTAAGGTTTCACCGCATCCGCATGCCATCCATCACGGGAGAGGCTAACACCTCCATTACACAGGCCAAAATGTTACATTTGCCAAGACAAAACGGACACCGCGAATCTACTCTCCAGGCCAGGATGCGATCACAAGATTTGCGGCAAATGCCTGATCAAGGTCTTTGAGCGAGCCGTCAACGACAAGAAATGCATGCCGCCCAGCTTCTGCCCTCATGGTGAGGTGTCGCCCGATATGGCGCCCGGCTTGTTCGACGACGTGTTCTTGGCGCAATGGAACGAGAAGTACTTTGAGTATTTGGAGCAGACTGTGCCGTCATGATTGCTATCTGGCGTCCTGAAGACGGGACAGGTTGGACATACGGACATATGGAAACGTTCGACAATTGGCAACATGGGCGACCCGATCCGATCTCTCGAAAAGGCCAGGACATGAAGCGATAAATCAGTAATAAACAGATGTGTGCGACTCCGGCAGAACTCCCATCGACGAATGACCATGTTCGGTGAGTTGTTATGGCCTTGGAAATACTTCTCAACACGGATGCTAAACACATCTTCATCCAAGGACCCCCGAGGACCCTGGATCAGGACTTCCGAATAGAGCGACAGCCTCCAGGCACCAGCGACTAGCGTGAAAGTCGTGTGGGGCTACAATGTCGACGCCATCGCCGACGGGATGTACGCATCATCAGGACGCATGGATTCGTCTCTTTTCTTTTCGAGATATGAATATCAAACTTCGACTCTTCCTCTTTTCTTCTTCTTGTTCTTTTGTTCATCCAAGACAGGACAACCCAAGTTTCTTCCTACAATCATCCTATCCAAGTTATTCCTCGTGGCGTGCAGGCCAAGCTTCAATGTCTGTCGCCATGTCTGAACCGATGGATGCCGTTCCCATTCCCGAACCTGATATCCCCCCCGTTTCAATCTCACATGGGACCATCCAATCTCTACATCCACAAGCTCCGACCACCAACAACCTCCGGATCCCCCCTCCAGAACAAACCTCACAGGGGGCAACGGTCGCGCGTACGCTTCGATCAACCACTATCCGCCCTACCCCCTTCAAACTACCACCTCTTCCCACTTACAACTGTTCCATGGGCCCAAATCCGACGGAATCTGTAGCAGGTGGCCCGCCATTTTGGGACGTAGCCGACATGCCATCCGAGTGGCATCCTCCTCCTCCTCGCGACCGTCGCCCATTTCCTCGCGCCCCAAATTTTTTGGACCAAGAAGATGCAACCGGTCACGGGATCAGAGGCCAAGTTTGTGGCCGTTGGTTGCGGGACTGGGACAAGCTTAACCACAACCACCGGTCGAGGTCTGACAATGAACGACATCTCAGGCAAAAGGCAATGTCGATTGGTGGCTAACCGCCTGTTCTCTCGGAATATCCTCAAGGACACGAGCATATCCTTTGCGAACCCGACTGGGACATGGCCGAAACAGCTGGGAGCGGTGGCGCAAACAGGTACCCGGTGGTCTCGAGCCCAGAAGCACGACAAACATCCAGTCGTTATCATTTCGAGCAGCTGCCTGCTGAAGTCTAGAAGATGATCGTGGCATACCTTGTACCTGTCGGCTGTACGTACAGTTTTAGTACGCCTAATTACCTCCTCTACCCGTCTACGGAGGGAACCGACCTTGCCGGAGCCAAATTTTGCTCCCTTGTCCAACAGATGGTTCCTGTCTGGCCGGAAGCAAGGTCATCACCAGGCCCCTCCAACGCAACTGCTCCAGTCGCCTGAGGCTCTGCGCATCTGGCCATCGCAAATACCAACCGATCCTTCCAAGAGCTGGTCTACGAGCGGTTCTTTGGAGACAATACGTTCATCTTCCACCAGACCACATCGCCAATTCTATTCAGTTGGACCAAGTCGGAGACTTCATCTTCACCAAGTGGAAATCCGTGTCACGCATCATTGCGCGATCCGAGCCGGATGATGAACCGGGAAAGGCACCTTTCGGGCACCTTGGAACTCTCGGCCCTCGCGCAGCGAAATATTTGCGAAACGTACACCTGGTTATCGCCTCTCTTCCGACCGAAAGTGACGATGCCGAGGCAATGACCAAGCTCGCCAACATAGTTGACTCAACCATCGCCCTTCTCCTGCCGGAAGACCACGGGGTTGACGAAAAGGGACGGGAAAATCAAGATGTTTCTCTGCACTTACACACCTCACACCCATCACCAGAATATAGAGACATAGACAGATCTCATCCCTCACGGCGTTGCCACCAACTGGCCGCCCTGCAGGCTGATGTCAACCCGGCTACAGGAGCGATGAAAATAGGTCTCAGGAACGACCATACAGTACTCAGAAAGGTAGACTGGCCATGACCGTCCAACCAGTTCCACAAAGTACTCGAGCCTTTGCGAAGATTGAGCCGGCGGGTGGACAAGTTGTGGGTATCGGGCGTGGAGATCACACCGGAGTTCCTAGAGGAGATGGGCTTGCGAGTGGACAAGACGAGCGCGAGGAAGAACTTGACTGTCCCGCTTGGGTGTTCGGGATGGAAAGTTTTGACGGCGACTTCAAGGTAATTTGTCCTGGTTATCCTGGTTGTCCACGGTCGCCAGAGCGCGTTGCCAGCCACTCCTGCAAGCTGCCAGCCACCTCCGCCTCCCCCTCATGCATCTTTTGCCTCCTGCCTCCCCCCAAACCTTCCCCGCGCCAGCCCAACCCCAAGTGGGCCTTATAAGTTCCCTTTACTGGTTACCTTTTCAGTGGTCCGTTGGTGCAACTGGTAAGCACATCCGGTCTGACCACCTGGAAGATATGGGTTCAAATCCCATGCGGGCCTTCTTTTTTTCCTTTTTTTCTCTTTCGCATTTTTCTTAAACTGAACGACAAAAGAAGGGAAACCGTCCAGCTGGGGAATGAGCATCAAAGAAATGTTTTACAAACTTGCGAGCGGTATAAAGTAGGCGAGACGAATTTGGAAACTCAAACATCGCGTGTCTCAACAAGGAAAAGAACTAAAACACTGTATGTGGCAAACATAGAATGAATCCAAAAGAACCTGCAGCACCTACCAAGGACAGTCCCTCTCTAGACCAAGATTCCGCATCATCCTCACTTCCTCAACAAAGCTTCAACTTCCCCCGTAATATCCGGCATCGGAAACCTCCTCCTCCCGCCCGCCACCGTTCCTCCACCCACGGTAAATCCCCAAAGCCCAATATGACATACAACCCGCTCGGCCCAATCTGCGTCACCGCAACCGTCACTCCTTCCCCCTGGGGAAACTCCTCATCCCTCGGATACTCCACTTCCACGGTACCGACATACTCCGCCCTCTCCCACCTCTTATCCCTCGACCGTAACACCTGCACCCCCGACCCGTGACTCGCAACCAGCAACACCGAGCCCCCGTACTTGGGCGGGAGGTAAATCGCGTCGGTATCGTTGTACAGCACTTTGGGCGTAATCGGCACTGCCACGGGGTGGCCCCTGTCAGCGCGCATATCAAACCGGTAAATCTGTCCGTCTCCATCATTGCTCAACAAGATCTCGGTCCCCGGGACGGCGGCAAGACCACCGAATCCCCCTTTCGCGAACGGCGTCCCCGGTGTCACCGTTGGGAAGGGGTCAGGGAGGTACCACTCCTTGATTTCCCTGCCGTGCTTATCAGCCCGCAGAATCGTTCCGGGAAACGTGCCGACCACGTAGGTGTTCCCCCTCCGATCGGTTTCCACGTCTTGGAACCCGCCGTAGCGTTCGTGGGTGAGGGTGGTTAAGTTCAGAGTCCAGAGGGTGTGGTTGGTGATCGGGTTGTATTTGATGAGGAGGTGGTCGCCGCGGAGGTCGCCGCCTTCGGTGTCCCAGGCTGCGGCGGGGTCGGTTAGGATTGTGTAGAGGTTGGAGAGGGGGTCGAAGGCGACGCCGCCTATGTGGTAGGTGCCTGTGTTGGTGACGCCGGGGAAGGTGAGGCTTTGGGTGATTTGGGAGAGGTAGGGGTTGTAGATGGCGACGGAGCCGTTCCAGAGGGATCTGGAAGGTATGGTAAGTATGGGAGTATAGCATCTGGGGCTTGGGGAGGTGGTGGGAGTGGGAGGTTGCTCACCCGAAGATGACTTGGCAGGAGTGGGCGTCCCAGTCGGCGTTTTCGGGGTAGAGTTGGAAGTAGTCGATGGTGAAGTTACCCTTGTTGAAGGGAGGGCATTCTTTGTGTTTGCCGATTCCGAGGATGCTGTTACTGCTTGGAAGGAGAGATAGGTTGGGCCATGCGCGGGCTTCAAGAACACTTGCGAGAGCGAAGCCCAGGATTGGGAAGTTTCTCAGCATCGTCTTTGGTATTTTTGAAGGAATATACTGGAGGGTTTGGAGCACTTGCTGTGAAACGGGGAGATGCCGGAGCTTATATCATTTCCAGCATGGACAGTGACACTCTGTGATGATGCATTATCGCCCAGCTATGGTGCAACAATATCGAGCTTCCTACCATCTTTCGAGGCGGCGGTACCCTCTTGGGGCTTCAGCTATCGATGTATGTAGCTCACTCAGCTTACGGGAGCCTTCCGCAGTCCCCGAAGACCGATCCTCCCATCCCGAATCCCCTGGCGGCCACGTTCGACAACCTCTGCCCTCGACTGTAACCCCAAAAGGTAGGGCATGACCAGAGTTTTGGGAGAATTGAAGTGGCATGAGAGGGAGCGGAATAAGCTGCAGTCAGCAATACGAAGAGGTCCATGGAGACACGCCATGCACATCGACTATCGACAAAGTTCGGTGCGTGGGTGGGACAAAGGCAGCATAACTAAAGCAAGAGCAGGCAGTGAAATAACAGATGAAGTGTTGGGTTCAATGGCCAGCTGGTGGCGCAACATGGCCATGCTTAGGCCCGAAAAGGCAACGGGCAAAGATGATGGCGGCGATGCCTTCAACTTAAGTTGGTTGTCTTCAAGTACAGTGTAGCAGCGCTTGCACACGGACCTTAGGTCTACCGGTCTAGGACAGCTCTTTCAAAACGCACAGGCCACCCGCTTTTGTCCAACGTCAAAGACCCTTGTCTGATGCCGTCGTCTTGATCCACATCTGACCCACCGGCCCCATCCGTTCGCGTCTGTTCGATCACAGACACGAACACTCAGGACGCGATCACCAACGTCATCCATCGCATTCTATCTGTCAAGCTACTGAAGAGCTTTGTAAATCTTCTTATCCCGTCTCCAAATACTCTGGACATCGATTCCGAAAGCAATAGCGATTGCGACAACAAAAACATAACCCAAACTTGACCTGCATCTCCCCCAAATCAACCATGCCTCCCCGCAAAAAGGTCGCCGATGCGACAATCGAGACGGAGATCGCAGATGCCGTGCGCCGCATCTACCACGGTCCGCAAGAGCTCACCGTCAATGCTGTGCGCGAAGCTGTCGAAAAGAAGCTCAAACTTGGCGAGGGGTTCCTCAAAGATGGCGACTGGAAAGCAAAGAGCAAAGAACTCGTCATGGACGCTCTCGTGAGTAGCCATTGACCCAATGGAGTAGCGCCGAGAGACAACAATCCATTGCTGACAGAGGAGTACCCATCGTAGGCCAAGATAGAATCTGACGAAGCGGAACCGTCCCAGGCCACTCCCGCGAAACCAAGCCCCAAGAAGTCGCAAAGCACCGCCAAAGCCAAAGCCAAAGCGCCTGCGAAGAAGCGCGCAAAGAAGGAGGCGACACCTTCCGAAGAGTCAGAGTCCGAGTTAAGCGATCCCGAGGATAGCGAAGAAGAGGAGGAATTCAACGAGGAGGAATCCGAAGAGGAACCGACCAAGAAGCCCAAGCCGACAAAGGCGACGGGCAACAGGAAGAGGAAGGGTGTATCCGATGACGAGGACGAAGAGGAAGCCGAGGAGAGCGAGTCCGAAAGACCTAAGAAGAGAGCGAGACCCGCCGCCAAGGCTGCCAAGGGCAAACCAACCAAGAAGGCCGCCGCTGTGAAGAAGAAGGAGGTCGAAGCATCCGACGCAGAGTCCCTGCTTAGCGAAATCGACGAGACAGGACTGGAGGAGGAGGACAACAAGTCCAGTGAGCTATCGGACGCCATGGATGTCGACACTCCAAAGGAGAAGGACACAAAAGACGAGGAGTATACAAAGGCGGAGAAAGAGACGAAACCGGCCTCAGACGACGAGAGCGAGCTTTCCGAAGTCATTGACGAACCCCCCAAACGGAAAGCCAAACCCAAAAAGGGCGCCTCTAAAGACTCTTCCGAATCCAAGCCTACCAACGCCCCACCCGCGGACAACTACGACGAAAGTTCCATGTCTGAAGTCTTCGACGAACCTCCGAAGCGTGGCGGCAAGGGGCGCGGCAAATCCAAGGAGGCCGCCAGCAGCACCAGCAAGGGCCCCAAATCCAAGTCCGGTTCCGCCGACCTTTCTCCTGACGAGGCGCTGATCAAACAGCTCCAGAGCCAGCTACTCAAGTGCGGCATCCGCAAGATCTGGCCAATCGAACTCAAGAAGTACGGTGACGACACCAAGGCAAAGATCAGGCATCTTAAGAACTTCCTCACCGAGATCGGCATGACCGGACGGTTTTCCGAGTCCAAGGCCAAGGAAATCAAGATGCGAAGGGAGTTGGAGGCGGAGCTGGATGCCGTGAAGGAGGGAGAGCAGAGCTGGGGATTGGGCGATGGCGGGAGGCCCAGGAGGAGGGCGGCGGCTAAGGTGAAGAGTTTGAAGCTTGAAAGTGATTCTGAGGATGAAGAGGAGGATGAAGAGGGTGGGGATGGAGAGGACAAGAAGGAAAAGAAGCAGAAGAAGAAGAAAGCCGAGAAGGAAGCTAGCGGTGAAGAGGATGGGGATGATGATGATGTTGAGGAGGACAACGACGACGATGATGATGACGACGATGACGACTCAGAGGATGCGGAGCCAAAGGCAAGGGTTAGGGGCCCGGCCAAGCACAGAGCGGATTTCGCTTTCCTGGGCTCTGAGAGCGAGTCTGATTAAGTCACGGCGATCGATATGGAGCAAGACACAGGACAGGGTCTTGTAGCACCACCACCACCACCTTTTCATGATCATGTTTTGAGCGTGTACGATTCAGCGAGGTGTTTTATACCCTTTTGGTTTTGTATGATTATCAAAGTTACGCAATGGGTGAACGATAATATGGCACAAGAGAGACGGGATTACTTTGTGGCGTTCATTCTCTGAGCTATCAGGCTGAAGACTGCGACGGAACTTAGGAACAGGACGGCGTTGTAGAACTAGTAGTATCATGTCAGGTCGGCTTATAATGGTTGAAGCAGCAGCATCGGAATGTGACGTACTGCTTTTCTGGACACGTCTCTTTCTTCACTGTCTGTCCTGGCCTCGATGAAGAGGCGACGAAGATTGGGGAAGTTGGCCTGTTGTAGTTAAGCCTCTCAGTCTTGGCAAAACGGATATTTGGGGGATCTCTGGGGCATTACCATTGTCTCGCCTCTGCCGGTTGACACTGGAGGCGTTGATGCTGGTGATAGGTTCTACTTGTAGATGACGGAGGAATAGGGAGAATTTGTATGAGCTAAACTGTCGCCGAATGACCGCTGCTCTGGTGTATCAAGTAAAGACCGTAGGCGGATGGTTTTCACAAGTTCCCGCCGTCGTCACGACCATCATCATCGTCCTCGTCGCCAAGTGCCAAGCCACAGCTTCCAGAATGCCCAAAGACGGCGATGTGGCTGAAGCTCTCCTTTCCGGCGGGGCAGCAAGGACCCTGTGAGTGGGGCAATACAAGGCTCACGCCAAGACGCTCTGGCCTGTCGCTGCAGTGACACTTGGAGGACACCACAGTGTGGCCGCCGTTCAGCGCGTAACACTGGACATCTGCCCGTCCACATCATCGTGATCCATCCCCGACGCCAACGACGACCCAGCGACCCGATCCAAGGCTGGACCACGCCCTCGACAACAGCACGCAGCCTTACACCCGGCCAGGTTGCACTTTTGTTTCCCGGCTTCACGACTACCGGCCCCCCTCGCGATCGACACCCAAAAGCATCCGTGTGTGCGCCATTCCGCGACCACCCGTTAAGGCGACCTCTCCTTTGTCGAAGCTCGAGGTTTCACCGCCCGACCTCGACCTCGCCATCTCCTCCTCCACCACTGCCCTTTCTCCCCGAGTGCGCAGAACAACAACGCCTTTGCAATGTCAGCTATGAACCGCATTAGAGGCGCGTTTGCGCCCCCACGCAAGGGCGAGACCTTCGAGCTGCGAGCCGGCCTTGTGTCCCAATATGCCTACGAGCGAAAGGAAGCCATTCAGAAGACCATCATGGCCATGACCTTGGGCAAGGATGTGTCGGCGCTCTTCCCGGACGTCCTCAAGAATATTGCGACCTCAGACCTCGACCAGAAGAAGCTGGTGTATCTCTACTTGATGTGAGCAACAGCGGTCCCCGTCTCTCGCCACTTCACGAACGAGCGCTAACCCCTGACTCCAGGAACTACGCCAAATCACACCCCGATCTCTGCATTCTCGCCGTCAACACATTCGTACAAGACTCGGAAGATCCGAACCCACTCATTCGAGCGCTGGCGATTCGAACGATGGGCTGCATTCGCGTCGACAAGATGATCGATTACATGGAGGAGCCGCTACGAAAGACGCTACGAGACGAGTCCCCCTACGTACGCAAGACCGCCGCCATCTGTGTCGCCAAACTGTTCGATCTCAACCCCACAATGTGCATCGAGAACGGCTTCCTTGAGACACTGCAAGAGATGATTGGCGACCCCAATCCCATGGTTGTGGCCAACTCTGTCCAGGCCCTGTCCGAAATCCACGAAACCGCCCCCGAGACTAGAGCGCTTGTCCTCACACCCGCGACTCTAAAGAAGCTGCTCATGGCGTTGAACGAGTGCACGGAATGGGGAAGGGTCACCATTCTCACAACACTGGCCGAGTACAGGGCCTCCGACGCCAAGGAGTCGGAACACATTTGCGAAAGAGTAGCGCCCCAGTTCCAGCATGTCAACCCCAGCGTGGTTTTGGCCGCCGTAAAGGTCGTCTTCACCCACATGAAGGCTCTCAACCCTAAGATAGTGGGCGCCTACCTCAAGAAGATGGCTCCTCCTCTGGTAACGCTTATCGCCTCTGCCCCTGAGGTACAGTACGTCGCTCTGCGGAACATTGACCTTCTGCTGCAAGCCAATCCCGATATTCTTAGCAAAGAGCTGAGGGTATTCTTCTGCAAGTACAACGACCCCCCGTACGTCAAGCTCCAGAAGCTTGAAATCATGGTCAGGATAGCAAACGACAAGAACTTCGATCAACTACTTTCCGAACTCAAGGAGTACGCCCTTGAAGTCGACATGGATTTCGTCAGAAGAGCCGTCAAGGCCATCGGCCAGGTCGCCATTAAGATTGAGGCCGCTAGCGAGAAGTGCGTCAACGCGTTGCTTGATCTCATCTCTACCAAGGTCAACTATGTCGTGCAAGAGGTTATTGTGGTTATCAAGGATATCCTCCGCAAGTATCCCGGATACGAAGGTGTCATCCCAACTCTGTGCAAGTACATCGACGAGTTGGATGAGCCCAACGCCAGGGGTGCCCTGATCTGGATTGTTGGAGAGTATGCCGAGAAAATCAACAACGCCGATGAAATTCTGGAAGGGTTTGTGGAGGGTTTCCTGGAAGAGTTCACGCAGACCCAACTGCAGATTCTTACCGCTGTGGTCAAGCTGTTCCTGAAGAAGCCCAGCAACACCCAAGGCCTAGTACAGAAGGTCCTTCAGCAAGCCACGGCGGACAACGACAACCCCGATATCAGAGACCGTGCTTATATCTACTGGCGTCTCCTCTCTGGCGATCTCGATGTTGCCAAGGTTTGTCGCCAATCCGTACCCCTGACTGCGTAAACAATGACTAACCTGCGTTCACAGAGCATCATTCTCTCCCAAAAGCCCGCCATTACGACAACAGTAACATCCCTCCCTCCCGTCCTCCTCGAACAACTCCTTTCCGAGCTTTCCACTCTCGCCTCCGTCTACCACAAGCCTCCCGAGTCGTTCGTCGGCAAGGGCCGCTTCGGCGCCGACGAGATCCAGCGCGCCGCCATCCAAGAACAGCGCCAAAACGCCGCCGAGAACCCCATTGCCGCGTCGGTCGCTGCTGCTGCCAAAGGAGGCCAGCAGAACAACATTGAGAACCTTCTCGACATCGACTTTGACGGCGGCGCTCCTGCCAGCGCAGAGCACGGCGGTGGTGTCGGCACACCAGATCGGTTCGCCAGTCCCGCCAACGTCGGCGGTCTTCCCGGGGCGCCACCGCAACCCAGCGGCGGCATGGCGGATATCATGGGGCTTTTCGATGCACCACCGCCCATGCCGGCGGCTGCTGCTGCTGCTGCTGCGCCGGCTGCGGCAGGCGGGATGGGTGACATGATGAGCTCGTTTGCGGGCATGGATCTTAGTGGGACGAGTGCGCCCCCGCCGCCCGGTCAACAGCTGGGGCATACGACTAGTCAGACTCCTCCTAAGAGTGGTGGGGGCAGCGAGGATTTGCTTGGGTTGTTCTGATTTACTCGTAAGAGGGTCAGGCTGGGAGAAGGAAGTCATGATTGGACGAGTATGGGTGTTACTATAATAGCATGGCGGTGTTGTTGGTGATGAGGGAATGGGCTAAAAGCGAGGGAAATGCCAGCGCCTTGTTTACCAGTTTTTGTCCATGTCTTGTGTCATGAGCTGATATATTAATAGATATCATACATTGGGCCTTTCGGCTTTTCGTTGAGCCGGGACTGCACTCCGTCCGCTGGATATTCCCTTCGCTGCTCTGACAGTTCTATGCCTCCATTCCCTTTGATGCCCTTGCCTTTTACGTTGTCGAATCCCTTTCCCTTTGGATCAAAGCTGTAATATCACTAAGGTACCTATGATAATCCCCAAACCTGCAATAACCCAAGATGAAGACAAGTCAATCGTTTGCTAGTTAAACCTGGTTAGTCACCCATAGTGCTTACTGTCTTCTCTCGAACCTTGCTGATAACAAAAGTGTATTTGTTTGAGTGTTTCTAATCTAACTAATCTTTGGATGTCTCAACATCCGATACGATGATGTAGCTTGCGAGAAAGTCCTTAAATCATAACCAGCACGACGGCGACCCGCAGTGACAGCCCTTCGTCACTGTCTATTCCTTGGTAAGCTTCACCACTACCGTATAAACTCGGGAAATTGAGATTAGGGAATGCAGGGTTAAAGGTGTTGGTCAACCACATAAAACCACATACATAGGGCATACATGCTTTTTTACACCTTTAACCCTGCGTTGTGCCTGCATTCCCTAATCTCAATTTCCCGAGTTTATACGGTAGAGTGCCGTCCTCCACTACAGCAGGCTCCGTCTCCATATGCGCTACTAACCGGACTTTCTCGACACTCTCCATCGTTCGCAAAGGCTGCACCCGCCTGGTCCTCCATTGGATGCACTCGGCCTCCCACGCCTTGATATCCCCTACGGATCGTCTGAGTTGGGACTCAACTTGGATTTTGTGGGCACGGGGTAGGAAACCGAGACTGGGACCTGGGACGTCTCACCGACTTGCGTAGTAGAGGTAACCTCCGTAGTGCCGCGAGAAGTGCTAGCGGGACCTGTGACCCATTTCCCCGTCGTCTCAAGCCCGGCGAGGACCGGCTCAGTCTCCGTTTTGATGGCGTCCCGCATTTCTTGTTGGCTGTCTGGGGCTTCCCATTCTGCAACGGCGTCCTGCTCTTGCCAGAGCGACTCGAGTTCGCCCCGCATTTGTCTCGCCGTCTCTCGCAGGCATGTTTGCTGGTAACGGTGATCATGGTAGCTGGTGAGACCACTGATCAGGCTGCTGGAGATAGCACTACCGGACGGGATTGTCCAGACGTCATGTTCTCGGTGGTAAGCGTCATGAAGAACCCCATCCGCGCCGCCGTCGGCAAGCACAATAGTCTTTGCGGAATGCAGGTAGCTGCGGGTGATCATTCTGCTAGCGATGGCGAAGGAGGGGACCTGGTAAGTTCCGGATATCGCAGCGGTGGTCCACCCGAGCTGCGAGTCCCATGTGTTCCTGAGAAACTCAAGGGTGTCGGCGAAGAGCCGTCGGGGTGATATGAGAACCCCGACGGGCGAAGGTGGGAGGGTGGATGAGGACGAGTGATTTGACGACGATATCGTCAAGAGACCTGGGAGGCTGGGGTATGTCCCCAGCAACGTCTGGCCAAAGGAAAAGCTCAACGAGGGCGCCCTCGATGCGGAAGAGGTCCAGCGCAGGACGAACAATGATATTGATGTCACGGCTCCAAACAGGCACGGAGACGTAGCGGTCGTTAGCCGTAGCGGCTTTTCGGGCCTCGATGTTGACCTTGAGCAGTGGGTTACAGTTGACTTCGAAGAATTTGCTTGTCAGGACCAAATCTTCGTGTTGACACCCAAGATCTATAAAGGGGCGAATGGGAATGTGCCCCTCGCTCTCTTCACCGAAGCGCTGGCGTATAGCGGCTCTGGAGGCCGGAGAGTCATCAACTCCCCATTTGAGATCCCAGAGAACGCCGCAGCTGTCCTGATAGTCTGAGAGATATCGCTCCCATATCAAGAGACGAAGCTCGCAGGGGAGGCGAGAGAAAAGGTGAAACTCATGGTCAGTCATGGTGTCGACTTTGGTAGGCTGGAATCGACGTGGAGGAAGACTTTTGTGGAAGGGAAGCCTGGTTGTTGAGTTTGACGGCAGCTAGTGAATTGTTATTTCGTGCTGTGCAGGTTCGGGACCAACTTGTGATATAGATACTTAAGACGGCAGGGTGGGAAACGGCCGACAAAGGTTCAAGGTCAGCAACTATTCCCTTCACCTCCAGCGCCCCCCATCCCATACTGGGCCAATTGATATCAAGACACTGTAAGCGTCCATTGAAGACTGTATGTTCCATACTGGGTTTCGATGTCGAGAAGAAGATCAGACGTTAATGTTACTATGGAAGTCTCAAAGGCTAAGGTATCGATTTTATATACTCAAGCTACTCGTGACTGATGCTTACTTGTACCTACAGGTTCCGAAAACGCAAGTCCCAAGATTACCTACTCGTCAGGACTAGAAACGTCTCTGACCCCATGTGTAGGGGAAGAAGGCGATTCTAGTCCTGACGAGTATAGGGTAAGCAAAGACATAAGAGCCCAGCCATGGGACATACCGCCGATTTATACGCTCTTCAAGATGTAGAATGATTGAATTCATGCACGTGTGTATACACACAAACATGTCTAGTTGCCACATTCACTCAGCGTGAAGTAAATAGTTTAATCGCGGAGCCAAGGTTGATGCCGGTCAAACGATCATGTTAGATCAGAAACACTCAAATAAAGACATTCCGTTGTCAGCTAGGCTCGACGGAGACAGCAAGCACTATGGGTGGCTGACCAGATCCAACTAGCAGACGATCGGCTTTTCTTCATCTTGGGTTCTTGATAAAGCCTCCTATGAGTCTAACATCCGTCGCATAAGCTTAGGTAGCAAGTTGGATCCGGCATCTGGCTCCCATCAGCGAGACATCTGAAGTCTGCAACTCGTACTCTGTGTATGCCTGAAAGAGGTTGATTCAACGCAAGTAAAGCGCAGAACAAGAGAATACCGGCATTGATGAATCCAAAAAGACACGCAATAAGCGTGAAAAAGCCAGTATCATACGGCTATGAAGGAGTGTCTGTCGCATGTAGACAACCTACACAGTAAAGGTATCGTGACGGATGTTGAGCTGAACAGCCCTTCATAGAGGCATGATTTGAACATCTTTATAACAAGGTCCGCTGGCTCAATGGCAGAGCGTCTGACTACGAATCAGGAGGTTCCAGGTTCGACCCCTGGGTGGATCGAGTTGTTTTTGTTTTTGCGCTTTTTTTTTTTTTTTTTTTTTTTTTGGTTATCTTTTGTGTTTCCCACATTTGAGTTCATGCAAATGTGCAATTTGGAGCAGCAGAATTTTCTCCATTATTTTCGTTTCGTTTTGGTGGGGTCGTCACCCCCCACGGCTTGGGAAGACCCTGGAGATAACAGGCGCCCGCAAGCGAGTCCGGGGAAGTTTGGAAGGACCAATCAGTGGCTTTAACAGATACAGCGCTAGGCCTCATGGGGCACTTGTTAATCTTAACCTCAATGTCACCACTGATTTCAGGGTCGCTTTCCGTCAGGAACGGGCCAGGAATGATCCCTTTCCCATTCCCGGCCGTCAGTGGCCTTTTTCCTTTCCTTTTCCCTCCCTTCTTCCCTCCATCTTCTGCAGAACTTCGGATTCCCATGTCCATCGCCGGCATTATCTGAGTCGGTGTTGCAGAACCCGCCGTGACGGCGGCTCGCCCCTCTTGTTTTAGTCTTTCCATCACTTATACGGGTCTGTCCGACCCGAGGCCACTCATTCCCTTGTTAATTGATTCGTTGGCGATTTCATCATGACTACCGAATCCCATTCATTCGCAATGTGCACAACACGACTTGTGACGCACTCCAATCTTTGGATATCTCGCTTGTCCTCCCTCGCCCTCCTTGTTCTCTACTGCGCCACCGCGACCCATGCTGCCACGACCACAGTCTGGGCCACCCCTCACGACAGCTACTCCTCCTCGATCGGCGTCCTCGGTTGCAAAGTCGACACCGACCGCATCGCCTACTGGCCCAGCTCGGTCGACTGCAACAACCTTTGCGTCTCCCTCTCGTACGGCGACCGCAAGGTCAAGCTCCTGCGCATCGACCAGTCCCAGGGCGCTCACGACATCAGCTACGATGCCTGGAACTATCTTACCACGGGCCACGGGGCCAACGACCGACCGGCCGTTGGCGGGCCCATCGAAATGCAGACGGAGGAGCTGGACGCTTCCGAGTGCAAGGACCTGATCCACACAGAGGGACACAAGCTTCCACTGTCGGCGGCCAACAGCATGAACTTTTTGGCGAGCTGCCTCGACCACAAGAATGGCAGCTGGGTGGGCGAGAATTACATTCTTTACAACATCCTCGACTCGATTTGCACGTGGGGATACGACGAGCCGTGCGAGCTGAACTGGCCGAGTGCGAACCAGGCGCAGTGCAAGCATGCTTTGGGCACGCCGAACACGCTGAAAGATGACCCGGTTTACGATATCAAATATCCTTCGGGCAACAAGGTTATCGCGGGGTCGGGAGAGGTGGTGAAAACGGGAGGGACTCCGTGGGGCGATGTGGGCGGGACTGGTCAGGAAAACGCCGCTACGAGAGGTCTGGTTGCGGGCAGTTCAGCGACGTTTTTGTTTGTTTGGATCATGACTATGATGAGCTACGGGGCTTTATGTTGGATATGACGATGCTTCTTTTCGTACAAGTTGGATAGTTGGTGGGCCCTGTTTTGCTTCGATTCTTGAGATACCCCTTTTAGCACGTTTTGGTTGAAATGGAATTTTTTTTTCTTTGGGTGAGCTAACTCCGGGTTTTTACTGGACATCTGGTCGGTCACAAGTCAGCGGACACTGCGATGACACCTTCCACCGGCAGCACCGTGACAACCACCGTCTCGCTCATTTGCCCTCCTCGGTACGCATACGTAAACGTCCAACCGGACGCCGCAGCCCCATGATTCCCATCCTTATCCACCACCACAAGTCCACTTTGCACACTGGGATATTTCCTCACCATCCTTCTTACCGCATCTTCAGCCGCCTCTGTCGGGGTCATGCCCCTTCTCAAGCTTTCTACAGCTTGATAGCAAGGCAGGAAGCGCATCATAATATCCCCATCCCCCGTCGCACCGCAACCGCCCACCTCCCCATCAACATACGCACCACTACCGACAATCGGTCCATCGCCAACCCTCCCTGGCACCTTATGCGATGCACCATTCGTAGATGACCCAGCCGCCATCCTTCCATCCTTCCCAATCGCAATCATGGAAATAGTATCATGCCCGCCCCTCTCCTCCCCCGATCGCATCGACTCTCCAAGACCCCCAGCATTCCCCAACTCCCTCTCCGGAACAGGCACAAACGGCCCACATCCTCCTCCTCCTCCTTCCCCTTCCCCCGAATCCACAACAACATTCCTCCTATACGAACCCGTCCTACACCCCTCCCTCCTCCACTCTTCACACAACCCCCTCGACTCCCCCGTCCCCAAATCCTCTTCCGCAAATCCATTCTCCCTCGCAAACCCCGTCGCCTGATCGCCCGTCAACAGCGAGTGTCTTGTATACAGCAACACGCGCTTCGCAACGGCAATCGCGTCTCGTACCCGCCGTAGATTGGCCACGGCGCCCGAGTCGAGCGTGTCGCCGTCCATTATCAGCGCGTCTAGCGTCGTCTCGCAGCTTTCGTCGGGCGAGCCGCCATAGCCGACGGTGCCGTCGCATTGGAGACTCTCGCAGGTGGAGCAGCCGGTTACGATGGCGTTGAGGGCGTGTAGTCGAGGATTGGAGTCAGAGGGTGGAGGGGAAGTGAGGTAGGAAAAGGCGGAATCGGTGGCGGAGGTGAAGGCACCGCCCCAGGTGTTGATGATGAAAGGGAGGCCGGGGGAGTTGTGCCAGTCGAGATCGGGCTTGGGGGTGGTGTTGGAGTTGGGGTTGGAAGAGGTTAGGGGGTGCTGGGACTTCTGAGAGGCGAGGGTCGGAGTGGTTATTGTGAAGAGAGCGAGGAGGGAAAGGATGGTCGTGAGGGGGGCGCGGTTTGGTGGAGGGGTCATGATTGATGCGGGGGTAATTGAGGGTGAAGTGAGTACTAAAAGGAAGTGCAGTTTGAACACTCAGTGAAAACGACTGGATAATCTTGCTTTGTGGTCTTCAGCCCTCGTTGAGGTGCAGCTGAAATGTGCCAAGTGACAGTGACAAGGTGGTGGTGAGGATTTCAGAAGCGGGGGAAGTCGGGAAGCTTTTCCCTTCCTGGAAGACGGTAGCAGAAACACAGTTCCAACCCTAACCCTTTCACCCCATCCGCCTCACCTCAGGGGTTTGTTTACTTGCGAGTGTGATCCAGAGCCCTTGGCTTCTTCTTCTTTCTGGTCTAGCATTGCAACTGTTGGTTCTACAAGTTGGTCGAGATGCAACCTTCATCCGCCATCACAACACGTGAAGCCCGCCACTACGCGTGAGGCCTACAGGGCGTCACACCGAAGCCGGCGTACCCCTCATGTACCCCAACCTTCTCTTTGGTGGTTCGCCCCTTCCATTTTGAACAATTTCTCATGATAAAAGGGAATGAACGACTACCACTTCTTCCCAAGCCAGAACATGTGGCGAGCGACAGACCAAAACACTCGATACAGAATGTTATCGTCAAAAGACCCGGCCGAAAACGAGATCATCTCACCCATCTCATTCTCGCCAGGCGAACCATCAGTCTACCATGCCCACGACCACTCTGTCTCTGACGATGAACCAACACCATCTGATCGATCACCCAAGAAAACGGGCTTTAACAAGTTCATCCCCAGTAGAGACACGTTAAGTCAACCAGTCCTAAATCCAACACCTCCTTCCCCTCGGCGTCCCCCATCTAACACGACTGTATCACAACAGATACTGGGGTTCCCTAACCTACAACCTCCTCGCCTTCCTCCTCCCCGCCCTCTACCAAACCCTTTCAAAACTCTGGATCGCCCAAATCGACTCCGACTCCGTCGTCCTCACCGACGTCTACACCTACATCTCCACCATTGCCGAAGTGCTCAACGAAGGGCTACCGCGCATCGCGTGGCTGATCATCGGCAACTCGGCCTCTTACTCCCTCTCTACGCGCCTATCCCTCTCTTATACCCTGATCATCTTCCAGACTTGCATGGGGCTGCTCATGACGGTAATCTTCATCGCAGCCGCCGAATCCTTCGCGGCGGGATTTGTCCCGCCCGAAGTCAGGGAGAAGAGTCTGAGCTATGTGCGCCTGTCGTCGGCGGTGGCGCTGACGAGTGCGGTGCAGACGGCGGTGGCAAGTTGTACGAGGGCGATGGATTGGCCGGATGTGCCGCTGGTGGTGAGCTCGGTTGGGTTTGCGGTGAATATTGTGTTGGATATGTTGTTCCTTTCGTGGTTCCATGTGGGCTGGACCGGGTACAAGCCGACGGTGTTGGCGCAGGCAGGGATTAGGTTGGCGTGTGATGTGACGGCTGCTGGGGTGGGGTTGGGGTATTTTGTTTGGGTGGCTAGGCGGAAGGTGAGGGAGGAGATTCAGAGTCGGATGGGACTTAGGGGAGATGAACGTGTGGATGATGAAGGGATGGGGAGGGTTGTTTGGTGGTGGACGGCAGGGTTTTGGATGATGGCTAGAGAGGCGGTTTATACGTTTGCGGAGTCGGCGGTAAGGAATGCGATTTACTTGTGGTTGGTGAATAGGATCATTGGGCTGGGAGCGGACTATGCGACGGCTTGGGGGGTGTTTAACACGATTAGGTGGGGGCTGGTGATGGTTCCGGTGCAGGCCTTGGAGACGTCGGCGTTGACGTTTATTGGGCATGAGTGGGGAGAGTGGAAGAAGGGCAAGGAGGGAGTGTCTAAGCCTGCGGCAAGATGGGGCGAAATCAAGAGTGAGTGTCCGTTACACTGTGTGAACCGAACCACTTGCTAACTTGTTGAACTGTATAGGAATCAGTCGTCCAGCTATTAACTCGGCTCTAGTATCTCTGGCCGTAGAGATACCTATCTGTATTTTCCTCTCTTTGTGGGGGATGAAGGAATTTGCCTTCTACATCTCAAACTCGGAACGGGTTGCAGACATTACCAAGAAGATGTGGCAGGTGAGTGTAACATGGGACTCCTTTGTCTATGAGAGAGATATGTAGTACTGACTAACGAGTGACAGAACATCGACTGGTGTTACATCTTCTACGCCCTCAACTATCAGCTATCGTCCATCCTCTTGGCCACTGTTCCTCGATGGTTCCTTTACCAGTCACTGTGGTCGAACTTACTATGGTCATTGCCATGGGCCATAGTTGTCACGGTCATGAAGTTCAAGGAAGAACAAGCGTGGACGTTTTACTCCGTCATATTTGGCGGGGCGAATGTGTTCTCTTCCATCGTTGTGGCTATCGTGTTGGGAGCTTGGGTATGGAGACTTCACAACGGGATGATCAGAGTATAACCGCGAGCACATCCGAAGCTCGTGGTTGTGTTGAGAATATGAAACCATCGCCGGCACAAAGGTGTGTGGACTGTGTTGTGTCACCTTCATCCAAGTGAAAAAGATGGTTATCCTATGTTGAACAATGTTCAAGGCTTTCTTGACAATATTGACACTATACAGTCTTGCTTGTTCGTCCTCAACGACTGACCCTCCCCTTTTGTATAGTCCGTCCTCGGCGCCCAAGCTGAGATTCATTCGCTGTGAACAACATCAATCCTCGCCAAAGATCTCTTCGTAGCTCCAACAATGCTCGCCAGGGATATCTTTGTAGCTCAAGTTGTCCCCCTGCGATCTTAGCCACAATGTCATATCTTGAATGAAAATATTCTCTTGTCTCGCTTCAGGACTCCGCTCCCGGCCTTCTGCCCTCAGTGCCCTGAGTCTCTCCTTTGCCGCTGCCAAGCCGTGATCGTTTAGGATGCCTGAATCGAGATCGACTATGATCTCTCCGGTATAAAGGCAACGACGAGCGTGCACCCTGCACCATTTCACTAGCGTACGTGCATATGCTCTGTCCTTGCCTCCTCCCCTCTCCGGCTCCCATGTATCCGTATCGGCGTCGTACCCAATAAATTGGAAGAAGCGTGGCTTGTACTTGGAGACGGCCTTGAGCCATGCTTTTTCATCTTCCGACAGTTTATTCTTCTTTACCCGGTCATATGACCACGTTTTGCCCTTATAACCTCCCGGCGAAGTTACGGTAAAGAGGCCAGTGTAGCTACCCTTATCCGGGTCGCAATCAACTCGAAAGCCAACGCTCGAAAGTGGAAGCCATTCCACGGATTCTGCTGCCTCCGGCTCCGGCTCTGGCTCCGGCTCCAGCTCCAGCTCTACCTCTTCCTCTTCCTCTGCCTCTTCCTCTGCCTCTTCCTCTGACTGGGTCTCCCACTGGGCCTCTTCCTCTTCCTCCGCCTCTTCCTCCGCCTGGACCTCTGCGTCTGGCTCTGGTACTGCCTCTGGCTCTGGCACTGCCTCTGGCTCTGGCACTGCCTCTGGTTCTGGCACTGCCTCTGGCTCTGGCACTGCCTCTGGTTCTGGCACTGCCTCTGGCTCTGGCTCTGCCTCTTCCTCCGGCTCTGCCTCTTCCTCTGCCTCTGCCATGGACTCTGCCTCTACCATGGACTCTTCCCACTCCATGGCCTCCGCCTCTGCCTTGGTTTCTTCCCACTCCATGGCCTCTACCTCTGCCATGACCTCTGTCTCTGCCTCTGCCTCTTCATCCATCGTCGTGCGAACGAACTCATATGTTTCAGTGTTGTCTTCTCCTCCATGGCAGACCCCTGAGCGATCCCCCGCCCCTGAAACCGAAGGAGTGCTCGTGTCGACCGGTGTCGTGTCGGAGTTGACAACGCTCGCCGTTGCCGCTGGCGTCACGCTTGAAAGAGAAGGACTGGTGCTCGTGGAAACCGGTGTCATGTCGGAGTTGTTAACACTGTCGCTCACCGTTGCCGCCGGCGTCACACCTTGCAGTTCATCAATGAGCTCGTCCAGCAATCTCAGCTGACTGATGACTCCTGCCCTTTGATCCATGAGCCTTTTCACCAGCTCCGAGTTCTTGATCCTTGGTCCTGTACCAGTAGTGGCTGTGGTATTTGCCGCCATACAAGCACACGAGTCGTCGTCGCCGGTTTCCTTCCTCCTTTGCCATTTCTCTCTCTGGTTGTCAGGCCAAGTGAGCGGGATCAGGTCGCCGCTGTACGTGAAGTTTATCTTCGGTGATGATCCATTGTCATTGGTGTATGATGGGAAAGATGTAGGCGCCAGTGCATAACCCGTGGGTGGGCGATCCAGATCCAGGTCAAGTAGGCAAAGTGAACCGCTGTTTGGAGGTACGTAGACGCAGACGTTCACGTCGTCGTTGAGACCTGATGCTAGTTCATTCGATTTCGACCTGTGTTTGTGTTGGTGCTGGAAGACGCCCCGCTTGTAAGGATCGTCCTCGCTCGGCAACGTCCACAGCTCCTGGCGCCCCAGAGTTTTGTCATGCCTGGAGACCACGTTGCAGACCGCTCTGGGAATATGGAGAACGTCTTGAAGCGTGACTTCTGCACCGTGTGTCGGATTGTCGTCGAAAGAGTTGCTGCACTTGATAGGGAGGGTGACGCTGCCGATGCCGAACACTTCCATGAGTACACCCTTGTGGTCTAGCACGTAGGAGTCAAAGGGGGTGTAGGTTGTGAACCATTCACGGTCTTTTGCGAAGCTGTGTTCAGAATCAGCTTATCATGTTCAGAATTGCTTGATACGTAAAAGCGTGGTCCTCAGATGATCGTCAGCTGGCAAAGATATTTCCTGCAACGATCCCCTTCCAGTACCGTTCCTCTGCCTCTATTGTCATTGTCATATTCGCTGAAACTTACGAGAAGTTGGACTCGTAAGACACCAACCAATCTGAGCACAGGCGCTTCGAATGCCCCTTCCATTCTTCCTTTCCTCTTCCCTCGCCGTTCTCGTTCCCATTTCCGGACGGGGAACTAGGGCGAGACGAGGCAGTCTCCGAGATTGAACTCATCGCGAATTTATTCCGAGCTCCTAATAGCAGCAAGGTTGACCTCGTTGGCGAAGTTGTGCAAAAGTTCGCGATGAAAGGCTGGATCGGTGGATCCTGGGTTGTGGCCCCGTGTAGATGCTGGATACTGGGTTGCACCGTAGCTAAAAGGTGTAGGGAGAAACCTGTGCCTTTCAAATCGAGGTGGAAATAGTATACATGAAAGTGCAATTGGGAAATAGGGAAGTAAATGGAATGAATGTCTTTGGGTGTATAAATGGAGGTGCAAATGGAGATTCAAATGGAGGTGCAGATGAAAGTGCAAATGGAAGGAGCACTAACAGAAGTGGACGAATATCTGTTAGGTCTAACAATTCTTCTGCGGGCGAAAGTGCATTTATGGGTTGTGCGTTATGGTTCGGTTAGTGCATGCGGGGTTTTGTGTGGTGATCTCCCGCGAAAAGCACTAACACACTATTCGCACGTTTTAGCGTGCCAGCTACTGCAAGTACATATATCGAGACTTCTTGGCATTATGGGTACCGAGCACATGGATCATGATTACCATCCATTCTTCATACAACTTCTTGGAAAGCGGGCGCTCGTAACCGCAAGAACATACTATACAAGAAAGAACATTGTGAAGTTCAAGTAAGAAAAAGCCTGGACATTTTACTCTTGTCGTATGCGGCGGGGCCAATGTCTTTTCTTTCATCGTCGTGCCTATCGTGCTGGGAGCTTGGCTATGGAGACTTCACAACGGGATGATTAGAGTGTAAACCGTAACTAAACCAGGAGGAGAGACTGGAGGTTTGAGAAATGGGGATGGAATTTCCAGGAATCGGCAATGCTCTATCTTACCCCGTAGATATCAGTATGATGTTCAACTGGACCTAAAAACCTAGGTGAAAAGCAGGAACCAAGACCTCGGTTTTGGCCTCTGCCTCACTTCGTGTCCACCTTGGCTTCTTCCTTCGCCTTTGCCTTCGCCTCTGCCTCTTCTTTCATCATCCGACGGACGAACGACCTTCCAGTCTCTCGGTGCTCTTCGTCATTGATCGTCAATCCCGAGTCTCTGAGAAGATGATATTCGCTTTTGTAGTTGTCCTGGATCCATCGGTCCTCCTCCAAAGTATATGGACTTTGTGTGTCCTCGTCCCCTTCAGTGTAGACTGATCCGTCGTCAAAGATCAACTTCTTCTTCGCGTGAGTTGTCCTGTATTGCAGCGGTGTTGACGTTTGTTGTTGGTGTGTGCCGGCCGTTGCTGTGAAGTTTTGTAGAGGATGAAAAAGGAAAGTTGAGATCGTAGGCGAGCGAGGAGTAGTAAGCATTTATCAGATCCCGAGTTGAAGCCAGCGTGGGACACAAGGCAAGTAACAGCAAGTCAAGTCAAGTAAAGGGTGTTGCTTGCTGTGACGAACCGTTACAAGCACAGGAGTATATCGCTGGGATAGGTAGAACAACGGTAGTAGTAGCCGAAAGGTACTGATTGATTGTAGAAGCTATTGCTTGCTGAAGAGCCGGTATTCAAGAGGCCTGGGGAGGCCGTCTTATATACTGGCCTTCATGGACCCGTCAATCCGGACCAGTGGACCCGAACCTCCGTATCGGGTCCTACCTGATTGGTCCCGTTGGTTCTATCTGATCTAGCTTACATAAGGGATCCTTGATTGGATCGTAACACTTGCCTTGTTTGCTTGCATATGTGCATGCCCTTATTTTTCCCCCTCGGGCATACCCATCCGGTACGTGCAGCGTACTTTTTGGTGCATGAATACGGGTGAAACTACAGGCGCCAGTCGTCATATCGCTCCCGATTACGTCTAACTGACCGAAATTTCGTGTTCTATACTAAATTGTATCATTGAGGGAACATTTCTGTAACTCATCAGTTCAGGCAAGTAAGCCAGGCAAGCCAAGTAACGGATTGAAGAAGTCAAGCAAGGCCTCATCTTGATAAGGCAAGGCAAGTCAAGGGTCTTACTTGCCTTGACTTGCCTTGTGTGCCACGCTGGTTGAAGCCGGCGCTTCGAAGATTACCCAGCCCAGGATATGAAGTGATCTCGACTTCTTGGCATTGTGGATACTCTACGCCCCACAAGGATCGCAGGTTAGACGCAACAAGAACGTCGGCTGATAAGAGACCGGCACTCGTAACTGTATGGAGAAACCATACAGGAAGGAACTATACAGACGAGACCAAGACATAAACAAGCTTTCGGTATTTGACAACTCGATGGGCCAACCGATCTGACTAAGAGCCCTGTCATGTTCTTCCAGGTCGTCACTTGCCCGCCTACAATTTGTTATCTTCATACAAGCAATTGCAGTTTCGGGACCATTGCCGCTTGTCCTCTGCAGATGATTCTTTCCATACAAGAGGCTCTCTCAATCCTCCAGCATCCTTCTCCCCATTCCCGTCCGCACCTGCATATCACGAAGTGTCTTGGGGCCTCGGAGTGAGGTTTCCAGTACGGGAAGTTGCAGAGCAGACCCCACTCCTCGTTTTCGGATTCTGTGATAATCCAAATCAACTCTAGCAACCAAGAGACGAGTATTCCCAAGGTGCTTTCTCCAAATCGAGGCAGCCAGTCGGCGTTGGAGAACTGTGCCTTTCAACTCATCCTGAATCGAGTTCGAGCATCCTGGACATGGACGATAACATGGCCGGTAGTCGACATGTCGCCGGGTCTCCCACTTTCCGTATATCCACTTTCCCGGCTACCGCCGAAGCGGGAAACAGAAATAGCGACATGTGCTTGGTGCTAAGCTATTAGCCTTAGCGATGTTGTGTATAGTTCTCGGTTTCGGATTCGGATCTTATTTCGCATTTGGTAGTTTACGGTAGTGCGTACCCCTGAACCGGGAAATTCATCTTCTTGTGTCGAATTGGTGTCTCCGCATAATGGCTGCTTCGTACTCGTACCTGCCGGATCGTCGTAGTCCATTACCTCATTGGGTAGCGGGTATTCAGCACAATTTATCGGTTTTGTCTAGGTAAAAAACAAACGAGTTCGAGGAAAGGGGAAGGGGGGTTTCATAACGTAGGTATTTAACATGATGGGTAGCCAGTCTTCTTTACCTTTTTCGGACGGTGTTTGACTAGACGGTGAACCGTGAAGAACTTACCCTTACCGACTGCAACAAGATCGCCGCAACGATGGCGCTCCTAAGCTTGGGTTTCGGGAACCTGATGGCCCTGGCTATCGCCTCGGTATGTATAGCTCGCTGAGTTGATCTGAACGATGAACCAATCACTGACCCGCAGTCCAGGCCTGCCTTTACGTATTCGGATACGCAATCTATAACCTTTATTTACACCCTTTGGCAAAGTATCCTGGCCCGCTGTTGATGCGCGCAACACGGTTAGGGTATTGTCAAAAATTGCTGCAGGGCACCTTGTCCTTTGACTTGCTGGAACTGCACAAACAGTACGGTGATGTTGTGCGTGTGGCCCCGAACGAGCTGGCCTTTGCGAATGCACAGGCATGGAAGGACATCATGGGCCACCGGACCGGTCCCGGCGGCGACTTTGAGAAGTGGGATAAGTTTTATCGCCCCGTCGAGGGCGTAACAACGGATATCGTCAACGCTGGGCGCGAGGAGCATGGCATGTTGAGACGGACCATGGCCCACGGGTTCAGTGACCGCAGCATGCGTGATCAACAACCGCTCATCAAAGGGTATATCGACTTGTTGATGCAGAGGCTGAGAGAGAACTGCGATAATGGCAATAAGGCGGTGGATGTCGCGGCCTGGTACAACTTTACCACTTTCGATGTTATTGGCGATTTGGCTTTTGGTGAAAGGTACGATCCCTCGTCCTACATTTGACAGTCAGCAATTAACGGCGAAACAGTTTCGGGTGTCTGGAAAAGTCTAAATACCACTCCTGGGTGAAGAACCTGTTCAAGATGGCTAGTGGTGGCACAATCTTCCAGGCCATGTCGCATTATCCGCCCCTGATGAAGCTCATGCTTGCGCTTGTCCCCAAGAGCCTCATGGAGGAGCATGAAAAGCACACCGAGAACGCCAAGGACAAGTTGCGCAGACGTATGGAAATGGGCCAGGATCGGGCGGATCTCATCGAAGGTTTATTGAAGCGGAAGGATGAGTGGGGGCTTACGATCGACAAGCTGCAAGCTAACAGCGCCATTCTCGTCATCGGCGGATCAGAGACGACGGCAACCCTGCTGGCGGGCGCTACATTCCTGTTGGCGACGAGCCCGGTTGCTCTGAAGAAACTGACCGAGGAGATCCGAAGCTCCTTCAACTCCGAGGACGAGATCGACTATGCCAGCGTCAGTGTTCTGCCGTACCTGTTGGCTTGTTTGGATGAGGCTCTGCGCATGTACCCCCCTGTTCCGACAGGCTTGCCACGTGTGGTGCCCAAGGGGGGAGCGAGCATTGCGGGTCACTTTATCCCCGAAGATGTGAGTCGATGTTTCCAAAGAGGTTGAGGCGGAACAAGCTGACAATGATTTGTAGAGCATTGTCGCCGTCCACCACTGGGCCATGTACCACAACGACAAGCACTTCAAGGACCCGTTCACCTTCCACCCGGAACGCTGGCTCAACGACCCGGCGTTCGAGAACGACCACAAGGAAGCCTTCCAGCCGTTCCACATTGGAGCCCGCAACTGCCTCGGCAAGAAGTGAGTCTCTTCCTCCCCGTCTCTCTGGACGTTTGACATGACCATGAGATGCTGATCTGTGCCTCTTGTTTGTCTCTTTAGCCTGGCGTACCTCGAAATGCGCATCATCTTGGCTCGCCTGCTCTGGAACTTTGATTTGAAGATTACCGAGGACAGTGTCGACTGGATGAAGAAGCAGAAGATCTTCAACTTTTGGGACAAGGGTGCGCTTAACGTGTATCTGACGCCGAGGAAGTTCTGAGGGGACATACCGCATCTTCTCATTCAAACCGGATTTATCTAAACGCGGGAACTAGGCTCAACGCAGTCTAAGGCATGAACTGTCGCTCGATCGGCTGCGTGTCACTTGCATGACAGACTTGCCAGTCGCTCTGAATGGTTTGTTCAACTTATGGCCGCCTTGCCTGCAGGTGCTTCCCCGATCTACTAGACCGTAAGGGGGATAGGATAAATCCGGTTTGAATGAGAAAAAGCGGTAGAATGAGAGGTACATACATAGACTATAGAGGAAGGATGGGTTAGGGTTTAAAGAGGTTAATCACTAATACAAAGTCGTGCTTAATCGATTGGTTCTGCTGCAGCACGGTTGCAGGGGGCAGCTCACAGCCTGAATGACCCCCT